GCTAATTCATAGTAGGTATAACAATTGAACAAAATTAATCTATATATTTTATTAAAAATAATTGAATTTTCAACTACATATTAGCAATTAGCATATTTTTAATATTTATAATTGAGTAGTTCTTTATATTAGTAATTCAATTAGTTTAATTAGTGATCATTTATTTTTTAATTTCATAATTTAAGCAATGATAATAATATGCATCTTTGAGCTTTTGATCCCCTAACTTCAGGGTTATGGAAACAATCGTTTTTTTTGATAAAATGTGTTACAGGAAAAATGTCAAATTTTGGTAAATTTATAGATTTACCTTTGACATAATCTGTAGTGAAACTTACAGTCATGGTTATTAACTTATTTATTTGAAATAATCAAACAAATATTTATAAAAAATATTTTATATACATATAAGACATTGAAATTAATCTTTACTTTCTGCTGAAAGTGATACTGCCGATAGAATTTATATCCAACTATTCGATTTTAAATAAGCCGAGTTATTTTTGAACAGTTATAATATACACGCACAATGACATAGGTACTGGACGCACGGGCGTACGGCATCATGACGTCACACGTTAACTGTATAGATCACGACTTCACAAATTGATGTTTGCAACTGACGAAATGCATGTTTGACGGGCAATAGTCTGTATTAATCGAATTAATCGTACAAATCGAAAAATGTATAAATATATTTTGGTTTTTAATTATTATGTAGAATACAAAAACAAATAAAAATTTTGTTGTTCGTATGCTAATTATTATATTATTATACTATACATTAAAAATATTTATCTCACTTCGCTCGAAATAACTGCAGTTTTTTTGACACCCTTCTTATGGAAATTCTAAATAGTTTTTACTTAATGAAAATCGGTTTAATATTTTCCCTAAATTTTACTTTTCCAAAACAAAATCATGAAAACCCAATGAAAAATATTAAAATTATTTATTATGATTCACTTATCACTTGAAAAAAATCCATTTGAATTATTTGATTTTAAAAATATGACATCATTTTGTATTCTATTTCTATATATCAGTATAAGTGTATATCAATTATTTTAACTGTAAAAATACATTTTTAGTTGTTTTAATAAACGAGTTACATGAATTGTATTTAATAAATAAGGTTTAATAAATGTTTGTAATGTCAATTATTTCAGTAAAATATAATACAGTCAAGAACGCTTTGAAATAAAAGTTAACGTACTTAGCACAATATTATTTTAAACTCTTAAAGACTTAAAAGATCATTTTAAACTATGTAAAAACAATTGGAAATTAATTTAGACAAAATATAATAGACTAATTTCTCATATTCAGGTATGTTACCAAATTTACTTACTATTAATTGTATAGATTGTAAATAATAAAAAAATAAAAAATAAATAAACAATAGTTATTAATATTATTAATTATTATTATTATTTTTTTATTAATAGAAGGTAACATTCTACAAACCGCATAGAACTCAGTTTCTTAATATTTTATTCTTAACATATAAAATGAATCTTTAAAAAGAGTAAATTTTAAGCTTTTTTTTATTATTTGAATTTTAAAAATTGAAGTTCGATACGGAAAGTTGTTGTTTATTAATAAAAAAAAAAAAATTGATAATGAAAGTATTGGATTGACATTGAATTATCACTATTTCCATGAAGTTATTTTCTTTAGTAAAAATGGTCCCACCCTTTCTTACTAAATGAGTATCGTCATATCGAGTAGTAAATCAGTGGGAAAATCCTACCTTTAACTGCAGTCGCGGTCCAACTGTGTATCAAATGGAGCGGTTGATCCTAGCCCGAAAATGGTGGGTACTAGATAATTGACATTGTAATAATTTATTAAGAATAAAATTATAACAATACTGTCAATGAAGATAACAATGAAAACTCAACATCCACTCTACAGTCCATAAGTGAACTGTTTAAGAAATTAAGTAACTTTAGTCTACGATTCAGCGTTTCACTTTTCCTAATATATGTTTAGCAACATAAGCATTAATCATTATGTACTTTACCAGCTATTAGATCGACATATGCTAAATGTAAATGTTTAAAAATCTAATAAGTAAAACTAGTGGCGTACTCAGGGTTTCTCAATGGGGGGGAGGGCAATAATGAAACCTTACACAAAATTAATTTGTATTATTTTCACTTATTTGTATACTTATTATATGACCAAATAAAATACTAAATACATCCTGCTGAAATTAATAAAATATTTATTAACTTTTCATTTATAATAATTTATTGCAAACAACCTAAATAATTATAAGGAAATATTCTTAATGAGTTTCTTATTTCTCATGGTTTATAATATAATATTATTAGTGTGTCCAATTTATCACTTTCATCCACTTAGGGAACTTTTCAATAAAAGCATTTAATATTTCTTTTTCGATGTTTTCATTTTCTAATTCGTCTTTATTTATTGTTCCTAATACCAAACCATTCAAACTTTCTTCATTCTTTATAGCTCGTAAGTATGTTTTCATTGTTTTTAGTTTTTTTAGAACAGAAAATATACATCCCGGGTTAGTGGATGTTATAAGTAGAGTAGCAAATAAATAAATAATCTTCTTTATATTTGAAAAAATTTCTGTGCAGTATTTAATTGTTTCTACAGCAGTCTCTAGTAAATTTTCTTTCAATTATCATTATTGCTTTCTCCATATGAATAACTCTGTTTTCAATTATAAATTCACACTAATTAAAAAAGTAATTTTCGTAAATAGAAGCAGCAACTAAGATTGATTGGTCGTCATGTGTCAAATTAGATGGTGTAAGTCCTAGTGGTATAATTATTTTTAGTCTATCAAATCTTGAATGTAACTGAGTAATTAGATTATCAATAAATTGTATAAATATTGCTATTATAATATTCCTCTTCGTCTTTGGCATTTATATTGTTTCGGGCAGTTTGTTCGAGGCATGCGTATTTCAACATCTAGTTCAGAAACTATTGTGGTAACATTTTTCATTATTTCCTTTTTCAGCATCTGATCGAATGGTTTCTAAAGTTTCTCTAATAATCATTACATCATTTAAAGCTTTATATAAGTCTGTTTGCTTTGTAGTGCTTGACTTAATTGTTTAATGCATAAGAAGCAAGTAACAGCTACTTCAAGAGTGACAATAAAATCACTCTTGGTTATAGCACTCACATATAATGACGCTTTGGTTGAGGTTTCAGGATTTGTATCATATTTTTCAAGATGTTCTTGAGTAGCAATTATATAAATGTAAAGTTCTTTGAAAGTAATAAGTCATAATCATGTCGATCGACCCACCGTGTTTCACAAAGTTTTTTCAATTTTGTTTTTTTGACCATTTTTATTTGAATTACTATTTTTATCAAAATTGCTACTTTCATGTAATTTGGATGTAATATAATATTAATTATATATTATATATTCATATTATCGTAAGTACTTACGTATTCACAGATATAATATTATATAGGTAATTATATATGGATGTACCGATATAAAATCAATAAAAAAAAAACCCTACATCCGATGGAGGGGGTATAGCCCCTCTGCCACCCCTGACTATGGCACCGGGTAAATCTATTAAAAACCAGATTTAGATTTACAATAAGTGAAAAAATATTGGAGCGTATATTATGTATTATTTCGACCTTCTGTGAAGGTCATAATATTAAGATTGATTTGAATGGCGCCATAAATTACATGGGAAAATGAAATCACAAAATTATAATAAACAACTTATACCATCCTTAAAAATAAATTTCTTTTATGCATTATAATTGATGAAAATGTGGAGATAAAAAATAAAAGTACCTATCAAGGTTGAGAGAGTATTGATTTTTGTAAATGGGTGTAGCATTAATGTAGATAATATTAAAGTATTGGAGCTTGCTCAACTCTATAGTAAATTTTAATGAGTAGGTGGGTAATAGTTCATTTTGCTTCTTGGGTACAAAATCCCCAGACCACTAATACTACTGAATTTAAGGTAATGATTATAATGTATAAATAATTTTTAAATTTTTAAAAATGGAGACAATTTGAAAAACTGGCACTAGACTCCATAATTATACATTGGTGGTTTTAAGTTTGTATTGCAGGTAAATTGTTATTATTTATAATAGTGCAATTATCACTTATACAATATCAATCAACAGATGTACGAAAAAGAAAATAAATATTAACTAGAAATTACGATAGGTTCTTATACAAATTTAAAATTGAACAATAATAAGAGGTGGCGCATTCATTCATTTATTTATTTTTTATTTTTATACATCTATATATTTTTTTATTTATACATTTATTTACTAAATTTTATTAGAACAATAATTGTTTAATAATTAACAGATATTAAAATAATGATTAATATTAATGAAAAAAAAGAATGTGTAGGTAGGTAGTGACGCTAGTGTAATTTTTAAGCCAATATATTTTGCAGTTGTTGAAAAATGATCATATTTCTATACATACTTAGATAGGACGCATCTATATACAATGACCATATGTACGGTACTTATTTAAAGTAAACATTTAAAAAGTTAAGTATTAATTTATTAATAATAGGATTTACGAATCGACCAATACATTATGGTACGAATATTCAATCACTATCAAGTATCAATGGCCAATGCTACTGCAATTATTACCTATATTGTGTAATTTAAAAAAGTATATTATATTATTTAGTAGGTATCTACTTTTACTTATTATCTAAGCAGAAACTACAATAGTGCAAACTACAATGTCATATTTATTATTTGCACAAAATGTACTTTCACTTAAAGTCAGTATTTGATCTTGACGGTTATACCACAGAACAGATCTAGATAGTAGATATCATAGACATGTTAAAAAATCTTAAGGTAGATATAGGTAGATACCTACACATTTAAGATACACGAACCGTCTGTGGAGCCATTCAGTGGTGCCATCTTGACGTCACCATTGCGATCAGCGAGTAGCAACTAGCAACTGATATGGACTTAAAATTATCAATTGACGAGTGACGATCCCCTAACTCCTAAGTTCAATTGCCCGCACAGACTATACCATTACAATAACTGTGGAATATCGACGGTACGTCGGTACACATTAACTTCCCGAGTGACTCATGTTTATGGTATGAGTCATGAAAAGACGAAGAAAAATGTCGATTCATATGACTTTTCGCAACTCCAGCAGAAACCTAGATAATTCATTGCAAAAACAACAAATCGTACGGTAGGCCCCACTAAACCAAACTATGAACGAGATGAGCATTATTCCTCTATTAAACGTGTAGAATTATAGTAAAATATTTTGTAAACTATTCACTAGTCCATCAATGGCGAATTATTTATGAAGAATATAATAATTATTATATATGATCAAAATGCTACAATTTCATTCCATTAATACAGTTAACAATGGATATACTGTAAGTACTTATCCAAAATAATATATTATTTATCAGTGTTTTTTTTTATTCTAGATATTTTCCCTTAAACAATGTATATTTTATGTCTGCATTTATCTTTAATAAGGTTCAAGGAAGCAGCTGATTTTTTTATATAATATACTGCTGTTTAATAAAACGCAGCTTAGCTCTCAAGCGATTTTTTGGAATTTTATTTTTAGTATTACTTTTCAAAAAATCTGATCAAATTCCTCTAGAAGTTCTGGCCACGAAACTTCAAAATACCTACTCGATTTTCAAAATTCGTGTTTTAAGTTAAAAATATCAAAAATTTAAATTAGTATTTTTATGCTGAACATTTTAGTGAAATCAGAATTTACCTATTGTACTTTCTTTTTATGTTATTGTTAATAAAATACATACAATTTAATTTAATTATTATTGAATTATAAAGTTTTTTCAAACATTTACATATTAAAGTAACAACTTTATTAAAAAAACTCCGATGGGAAGGAGGATAGGTGGTTACATTTTTATGTTATTACACACTGAATGAAAAAAATATTTCCAAAAAGTAATTTTTGAGTTACTTTAATATGTAAATTTTTGAAATATTTTTGTAATTAAGTTTTACGTATTTTATGTTATTAACAATAATATAAAAGCAAGTATGAAAGGTAAATTCTAATTTCACCAATGTGTTCAACATAAAAATACAAACATTGACAAAAATTTAAATTTTTGGTATTTTAAACATAAAAACATTATTTTTGAAAAATAAAGCATTTGGAAGTTTTTTGATTATTACTTTATTAGATTTTTTTAAAAACCATCAAATTAAACATGCAAAAACACACATTTTGAACAAAAAAAATTCCAAAAAATTGCTCGGGAGCTAAACTGCATTTGTTCAGTAACTCAAATTGATAAAATAATCTGCATATTACATTATAATTTGTGAATTTTAATAATTATATCAGTTTTATTGAAATTTAATAATTTTTTATTTTATTTTTTAGAATTGTATTGCTAAAGCCATGTATGATAATATAGCTGAAGCACCAGATGAATTGGCTTTTAGAAAAGATGATATATTAACAGTATTAGAACAAAATACAGCTGGTCTTGAAGGGTGGTGGTTATGTTCATTACGAGGCCGTCAAGTATACAAGTCTTCTATACACAATTTAGTTTAAATATATTCTTCAAATTAATAATTTAAGTATATTTTAGGGAATTTGTCCTGGGAATCGTTTAAGATTAATACCGGGTGTGTATGGAGTGAATGAAAACAAAACTATATCGAGTTGTGCTCAAGATCAAAGTCACGAAAGTAAACATCAAAGCTGGCATGCAAATCTGAATAAAGTAAATAAATTAGAGATGAACAGTAGCAGTAGTTTTATATTATTTAATTATGATGTTATTAATTTGTATGACCCTCCTAATTTTTCATAATAAAAGTTTCATTTTTATATTACTTTATTTCTTTATTATTTATGAATGAACAATAACCCACAGAGAAACAATAACTAACCAGTTTGGCAGTTTCATAACTAATGTATAAAATTATTAAATAGGTAACTTCACCACAGAAGTTAGAGGACCACACATATGACACACTTCAAAAAACAATTGATACCAATGGCTATAATATTCCACCTACAAATCATAGTATGTCAATTACTTATGTCTTACTAATAATATAATATAAATTTGTTTAATTGTCTGTAAATTACTTATCCAACATTAGATGGTGTAACTAGTGATTATATAAAACGACTGCGTAGTATTGGTAGCAGCAATGGTTGCTCTAGTGACAGCTATGATCCTCTTCCAAACCAACATCACCTATCTTCAAAAGAAAGCTATGATGTACCTAGACCACTGAATATACAAGTAACTCCAAGCAGTTCAATCAGTTCACTATCAACAGGCGGTATTTGTAGTAGTGGGAGCGGTAGTGAATCTAATCATTCTAGTATTGCACCTGATTATGATATTCCTAAAACCCGAATGTTAACTTGCTTACCTTCAGAATTTCAAAATTTATCTATAAATAGTCAAGTATAAATAATATATATAATATATTATAAATAGATAAAATATGTATATTTTTTTTGTTAGGTACTAATTTTTTTAATTTAATTAAAATATAGGATTATGATGTTCCATCAAGCAGTTTACAGCCTAAAGAATTACTTCTAGACTTAAATGGTGCACTGGAGTGTTTAGATGGCTTAACATTAGATGTTTCATCTTTTACTACTCGGCTCTTAAATTATGCTGGACCCAACTGGAGAAATCATAAAAACTTGGAAACTAATCTTCCGGATATAAAACTCACATCTTTCCGACTTAAAAATAGATTACACCAATTTATTGAATTTTCTAAAGGGTGTCTTGGAAATGCTATGAATGCTCCTGATAAAGGTAAGATATATTTATGTATTTAAATTGTAACCGGTATTGATATTAGTTTGTAAATATATATTTCATTATTTTAGGTATCTCAACTAAACTTCAACCTTTAGTATCTGATTTAGTAAAAACAGATAACATGATTAGTTACACGACAAATGCATTGGATCAACTTGGTTGGAAATCTGATATTTTAAGTCGAGGTTTAAATACTGAATGTGATTACTCTGAAGATGTTTTAGATAAATTAATTTCATGTGCTAAATCATTAACTAATGAAATTCTCCAAATAACATCATTTATTAAGGTAATATTAATATTTCATAGAATCATACAATTAATATATTCATTTAACAAAGTATTACAATTGTATTAAAAAGTATTTACATGTACATATATACCACAATCCAACACCCAATATTTGTATTCTAACAAAACCAAGATGTGAATATGTATGCATTTATATTATAGGGAAATTCTACACTTTTATTTAAAAAAAAAATTATATCTTCTGAAGTCAAAGAAGATGATGATTATGAATGCATAGATAATGAAGATAGTGCAAAACTGAATACAAGTACTACTTCTAGTGCTCCTGTGAAAAATTATAGTTCTGAATTGACTACTAAAGATAAAAAAGTAAGATTCAAAGTTAATAGTTATTTAACTATGTAAATGTTTATTAAATATTATTATTATAATCATTTTATTTATTATTGCCATAACAGGCATTAATTTTAAAAAAAACAGTAACATAATTATAGCATTAATATTAAATATAACAGATGTATAATATTGTTAAATAATTCATTGAATGTGGAAAAGTGGCCAAGACTAAGCTGAATTGAGGTTACGTAAAATTCTGTGCAGGAAGCGGTTGAAGCCATACAGTGATAAAGTAATTGAAAAAGGGAATGATTCCTAGTAGAGTAGGTAGGAACATAAAATGAGATTGAAGAGAGCAAATAAGGAGAATCAAGAGATGCCTCAAATAGTAAAGTGATGAAGTGAAGGTTAGCCTCAGTCCGGTGAGAGGTTAAAATAGGGATTCAAAGGGTGGAGGAAATTAGTGAGTAGTCATGGATGGGATGTTTGATTTTTAATTTGAAGGCAGCATATGAAAGAAATCTGTTTTGTACTTACTTTAATCTTAATTTGTCACATGCCAGGTATGGGCACCATACTACTACCCCATATTCTAAAATGGAGCAAATTAAGGAGAAATAAGGAATATGGAGGTAGGAGCTAGAAGAGAAATTGGTGGTATTGTGTTGTTTTGTATTGTACAAGCTGTAAAAAGTTTACATTTTATAATAATTAGCCTTTTCTATTTATTGTTTATACTTAAAATCTATATTATAATAAATTTAAATAAATAATTTATTCAATTCAACTATTTATTTTTTTTAAATTTTAGATATTCAACTTCTACAGTCATCAAATTGTTAGCCAATCAGATTTTTTAATAAAGCACATTAACACGTTTTTACAAATTGTTGAAGAAAACCATCCACCACCAGTATTTATTGTGAAAATCAAATACATTATATTAATTGTGCATCAATTGATTACAGTTAGTGATACAATTTGCCGAAATGTACAAGAATCAACTGTAAAAAACCATATAGAGCAGTGTTCAAAAGCTTTATTTGTAGGTATTTCAACAGTAGTACAAAAGTCAAAAAGAGCTGCATATTTGTTTCCTAGTGTAACTGCTGTACAGGAAATGATAGATTCTGTTGTGGAAATATCACATATTGTGCGTGATCTTAAAACAACTATTTTGAAAATCAAATGAATCTTTTAAGTGTTTTATTTAATTAGTAGCAGTAAGTGTTCTGTTTTGAGCTAAAAATCATAGGCATAATAGCATAATTAGGCCTATGCTAATTAGATCATCAAAAATGAAAATAATGAAGTATATACTTATGAAACAACAGAATTATAATTCAATAAAATTATAAAATTGATATTGTTTACTAGTCAATAATATAAACAATAATACAATGATTCAAAAAGTATGTTTAATAATGAAATAGAATGACAATACTATAAATGTATGACATAGAGTAAGATTTTTTTTTTATTGTGTACTTAAAGATTTATTATTTTAATAATTATTTAAATTTGAATAGCAAATATTAAAATCTTCTTTATAGTTAAATCTTATAAAAGTATGATAGTAGGAAGAAAAGTAAAATAAAACCAATTTCTAAACATTGTTACGGTGTTATAAATCAGGGTGGTTCTATCTTTTTTAGTTGGTGGGCTATTTTATAAATTTATATAAATACTAGGAAGTATTTCCCAGTTTTTCTGTTTCAAACAGCCTGTAATGGTTAATCTGATGAATTGTCAATACAGCTTCATAATTTCAATTTGTATTAAATTCATAGTAGAAAATGCTGATTCACAAATTAATGTGTTTCCAAATAATAATACAGTTTTATGAGAAGAATTCCATAATTTTTGGGAATTTTTCTTGCAAACATAATTTCTATAACTCTTCAGGAGACATATTCACTTTTGATTGAAAAATATATAACTTCATTTAGTAAATGGGAGGTTTCATCAAGGTGTCAACTGCCATTAAGTTAGTAAATAATTCAAATTTAGGTTTCAATATATCAAAATCTTTAAAACGTGCATTAAATTCTGTTATTATTTCTATAATTATATTTTTAAACTCAATAAAGCAGTGGTACCCATTTCTTATATCACCTAAGATTGAATAATATAAAATAAAATAGAAAAAAAAATTATTGTTTCTACACACATTTCCTTTTCTACATGGGTTTTGACCGATATTTGGATTATAGCTACTGTTGAAAATCCTGCTTCACATAAATACAATGTCATAAATGGTATTAATAGACGCTTTGTTGTTAATTTCAGAATATTTATGTTTCATGTGGTTTCGAACTCCAAAATGCTAAGTCTAATGCTCTAAGGATAATTATGCACAATATTTATTTTGCCCCTCCTCTGTTCTCACACCTTCCTGTTTAGGAACTACTGAAATGAAGTGTATTGATTGATGTTCTATTGACACAATGCAAAGTCTTTAATATTAATTCCAATGTGTTTTTAAATAATAAATATAAATTTTAATGCTTTTAATTCATAATGATATTATTGTACATTAAATTATAATAAATTCTCCATGTTTCATTAATTTTAACAAACATACCTCAAAGTACTTCTGGTCAATAATACAATGAATAAATAAATATTTTATTCTTATTTGATTTAAATTTCTTACTAATCCAGTATTTATGCCAAATATAGTTTTTAAACCATTTGTAACTATGCCAGTGTATTTATTAAATAAACCTCAATGTAATAATTATAAAATTATTGCATATATTATATGTACATGAGTTTTCTAGGGCAGTAAAACAAAAAAGATACTTGGGCCACCCTGTTGTAAATTAATGAGTTATAGTTGAAATATATATTTTTGTTTTCACATAAAATATTTTTAGAACTTTAATTAAATTTTTATGATGGTGGATAATATTCTAATTGAGCATATGTGATGCAAACAAATTAAAGTTTCTTTCAACTCTGCTTATAACATGAGTACATACATATTTAATAAATATTAGTTTTTATTTTTATTTAATTAGAATGTACTTAATTTTCAACTATTAAAAAAACAAAAAACAGATGCTCAAAACAGTATGCTCAAGTGATATTATTGTTCAAATATAAATTTAAAAATGAGCAATGTATGTAAATTCTATAAATTGTAAATTTATAGTATTTGATGTAGAGTAGTTCAATAAAATATTTAAATGTTCCTGCTTTAAACTTTATGAGTGTGATACGCAATGTTGTGAAAAAATAATTTCTCATAGGTTTAATCTAATATTTTTAATTTATATCCAGGTAATCTTAAAACAGTATTATTGTTTCTTATATACAAAAATATATATATATATTTTTTAATAAGTTCTGAGAATTTAAATTACTTTTATAATTTATTTTTATTTAAAATTATAGTCTTTATTATTTATAAATACATATATTAGTATTATAATTAAAAAAAAAAAAAAGTCATATTTTAACTAAAGGAAACTCCAATTGTATATTATAAATAAATGCTATGCATGAAAAGTCATAAATTCCTTGTGATTTTAGATCTAAGTTGTTCTTATATGAATATTCTATTATTACTAGTGAGTAGAGTCTAATCTCTAACCAGTCAAATATATTGTATTTAATTTTTAATTTTTTAGTATATTTATATATATATTTTTAAACCTTTATATTTTATCCTGTGATTTTAATTTGTTCCTATGGTTTTGTGTGTGTGTGTGTGTGTGAATAGATATATATTTTTACTTTATGAATTTTGTTCAAAATTTGATAAAATATTATTGTATACAAAACCTAATTTTTAATTTTTTTTTGTATTTTATTAATTCACCTCAATTTGCAAACATAATTAAAAATACATGTAAACTAGGTACCTACATTTGAGTAATTTTTATTATATTAAAAAGTGAACAATTAAAAAAAAAGTTACTGTAAAGCTTACTGTAAAAGCTACATTTCAACTAGTTTATTACAATAATTGCAATGCATATTTATTGAAATATGTTATTTACATACGGCATTTTATTATTTTAGCAAAATGTTGTGGTGTATGGATTTTATATTTTCTGTTGTAACAAAATAATTATAAGTATCAATATTTTATTATGTTCTTTATATACAATAATGTTATTTATTTATTATAACAAAGTTGTGCAATATTTTACATTAATTTTTTGAAATATCTAAACATTAGACAAACTATTTATATTTATCGTAATAACTATTTAAGTTAAAGAATATATTTAGTTTAAAATGACGTGTTATTATTATTTAAGAACTATATCTTTTATATTTGATATTATGTAGTTTATAATAAAAGTAGGATTGTCTTTTTAATTCAATAGGTTGAGTAAATTAACATAACTTTAATTTTTTACTTTTATATATAATTAACAATACATTAAAAATATAGAGTTAGAATTTTCAAATTTTATTATACAAAGGTTTTATTATTTAAAATAATGATAATCCGAAATACTTCCAACATTCCATTTAACAAGCAATAAAGCAATATTTTTTAACATTGTATAGTATAATTTTTAATTATGTATAAATATTGAAAATAATCATACGCTTATTCGATTAATACATAGTAATATGAGATATTGGAAAATAAAAATAAAGTGTGCTAAAAAAAATTAGGTTTTTTTTCTTTTAATTGCCTATCCTTATTCCTTCCTTCTAAACTAAGGCTCAGAAGTTATAGGAGTTGCATAATTTTCTTTATGCAATGAATTTTTAGCAGACCAAGCTAGATATATCAATATAATAGTAAGTTTAAAAATTGAATATTTAATATTTTCCAAAACATTTTTTTTTTTTTCTTAACCAATTTATTTTAATCAAATTTAAAACTCAATATTACTTAATGCAGTTATTTATTATTATTTCTTGTCGTCTCAGTCTATTATTTATTTAATGACAACGGAATGATTCGTTCGTGAATCTTTATCTTAGTTTGGCATATTAATAATATTGTTTTGAATAGTAACTGAATAATTTTTTTCATGCATATTTGCATACATATTTTGCCTTTTTTAGCATTAAAATATATATGTATTCAAATTTTAAATAAGTATTATATAGTAAAATAAATAAATAATAAAGAAAAATATATATAACCAATAATATAGCACAATTTTTGGAAGAAATTTGATAGTTTTCATTGTTTTTTTATCAAGGTTAACTGTATTTATTCTGTTCAAATTTCAAGTATATACAAATATATAACTTTATTACAACAAAACACAAAATTTAAAATAATATGTTTCGTAAATTTTCACAATTGTTATGAAAATTGCTTGGAAAATTAAAAACCCATCAGGAATATTTTTTGTCAAAAAAAGTACTACACTTGAAAATTGGAGCAAGATTTGATAGAAAAAATAAATAAACATCATTGCAAAATCAATACATTCCTCGCTGTCCTTAGAATTTAAAATATATTTGTCGTTTTATCAGCTTTATCTTTTTTTTTCTTTGGCTTCATCCCAATTATTTGATGGTCAGCCAATTTTATAGTTATATACAGGTCCATATTTAGGGAGGTGCGAGAGGTGTCCACACATCCAGGCGCCAATGAAAGTTCTGCAATCGAATATTTTTACATAATGAACGCAAGAGTTGGTAAATTGTTCTGGCACCGGGTTGTTGATTTTGCTAGGCACAGTACTAGTTGTATGTATTATAATATAGAACTAATAATTTATAAAACACTCATATTAAGCTACACATTATACACTCCTATAACTTATTTATTCATTTTAACTTCGAAGTGTATATTATTTAAAACAAAACAATTCATATACTAACAGCACTTAATTTCATTTGTATTGAGTTAACAATTTGGTTATAGAACTTATTTAATTGTTGGTAAGATTGTTATTAAATAATAATAATAAAACAGCTATAATGTATAGCTGTATAGCTGCATATAAAGTATCCAACTGGAAAGAGAAATCAAGTTTTTTCATAGATTTAAGTATAATTAAAATTCCAGTACTGTAAACATCAAAATGTACATTTATATACATTTTTTTTACTAATAAATACAATGAATAAGTAACTTTTTTAAGAACCAATTTTAATTCTAAATAAAAATAATTATTATTGTTTAGGTATATGAAAATAAAAAAAAATTTAAATATGTTATTGCTATATAAATATTGTTTATATTACACAAAAAAAAAAAAAACAAAATGTCTTATTTAGATTCAATTTCAATTTTTTTCATTGCATTAGACAAAGAATCACTACTTGGTATGTCATCATCAGCACACAATAATGTAAAATGTGATAGGTCTTTTTTCATTGCATATGCATCCTCGCCATCAGCATAATATTTAGGTTCAATTTCGGATATTGTAAACTTTAATGTATTGGTGTATAAATTCAATGCAGCTCTGTTGCTCTTGCGCACATGCAGCGAAACATATTTTGCTTGGAAACATTCCACCATAGCCCTGGCCGCTTGATCCATTAATTTTTGGGCAAGTCCTAAACGCCTATGCGACCTTTTGACAGCGAGTGATGTTATATGCCCATGAGGATTATCTTCACAGTCTTCTTCCATTTTGGCAAGTACATAACCGACAATGTTCCCTTTTTCATCTTCGCCAACATAACTTAATTGTGGCCACGATAAACCATGATAGAAATAGTACTTCATTTGATAGTTCTCAGGAAGACATAGCAGATTACAGTGCTGCATATTCATTAAGTCATCTGGTTTAGCACAGCGGATATTCATTTTATGGCAGTTATTTAGAGAATCTTTTGGGTTTTATTTTGACTTTCAGTTTCAGGGGTTTGTTGAGAAAAAAGTTCTCGGACTAGTTTAAATTTTGACAAGTACAACTTCCAAACTAAACACCACCCTACAAAAACAAGCACAAAAATAATATGATTAATAAAATTAGATACCTACTTAATTTAATTCTCATTAAATATTTTTCCTGTTACTCCTAATATATTATTTTTGAATTGTTTTAACACATAAATGTTTTTATAATGAGAAATTATTTTACAATATTCTAAAAATTATTAAAAACATAATCATTACAATATAATACAAATTTTCAGAAAAAAGTATAATATACAATAAATTATTAATAATGCAATAAAATATCAAATTATTCTATGATCATAAAAAGTTTCATTGGTAAGGTCAAATCACCAAGATATACTTTTTTTTTTAAATAAATCAAGACATAAATTGGGCGTTGAGTAAACATTTTTTCCTGGCTATTTTAAATATAAATTTTAAGACTTAAAAACTATGTTTACAAAAACTCAAATACAAATCAATTTCAATAATGACATTTAATTATTTACCTAAATTATTTAGTCCAAAAACTCTAATCGTGTTAATTTTATATCAAACAAATATCGAACGAATAAATACCTAATTTATTGTAATTATTGGTTTTATTGTTTTCGTATTTACGTCATCAACAAACAACAATGGTATTGTTGGAGAGTAAACGGTACAAATAATCAAAATCACGTCATGTGTTAGTGGAAAACTAAAATCTTAAATTTTAATGCTTACCGATGAGTATAAATAATGCGACAATCACAAATGATGCTACTATTGAAGCTATAATAAACAGCCACTCCATAACAACATAATTATAAATATTCAAGTAATATAAAATTGACGTAGACGACTAGAAGTGTAAACTGGATAATGAACAATAAATCATTTTATCGCAATTGACTTCGCACATCGCACATTTCGTATTTTTCGGTTATCACACGATGTTCTTATCAACAAGAAAATGTAGGCAGACTTTCCAGTGTGTCCATATCGTTGACAACAAGCAGTCAGCTCTCTGAATGACACTATGGTTTATAATGTCCTAATCCTAGTCCCCATAGGGATGGAAGGCGGCAAAATGGACAATTATTATTAACATCTTTTTATATAACTATAAAAATGTAATACATTGTACCCGATAATTGTTTAAACACGCTCACCCCATTTTTATTGTAAAATTGGGTTTAGTGCACATCACAGCTAACGTTTCACCGCGAGATGTTTATTTTTTCGTTTGAAACTTATTGCCGTATCTTGGTTATTTTTCAACATTAGCTAATGTGATCTTCACTATGACACATAAGGCTATTAGGGACACTTCATATTAAAGGTACCCCCAGTTCTGATTTTTAGATCAAGTATATCTAGACGGGATTTAGTGACAGGAGAATGGTTTTAACGCCAAAACATTTGGCTTCATACCCCACACAAGTCTTTTCCGTAGTTTGACACCGTAAAATCCCTTCCAAGGGAACTAGCCTGGAATTCTTCTGATCAACACCAATCTTTGGAAATAGTCTCTAGATCAGCTATAAACTACCTTCATAAAATGTATTGTCAATCAGAATGGATCGAAAAAAAGTCATTAATATTTAACGAAGTTACCCTACTCCCCCAAATTTCACAAGAAAATATACAAGAATAAGTAATAAAATTAGGTATTTAGGTACCTAGCCCTCCGTAAATACGCTACTATACTTACCTACTTGGCCTTAGATAATACTATACCTGATTTTATTTTTATTCTTGTATATTTTCTGACATTTGGGAAAGGAGAGTAACTTTGTCAAATATTAACGACCCACCAACTACTTTGGAGCAAATTTCTTTTTTTCGATCCATTCCGATGACTCTAAATTTTATGAGGGTAGTTTACAGATGATCTAGGGACTGAAGATTCCAAAGATTGGTTATGTTAGATTAGGTGGTGATTGGACGAATTTTAGGCTAGATCCCTTGGAAGGAATTTTACGTAGTCAAACTATGGAGGGGACTTGTGTGGGGTACGAAGCCGATTTTATTGGCGTTAAAACCATTCTCCTGTCACTAAATCCCGTATAGATATACTTGATCTAAAAATCAGAAATGAGGGTACCTTTAATATGAAGTGTCCCTAATAGCCTTATGTGTAATAGTGAAGATCACATTAGCTAATGTTGAAAAATAATCAAGATACGGCAATAGGTTTCAAACGAAAAAAAACATTTCCCGGTGAAACGATCACAACAATGTGCTGGTATTCGTGTAAAATTATACTTAAATTAAAATTCTGATGGTTGATATTTTTAAGTGCAGTATGCAGTAAAAGATGATATTTTAGAATACCTAGATTTTTCAAAACACTTTAGAGGGCGTAATACTTGCATTTACTGTCAATCCAATTAACAGGTAGGTAATATATCAAAATCTACCTTACGCAGACTGCGTAGAACTCACTTAATTTTGGTTTTAGAGTAAAAGCAACTTTTATAAAATTAAAAGCGAACCGCATTTCGGAGGGCAAGATGATGCATTTCTTTTTTCAAATTTATTTTTTGAAATTTTACAGTAATTTAAAAACGATTAAGTAGTTTTTATTTCTAAACGATATATTGAACGTTATATCCGGAATAATAATAAGAATGATAAGAAAAAGGCATCGTCTGGCCCTCCGAAATATTGTCTTCTTTTTATTTTAGAATAAAATGAGTGATTTTTTTCTAAAACCAAAATAAAGCGAGTTCTATGCAGTTTGCGTAAGGTAGATTTTGCTATATTGCTGTTAGTTTGCCTGAGACAGCACAATATTATGCAGGTTTTTCTCTTATAAGGAGTATCCTGTAATAATACTAATTTTGGTTTTTCAAATGAGAATCTACATGTTTAAATCCAAATTGTCAATAAAATGATTTTTTTGAAAATGTTGGTGTTTAAAATTATAATCGAAATTTGAACGAAGTTTTTATTATAATGATTAGTAAATATATAGCATATATAAGCATATATCGAGCTCTGAGTATGCTTAAAAAATTATCTTATGTATTGTTATAAATATTTTTAAAAAATAAGATAGGGGAGGGGGACATTTTGTCTAGTTTGTGAATAAAACAGTTGTTTGATTTTTCGAGTTGTTTTCCTAATAATTATGAAAAACCGAGAAAAACGTAAGAGTGATAAAGTGTGCGATATTTAAGTGTTTTGTTGTTTATTGGTTCAACAAAATACTTATATTGGCCTTTTGTGAACATGACCAAATTTTCAAAATATTCCAACTGTTTTTAGTTTTTTTATAGGTATTTAATATTTTCATGTTTTTATTTGGTAGGTATATCTATTATTAAAATTAGAGAAATGTTTGAAAATTTAATATATGTTACATTATACGATGTATTTAGTGGTCTGAAAAACAAAATTTAGTTTCATGCATTTTTTTTTTTTCAACTTATTATTTTTACTATAGCTGCAGGTTAAATAAACGTTAAGGTTTTTAAATTTATGATTTATTGTTATACCTACACAAATACAATTATTTTTGGTTTGACAATTCAATCAAATTATTTGGTACCTAATTCCATTGTAATAATAATATTGTTTTTAAAGCCGACACAATATTATTTATTTATATATTTACAATCATTTTATTACAAAGAAAAAATTGGTTCACAAAATCATAACTATTCGTTCGAAAAAACCATAGATAATAAAAGAATTCTTCTTCTATTATCTATGGAGAAAACAGTTTGTCGTACAAACTTTGGTGTCCAATGAAACTTATGGACAGGGTTGCCAACCCAATCGTCAAGCGCGTGCAACATGTGTGCCACGGCGATTTTCGCCTTTTCGGTGTATTCATTTCGATAATATTATAAATTATTTATCTCTGTGTGTATACCGTGTGTGCGTTTTTGTGTGTATGTTGTTAACTCATTGGTATTAATAATTATTGTAACAGTGTTATAAAATGGCGTTTTTTCCTCTCTGTCGGCGTTCATGACAAATGTCGCTGGAAAACTTAAATCTGAAACGTTGCAGGTATTGTTACGGAATTCCGTCTGCGGTCTGTAGTTTTTGCGTGACGTTCTCCATCGTTTTCGACCCGGTGCCTAAAATAATGCCGAACGTCTAATGCATTATATCTCAACAACGAGTATCGGGCCAGTAAAAGAAAAACAAACTGAATAATACCAAAAGTAAAAACTATAAATTATTAGTGAGTGGACGATATCCGTCGTTCTTATCTATGAACACTGCGCGTTTCGTGTTGTTGATTTTAACCGTGTGTCGGCGTGTGTGTGCGTAGGAGTGGTGTGCCGCGCGCTTTATTTATTGTTGTTGTTTTTTTTTTTGCTTTACCAGATTATAGCACCTGCATCCGAGTGTCAACTTTTGACGTTCTTCAACTTCGTTTATCTACTAGTCGCAACTTTAGAGGGTACCTACGTGCTATGGAAGAAATCGAAGCAAACGTTTTACCTTGTAGTTCCCGCGAAAAGGAAGTTGTCTTGTTGGACAAGCCGAACAATGCAAAAGATTCAGCCGACGTGCATAAAATGGCCATTGAGGATTCGACAGACGTGCATAAAATGGTTGTCGAGGATTCTTCAGATGTAGACAAAATGGACGTCGAGGAATCAGCAGACATGCATGAAATGGTCGAAGATGATTCAGCGCATGAAATGATCATCGAGGATTCGGCAGAAGTGCACGAAGAGATGGCGGGAGATTCAGCTGTATTAAACGAAGTGGTTGCGGAAAGTTCGACCGAAGTAAATGAAGTGGTCATGGAGGGTTTGGCTGAAGTAAACGAAATGGTCACAGAGGGTTCAGCCGAAGTAAATGAAGTTATCGTAGATGATTCGACTGAAGTGCATGAAGTGGTCATGGAAGATTCAGCTGAAGTGCTGCACGAACTGGTCGTGGACAATATCAAAGAGGTATCTGGAAATGAGTGCATGAATAATATTGGTGTTTTGGAAACGTCTGATAAGGTTTCGTCACAGGTCAATCAAGTCGTCATTACTAATGTCACAGTGAAACCAGAAATGACTTATAATCTTGAAAATCGTGTTGAAAATACATTATGTGATAATGATGGTGTTTTGAATGACAGTAACAACTCTCAATCATCTGATTTGGATACTAAGTATATTGATATAATGGAAGTGACTGAAGAAATTGATAAAGGAGAATGTTCAGAAGAATGTGTATACATAGACAACGAGCAGGAAATTGAATTTGAAGTTGTCGAGCATGTGAATAAAAGTAATGAAATTGAAGATATTGATAGTAATACTAACATTAACAATATTAATGAATCAGTTGACAGATCTGAAGAATCAACAAATAATAGTGATAAAGCTAAAGAAAAGGTTGGTTCAATGACTGAAACTAAAAACCCAGATGGTTCAATAGTTTTAAAAAGAGATAAAATGACTGTTACAATTCCTCAACATATTGCCGGACGTGACATTTCATCTTTGACCGAAGAAACACTTCCTCGTTCTGGAAAACGAATGTTAAAGCCTAGGTTTGGCGTTAAAGTACCTTATATTCACATGACTAGCCAGATAGTCACTCAAGATGAAATTGCCAAAGAATTATTTGAACGGTTTCAACAGAAATATCCAATAACTCGTGTTAATGTTGTTGATTCACAAGAAAAAGTTTATGCAATGAAATTGTCTCACCAAATAGCTAAGACATTTTCACCTAAATCTCTGCCTAATTCTTCTGATAAAAACTCTGAAAAAAAGATAAAAACCAATAAAGAATTTAAAAAAAAATCTGAGAAAATTAATAATACTAATAAATCCAGAAATAAATCATTGAAGACTACATCTGTAGAAAATAGTCCAATCCAAATTCAAAATCTCGACATTGAGTTTGCCAATGATATAGAAATTAATGATTCACAACACATTGATCAAATAACCAATACACTACAAAGTTTAGGTCAGTCTGCTGATCAGCATATCAAGTCTGAAGATAAGAATGATGAAAAAATATCTTCCAATGAAGAATTAATTGCTATTCTTGAAGATTTTGAGAATATTGAAACTCTAGAACCAAATATTAACAATGTTCCTGAAGTAATCCCAATTCCAAAACCAGTTGTGAAAAAGAAAATGGTTCGAAGCACTACTAGAACAAAAAGGTCTAAACCAAAAATGGATCCAGAAATAGAAAAACAAATAGCTTTAAAACAGCTTCAAGAAGTATCAAGACCCACACGGTTTGATTCTCATTATATTAAAAGAAAAGCAGAAAATGAAAAAAAATTATCAATGAAAAATGATCTCGGTTCTGTTCAAAAACGTAAGAAACCAACACCTGCTGATGTACCTGAAGTTAAAATAGCAATTGATCATTTTATTAAATCATATACTGACAAACGTCAATCTACTGTTGTTAAATTGGAAGATACCTCTAATGATGAAACTGTTGCTGATAATCTTGAAGTGGTACCACCTAAATCTGAGATTAAAACTAATAGTCTTGCCAAAGCAAGAACTATGAGAGAAATAAATCGCCTTTTAGGTGACGAGGGTGCAATAAATATGATTTATTCCCTCGAAAAAAGACGAACACCAGGTAATAATAATGATAAAAATGTTCTTCCATCAACTCGACGCAAGAAAAAAGATTTGATGTTAAAAACTAAATTAGTAAAGAATGCTATGCTTAAGATGAGTTCTCCAACAGCTTCATCTATAACTATTAACCGCCTTGGTAGACGATCTGATGTGTGCACTCCAACTATTTCACCTGAGAATCAGAACATTTGTACGCGGAAAACTTCTATAGACTCTCAAGATTCTGACCAATCTATGAAATGTCTGCAAAATTTTCCTGGTAGAAACACCATCCCTGCTGACGAATCTAAAATTATAAGAAAACATTCAACTAGTAGCGAAGCCTCTAGTGTTGGCGAAAGTAGTCCAATACTTCCAGTTCCTGATACTGAATCTATTAATAACTTAAATAAAAAAATCACACCAGTAAAAACTTTAAGAGTATACACTAGGAAAAATAAAAATTCTGGTGATCTTATATTGAATTCAAGTGATCAATCATTTGATGGAGTGAGTAAAGAAACAAATAAAAGTTGTGTTAAACCCAAGAATCTTGCCAGTCAAAAAATTAAAAAACAATCGGTACAAGGATCAAAATTATCAAGTTAGTAAAATGCTATTATAAAAATAATAGTTTCAAAAATCTAAATTAAATCAATGCATTTTATGTTATTTTTTTTTAATAGAATCATTAGCAGAAAGTGTTAAACAAGAAGTTGAAAATATTGTGTATAATGAAATCACCATAAGACAATATGATGGAGTAGTGCATATTACATTAACACCAGTATCTACTTTCATGAAAAATGCTTTAAATATATCTGTAAATTATATTCATTGATTGTAGTTTTTATTTTAAACTGAGACTTCAAATAACTGTTAAATTTGTTTTAGGTAATGAAAGAACTGATGAAAGAATTACATAATTTAGAAACCGATGATACTTGTAAGGTAGTTTTAGTGTCTTCAGCTGGCAGAATATTTTGTCAAGGATTAGATATAGCACCGCTGATAAACGATAATCCAGAGAAATGTAAAGAAGCTGCTGTTGAAATTTCATCAACTCTCAAGTAATTTTAATGTATATTTTTACAGTATTCTCCTTGAAGCTATAGAAGATATTGCCTATACTTTGTTTTATATAAATAAATTTGTATATGAATTTAAAAATTTAGTTGGATATAATATGATTTATTTACACTGTCATGTTCATTTCTGACATACAAAATAACCCACTTTTGAATAATAGACATTTTTTTATTTAATTAAATAGTTAAACAGAAAATTCACATTTAACAACCTCTTAAGTAGAATTAATACTAAACATGGTGAGGTCAAACTATATTTATTTTCTCATTAATCATTTAATTTTTTTTAAAATTGTATAGTGTAGCAATCCCCCTTCTCTTTCCCTTACCATTAATTACGGGTTTTCCATATAGGTGGTGTTGAAAAATCATTTGCTTTTCAAGGGGCAGTAATTTTAATAAGTTTAAGAAATATTATTATAGATAACTAGATTAATCTAGATTAAACTAGATTAATACAGCTGGCCATTGACAACCTTAAACACATTTTTTCTATTAGTAAATATGACTAAATATTTGTATTTCATTGTTATCATATAAGTAAATTTACTATTTATCAACAAATAATAAATATACAATGCAATTGTTATTATTACAAAATATATAATGAATTATAAATAACTTAAATTATATTAAATTCAAATTGTGTTGATTTCCAAAGTTTTATGTTTAAATTATTTTATCTATATGATACAATTATAAAATATAACTTCTATAATATACATATATATATTTTGTTTTCCATAGGAATTTTATTACATGCCTAAGTAATTTTCCTAAATTACTTGTGGCTGGTGTAGATGGAGCAGCTGTTGGTCTTGGTGCTACTATGCTTGTTCATTTTGATTTGGTTTTTGCCAGTGATAAAGCAACATTTGAAACACCATATGTGCAACTCGGGCATATTGCCGAAGGTGCTGCTACAACTATTTTGGGTAGACTTTTAGTTGCAGAGATGATTATGGGGAGTCAGAGGTTAACCGCTGGACAAGCTCATTATTATGGCTTGGTAACAAGAACACTTTGGCCTGATCGATTCCATGACGAACTAATACCATTGGTTAAAGCATTAGCTAGGCAATCGTTACAGGTTGGTTTGGTGTATTTTTTTTAATTATATTTATTTGTGTATTAATTAATATATATATCCTACTACTATATTGTAAGTATACAAATTGTACATAAATTCTGATTTATTTATTCTTACATATACTGGTTAGTAGTTTTTATAAGTATTTGAATTGTTTGAATGTTGTACTTCATTAAATAGAAAGTTTGTTGGTGTGCATTCTGCTCTGTATGATGTTCCGTAAAAAAGCATTTCATATGCATTGCCCTCTTGTTTATTTTTATGTAAGCATAAGTGACCATGTGGACAAGTACATTTTGTGTATGTTGAGTAATAGTCAGTTCTTATATGCCCACAAAATTCGCCTGTGTTACAATCCTCCAACTAAAATTATTAAAAAAAATAAGTTTAAAAGTTTACAATAAGCATGAGATATTAATTTACCTTTTTACATTTGAATGAATCTTTGATATAACTGTTGTCTGCAATTTCACCATGTTTGTATTTTTGTTGGTGTTCTGTTAATAACCAAGTTGTATGATATGGGCAATTGCAATGAACTTTAGCTTTAACATGAACAGTGTTGTCTTCTTTATTTGTTAAAATTGTTATAGATTCACCAGATGTCTTTGTACAATCAGGAAGATTGTTTATTGGTTCACAAAACTAAATAAATAAATTAATACATTTTTATTTGGGTTAACTATATTTTGTGATTCTTATCCATATTCATATCTAAAACACCTTTAGTTGAGAACGGTTGTCCAAAGGCATTGTATGATTGTCATTAGTGCTCCACTTCCATGGACATTCTTCACGATTTGGACATTTACATAAACGTTCAACTTGTTTTGGAAACCAAAATCTAAGATGTACAATATTGCATACAGTATACTGTTCACAGATACCTAAATCTCTCTCACTTTTTGCCTTTAAAAAAAAATAAAAGAAGCATATTGTTATTTTTTAATTGAAATTAACTGTATATACTATAAAAAATATAAAATTAGTTTACTTCTCCTGGATATATAAACACAGCGTTGTCAGTTTTACTAGATGTTACTGCTGTAAATGAATCTATATTTACAGCAAATATGCAGTGCACATTGACTACACTTATCAAAGTATAATATACAATACAATTTATCCACATTATCATTTTCCAAAATAGACTGTACTTTTTTAAAATTAATTTACCCTGAAAACAATTGTGATTATTTGATTTTGTAATAGTTGAATATATATAGATGATTGCTTCTAATTATGTTTAGGCAATCAAGACTACGAAAACTCTTCAAAAACAAGATACCAAAGATAAATTGGCTAAAGCATTAGAGTTAGAAACACATATTTTAGTACAACAATGGACTGGCGACGAATGTCAACAAAATTTACAAAAATACTTGAAAAATACGGCTGACAACATAAACACTTAACTACATATGTATTTTTATTTAGTATTGAGTGTTCATCATGTAGTTTAAAAAAAATATTATCTGTATAAGGAAAATATAATAATAATATTATTATAGATGATGACCCACCACTAAAAATAATACTTGATAGTAAAATCATACTTCTTGGATCAAAAAAAAACAGTTGTTAAAATTATAGAGCATAAATTTATATTTTAAAATATATTCTATATTATTTAAATTATATAGGATTTTAAGTAATTTTTATATTATTTCTGGTAAGTAATGAGTTTTTTTTAAATTATAACTAAAGAATTGACTTTTAACATAACAACAATTAGTTATTCAATCAATAAAGGGTCATTTAAAATATTAAAGTTTATTATCACATACATTATAAGTCTAGCTTTTTACTAATATTAGTATTGTTATTGGTATTTTTTTTTAGCAAGCACTGACAAATTTTTGTGGTCCCATACATACATATTTTTTATATTATAATTTACAAAATTTTAATTTTGGTACTCATATATTATTTAGGTGTGTTTATTTAAAGTTTAAGTTTTAACTACTTTAGCATATAATTTATGTAATTTTCCACACATTTATTTATTGTTGTTATCTGTTCTATAATACTATAATTTTTTAGATTATTAGTATAAATGTTTGATGAAAATTAACAGAATAAATATTAATATTTGTATAGATTTACATTATTTATTTGCTTTCAAATCTCATTATATTTTCAGAATTCTAAATTATATAATGTTATGGAAAACTATGAGATATGCAATTAATGTTAAAAATTTACTTTAACTACTGTTGATTTTGTACCTTCTTAGTTGTATGTTTATTTATGGACTGCACTGGACTAATTTTTTTTTTATATAGATTATATAATAATAACATAGAAAATTAAATTGGAATTGTTATATTATGTTTATTAGTTTTATGATAATGAATATTCAAAACATATAATTAATTTAGTATCATTATAATATAATAGTCATATTGACTTAATAGTACCTAAAATATACTATAAAATTGGTTAATTTAATTGATTTAAAAAACCTTATTTTTTTTTTTAAAATAACAATAAAATGTATAATTGCATTTTTGAGACTAATATAAACATATTTGAATGATTTTTCTTTTTTAATTAGATTTATTTCATTTTTAGTATAATATAAATATTAAATCATTAAAATAAAAATGGGTCGGATTTATGTTTAGTATATTATAGAATTTATAATTTTGTTAAAATATAAAAAAAAATGTGTTATAAATAATATTTTAAAAATATTTAAATGCATGAGTAATTTATAAGTTAAATAGAAATTAACATATTTATGTCTTGGAAAATAAAAAGTATATTATGATGCATGTCAGTAAATTTTAAACCAGTTAAAAAATATTTGTTTTTTTTTTTCATTTTTAATCAATTGAACAATTCTAACTTATAAATCATAAAATAAATAAATATATAAAATATGTTTTTACTTTTTTTTTTATATAACTTACAATTTTTATTAAAGGATAGTTATATGAAGAAATGATAATATGATTGTTTTCAATTTAAAAATATATTTTTTTTTTTTTTTTAATTTTAAGTTAATTTAAGTCTCCGTGCCTAATTTAAAGGCTCTTTAGCATTTAAGCTTAATTTTTAAAAGGGCTTATAAGCATAGTAAATAAATGTAAACAATGTATGTTGTTGAAAGAAAATAAATATTAGTTATTGAAAATTTACTTTTTATTAACCAAACTAGATTTTTAGGTATTTATGTTCAAATAATTACTACTGTCTTGACATAATTGACTCTAAAATAAGATATATTTTTTACCAACTGCTGTCACTTAAATAGTAATTTGATGATAGATAACTAAATAAGTATTTATTAGTTTTATTTAATTATCTTCATTAAACCAATTTTAAAATTTTTAGAGTAAACAATGAGTTATTTTAAATATATTATTAAAGTCTAAAATCAACATCAAACTAGAATTGTTAAAATGTAATATTTTAAAGTACTAGTGAAACAAGGTTATAAATTAAGAATTTTTTTTGGAGATTGTGTAAAGCCAAACTATGATTTAAAGCTGATATCATATGATACCTGATTTGACTAGACTTAAATTTTCAATAATGTATTTTGAGTGAGTGAGAATTCTCTATGAGTCTTAATATTATGTAAATACATGTATAGGTATTTATTATGTTTATTGAGTAGTATAGGTTGGACGGCATATAAATAATAACTACATATTTTTAGCATTTTTTAAAAATAATAGCATATAATAGAATGTAGTTACGTAAATCACATTAAAATTTTATAAACCAACTATTAATGTGGAAAAGGGTAATTATGAAGCATAGAATGAACTTAAACACTTGAATCTTTCATTTCACCGCAGTTTAAACTAAAGGACAATTTTTTTAGTAGTCTGTCTAATAGATATCGTTTTTACATTTTTTTATTTTGATTTGCAAATATAAAAATATATTTATTCCATTGGTTATATATATATATATATATTATATATTCAATGTTTATTATCTCAAAATGTGTCAATTAAAAAAAAAGATAAGTTATATATATATATAAATTATTAAATAAATACGAAGTAGACTGCTCACCACGTGAGTTGCCAATTCGACTCAGTTTACCATTCAGTACAATGAGTATATAGTTATTTTTGAGAATACATAATGAATCATAATCAAGTATATAATACCAATTTACATTTAAATTATAGTTACTGTAATTATATTGAAGTTTAAAATTCCTCAAAAAATAAGAATACCATAAAAATAAATTGGACATATACAAACAAACACAGTTATTAAAAATCGCTACCAAAATATTTATTCTTATGGCTCAAAAATAGATTTATTAATAGAAAAGATTGCTTTAACTAGGTATAATTATTATACTTGTATAATAATATTTATATTTATGGACCATATAAATTCGATTTAAGAAAATCAAAATCGTAAATGAAAAATTGTTTAACAGTTTAAAATTATAAAATGATAAAAACGTTTTGATTTCAAATTATTTTAAAGTAATTATCTAATTTCTTGTTTATTATTGTCAATTGATTCGTAATGGTACCTACTTAGATAATGCTTATTAGGTATATACTTACCAACAAATATTTGATTAGTTACCATTAAGTACTGACGCCACGAGGAACACCTGAAGTATACTGAATTATAATAAAAATAAATAAAATTGAAAAATAATGTTTATAGGTACCTATCTGAAATATTATTGTTTTATTGTTACACACATTGAGAACGATAAGAAATTCCTACCTGAAACCACCTGTTGTAGGTATATGATCTAAGATAACATATCAAAATCGCGAATGATTTATATTAAAATTTTAAAGAGATCTAATACTTAGATATTATACCAAATTTTAAACGAATGCATACTCTTATTGCCTAAATATACATGCATTGGTTGCATTAAACAGTCAACGAGAATATAACTATTCATCTTTAATTTAAACTGCGTCAAGATTAATATTATAATTAGGTACCTATAATACGATAATATTATTATATTATTGTGAAAGATCACGCACAAATTATAATCCCTAGTAAAAACCTAGATAGCGCGTGCGGCACCTTAAGAAAAATGTAAAACTCCGTAAACCCATTGCAGCATTAACTTTCATGTAATTTTGGAATGTAGGTATGCGCCTTAATTTTGAAAATAAATTGAAAAAGAAACCGACCGAAAATTAATTTTTCTTGAATCGTACGACATCATTTGTTTTCAAACCTGTTTGAATTGCATAACTACATGTTATGTTTCTTTTCTGTTTCTATGTTACTTTTCCGATTTCCCACCTACAACAGTGGCGTACCCGTCCCCAGTATCAGTTTTTTTTCGTGTTGTTGAACCTATTATTTTTTAGATTTTTTGTCCTAGTCTAGCAAAATTGCACAACATTTTAACTCCATGAAAATACACAACTTGAAATGAAATACCAGAGGCAATTTTAATTTATTTTGTAAAGTAATTTTAGTTAAAAAAAGTATACAATTTTAAAAACTTCGCTTAGAATCGTTTTTTGTTAGCAATAATTTATCGTTGAATATATAAATTGTACTAAATTCCCCTTTACATTTTGCATAATGTATTTATTTACCTTTCAATAATAGATGTATTATGTAATATGTATGTTTATTGTTTATACGTATACATGTATGAGATGAGTGTACAAAACGTCGCGGAATCGGAAAAAATATTCTCGAAGAGAAATTCGGGCTGTTGTGTTACGTTCCGATGCATCCTGATGTTCCGATTCTTTCAAGGAGATTTTTACTGAGATTTATACATAAACTTTGCGGCAAACTTATTATAGATCATTAATCATTATTGTTTACTGGAATAGATTTCTTACGAACAAAATAACAGACCCTTATTACTTATTACTACTTATTAAGTACAATCAGTGGCGTAACCAGGGGGTTGTTTTGAGGGTCTGAATACTTCTCTCCAACCGCGTTTATGTAATATACATTTATTAAAACTGTGTTTTTTTTAAAAAATACGTAGATATACGGCACTACTCTTTCAAAAAACGTTGTTTGCGCCACTGGATACGATATTTCGTTTGTACAATTAAAATGTTGGCCGTCGATTATTCGACCAATAATGGCCCTAAAGGCGCTAATTGTATAGTTTGAAACTAACAAACAATGAGAACCAGTGATGTATAAAGGATACGGTTTTGGGGGTTTCAACTCCCCTCTCCCAAAATGTGTAGTTGGTACGGCATACGTGCGTTTTATAACCCTCTCCCCAAATTAATTTTTATATACGCCACTACTGAGAACAATAATTGTTTTCAATTTTTTATTATCTATGATGTTAGATATATTAACTATCAATATGTCTTCAATAATATTGTGATAACGCGTGCCCTCGTTTCGTATTCTGTACCTATAACTTAATTTATGACGGATGAATGAAAAAAAGATCGTTATAATTACGGTTTATCTTCTTATTTTTCTTTTAAGTAATATTAAAAAGATAACTATAGTACGTAACTACTATCAGAAAAAAAAAAAACAAAATAATAATAATATTCTAGTTACCTAATATATAAATGATTATATCAGTCATCAGTGCATATATAGTAAGTCTGCTAGTCTGTGCAGTCTGTGCATATCATTAGGAATTACATTTTAATTTGTAATACTAAAAAAAAATTATATAATAATGGATGATATTATAAAAAAAAAAAAAAAAAAACTTAAAGAGTGCATTATAATATACAGGCCACAGGATAATGAATATTCGATAAGACATGAATTATCTCAGAAAGTGTTAATTTTTTTCGGAGACTTTTTTTTATATAATTATTAATTTATGAAACCATCACCAATAGAAATTTCCGGTGATAAGCAATCGTTTGAAATTAATGAAACCCCGTTTACGTAAACGTCAAACGTGGCCCAGTCGCATAGCAACATACTGCATACAAAATAAAACCATAAAAGCTTACTCAACGAAGTTTTATACAACTATAATTGGGGTTTATTCGCGATTTAGAATCCTCAAATAAGAGTTTACTAAAAACGGTAGGTAAATAAAACTCAAGCTAAACTAAAATTATACGCGAACATTCAAAAAATGGTTAGGGTACACCAGTGGCGTCGCGTACTTTTAAAATAATATAGAAGCAAATCATGGTTTTATAACCACCGTCCATCCCAATAATTTGCACAACACCTATAGACTATAGTTGTTATAATAGCTACATATACGTTTAGCACCGTGTTCCTCTTAATCATTCAAAGTTCATAAGAAACTAACCACTAGCCCTAAAAAATCAGAAGCCAGACATACACAAATATAACAATTATTAGTTTTCAGTATTTATATTTTTTGTAGGTACATTTAAATATTGAGTTTTATTTTATTACGCAATAATTTAAAGCATTATGCCATATTAATGTGATTAATTCGTAGTAAATCGATATGTAGGTAACCTACGTTTAGAGTTAGAAGTTAGAAAGAATATTTGAGATGTATTAAATGATATGCATTAGTACTTTCAGTACTAGAGTTACAAAATATATTTTTAACGTGTCGTGTATTCTAATCTAAACTATATTATGTACATCATTTTACGATCAGGTAAATTTTATTTTACTGGGTAAACAAAAATAAAAATTACATCTACTCAGCAGTTGATTTGCTTCTCTGCCCGTCGATCCGTCTATTTCGGCTTCTTTATTCGGTGTAGACTTAACCTGGAACGACATAGGCAAAAGCATTTAATTAATATTTTATTACCTACTACAGAATTTGTCAGTAGTTATTAAATAACAATTGCAAATAAAAATATGAAATACCATAATAATATTTTAAAATTTTTGAATTTTTACATTGTTTTTTACTATAATAATATTACAAAGTGAAATTTTACTATTATCACAATGTTAATTTGATAAATGGTCTCTGTGAAATTTTTTAAATTCTAAATTTTAGATTCTGAGCAAAGCGAGGAATATATTGGTTTTACATTATGATGTTTATTTTTTTATTTTTCATACTGTGTACAAAATTTCTAAGAAAAAGTTTGCTCCGATATATCAAGTGTAGAATCCTTTCTAATAGAAAATTTTAGTTTTCATAACGATGTGGAAAAACCGGGGAAAACATAGGAAAAACGAGAACATTTACGAAAATAAAGCTTTTACTACTTTAAATTTTGTTTGTTTGCTGTAATTCAATTAAAAATATTTATAAATACTTGAAATTTGAACAGACAAATTATATTTGGCATTTAAAGACGTCGTAACATTTTCAAAACATTTGAGTCATTTTTGAGCTATTAATATAAATTTTAATTTTGTGAGTTTTTATGTAATTTTATTAGATACTCTGTGAATAAAATGCTTAACCGAACAGAAATGCTTGAAAATTGAACTGGAGGTTCATATGAGTTGTACTTAGTAGTCAAAATAAAAAAAAAATATCAAGTAGATTTTTATTTTATAAGAATTTTAATATCAATTTTTAACGAAAATCATTTTAGTAAAAAATTATGTATTAATATAATGTATGACTATTGAAAAGTATACGGTTATATTACTATTATTATATCACTATAATATTATAATATAGGTATATTTATATATACTATAATATATTATTTAATTGTTTTACTATAATATGACAAATATTTTGTTGACTAAGCAATACTATTAACCGAGCTTCGCTTAGAATACTTTTTCGTTAGCAATGATTAATCGTTGCGTACAGATATATATTAAATTCCCCCCTCTCTCATATCCTACCTACTCAACTTTCAGCTATCTACAACAGTCTATCCATTGTGCGAAGTATGTCCGTCTTTTTGTTAATTATATTTTATACATGGAAGTCACATAATTAAAACCGTAAACACGTAACTATTATTCTATGTCTATGAGTATAACTAATAATATTAATATTAATATTAATTAATATTTTAAAAATCGTGTATTATTATCATGAATATAATAGTTTGGTTGATGTAATAATTATAGTAAGGTTATGATTATAATGGACATAGATAACAATACTTACTGTATATTTTAATCTACTATTCATTTGTATTTTGGCGGCAAAATGTTTCATTTAATAATATTAAGCAAACTACAAGTTGGGCATGACATGTTTGTTGTCTCATACCTATCTACTTAGTCATAGGTACATGCACAATATAATAATAGATCATTAATTTTGGCCGATTTTCTGATATCGCGTTTTTAGAATATTAATGACCGCTAGAATAATCTGCAGACGTGCAGTTATTTTATCGTTATTCATAAAATTAATTTAATCCATCTCTACTACTTCCTCTTCTACTTCTTCGGCTTCATCCTAGCTATTTGAGGTTGGCAGCCTTTGTCCTAAACTTCCACTTGATTTGATCTCCCACCTCACATCATACACTGACTGTATTTGAGTGTGCTCATATCATTCTCAATCTCATCCAACCATTTCTTTTTCGGTCTTTCTTTTCCTCTCTTTCCTCCCATGTTTGTTTCCACTACTCCTCATGACATGCCCAAACTATCTTAGTCTATTATTGTCTCTTATTTTCCTGCATCACTACTTCTAATAATATACTCGTTCATTGTTATCTTTCATCACTCCTCTCATCCACCTAAGCATTTTCATCTCTGATACACTCATTCTATGTTCTTTTGTTTTTTTTTTTTGTTCCCATATACATCGAAGATAGTCAATTCGCCCAAGCTTTGTTTAGAACTCTTCAAATTATTTAACAACATTTTTAAACCAGCTCATGCTTTATACCTGTCTCAAAGGCGTAGCCAGAGGGCAGAGGGACAGGGGGGAAATTATTATCCCTCCCTGTTCAAAGCTAACAAATATATTAAATTTTAACGAAATTTTAAATTGGAAAAGGAATAGACGCGAATGTTCTACCAGCTTAAAAATCTTTTTTTTCTCATACTTACCATGGTAATAACTCAGCTAGTTTAAAAAATTACTTTGTATACATATATAAAAGCAAATTATACGCTGAATAATCAGTTAGTGCAACACACATGAAGTTGTCAATTCAAAGTCACCTTTTCGTTTACAACGAACAATGAATATAAGAACATTTTTCACTCGTAAGTGCATAAATTATTACTTGTTTTATTTAAGTATATATTAACACACTGATTCCCACGGCCAATGTGTAACATTGCTCCCATAACCACGTTGACGCGTAGTCCACAAATTGGCTTTATAATTACTCGGATTTCAAGGCAATGCTTTCTTTTGATACATGACTATTTATTTAAACAGCTGTTTCTTTTACGGTGTATTTGGTAATATGTGTGTAATCATTTCTAAGTATTTTTCTTTATTTGAGCCTATGGTAAATACACTACAGGCAAAAAGTTTAAACCTTCTCGCATATACAGATCACATAAAACAAATTCTTAGAATCGTAAAAATCCATTATCAAAATGTAGATGTTGAAATAGAAGATCTTTTAAAAGCTGCTCAAGAAGTTGCTAATCAGATAAGAAATAGAACTAATACATCTAGAACTATAGTACGACAAAAAAGTTGTCTCACTTGTTTGTTAACTGGTAGCTGTTTTCTCCGGTTTTCATCGTCATCCGTCCGACTTCTCACGCGAGTAATCGATGTCCCTCCTGTGGCAGCGGACGCAACAGGCGCTGCGCCTATTGTACCGACCCCGGGACCGAACAATCCAGACAATCCTGTGCCCAACAAGCCTGTCGTACCCAAAAGTCCTGTGCCTAAAATGCCGTTTACTCCGCCTAATATGGCTGGTACGGCTCCATATCCAAAACCACCGATGCCGGCGGTGCCATATCCCCCGTGTCCGCCGAAACCACCTCCCGTTCCGGGACCCCCGCCGTATCCACCGGCAAATCCGTTACCGTAACCGATCCCCGCATTATTGGAGTATCCATAGCCGAACAATGGTCCGGAAAAAAACGATTTCAACGTTGGTATGAGTAGTATTAAAAGTGCGTGTAGGAGAAATGCGAGGAACGCCAACATTGATATTAACGTCGATGGTTCTAGGCCAAATCCTAAACTGCAAAATAAAAACACAAATAATATAATTATACACTTGAATGGTTTATAGTTTATCGCCCCTGGTGTAAATAACGATCAATGTAAATTTATAAGATTGTTTATTTCATTTTGTTTGCAAACATTCGGATTTAATTTAATTGAAACGGTGCAGTGTTTATTAGATAGGTTGGTAGTTATTTGTTATTTATATATATATATGTGTAGTTCACTTTTTACTTTATGAAAATATAATATAGATATAAAATTCCGTGACATAGCTGATATAAGTAGGTATTTAAATCATTGAAAATATTTCAAAAGTTACTGATAAATTTTTATGCTGTTATTTTAGTGTAACAAAATGAATTGTAAAACTCTACCGGTAACGTGGATTTATATAGATAAAGAAATTTAACATATAATATAATACGTTGGTTTGTGTATTGTAATATATCGTTTACCTTGAATTGTGTATTATGTATTGAATTATTAGATAAATTAGGTATCTATCATAATTAAAAATATAGTAATAATTCATTATGATTACCTAATAAAGTATCATTTTCCGTTTTATAAAATAATATGCACCATCAATATTCAATAAAATTATAACATTTAATTATAACCAATTTACCAATTTACTTTAAAAAGTATAGAAATAAAATAACTATAATATTATATTTCCTAAATATAAATAGATACCTAACAATTTATACGGGTTTATACTTACCCATTACCTCTTGAAGGATGATAATCTTGTATCTCGCCATAAGATCTTTCCATCTTCACTGTATCCATGATGATGTTTACTGCTGTCAAGAAGTTGCTCGAATATTTATAACAAAAAATATCAGAAATCTTCAGACCATTTTTATATATTGTTTAGTCGTAAATCCGTTACTTTTAACCATAGAACCGTATCCAAGTCCAGACTACAAATACATACATGGCTAATGTCAAAAGCAGGAAACATATTATAATATGATGTATATTTAATGGTTATAAAACTGTCACATCATGAGCTTACAAAAATTTGACGATTGTTTACTTATATTAACAATAATATCTCAACGGTTCAGTTACCTTAATTATGTATTGTTATAGTTTATAATCGCTTATTTTAGTGGCGTGGCGAGCATAGGTTGAAATGGGTAATTTCCCGCGGTCAATTATGGCCGATAATGTCAAACGCCAGTGTGTATGGAACCAATAACGTATACCTACTGAACTATTCAATCAAAGTTTTGATTGTCTTTACTATTCAGTACTCGACTTGGGGTACGTAGTGAGACGGAATACCTTAAATAATTTTTTAGTAATTTTAGCATACTTCTATTAGGTATTTGTTTTAAATGGAACGCTTGAGTTATTTTTTGATTTTTATTAAAATGCATTTCCATTAGAGTTTGGATTTAAAACACTCATAAAAAAAATCACTTTACATTTATATGCTCAATTTTGTTTTCTTCCACTAATTTCAACTTATGTATGGTAAACTTGTATTCAATTTTCGAGCAATTTATTTGGGTTATACCATGGCTAAATATATAGGTATGATAACAATTTTTTGATACGTAAATACAATGGCTGCCATTGGCACTGATTTATACTCATATATTTTTTTAGCCATAAGTTACATGAATTTTAACCACATATAAAACCAAATAAAAACTAAAAAAATTCGAAAATTTCAATCGTCTAACTCAAAACTTGCCATAATCTTTTATAAATTATTATACTATTTCTGGAAAGGTCTAATTTATATTATTATAATAATCATTTATATTTGTATTCGGCAATATTTTAGGTTTATACGATTAATTTTCATTGAATTACAAAAAAAAAAAAAAAAAAACAGTCGATCGAATATAATTAATACAAAAAACGTTATTGACATTTATCGGACATTTTTCTAAGTTTTTATTTTTTCTTATTGAAAAAACCACAAGAGAAATTAAAAAATAACCTATATAATACATCAAATAAACACAATTATCGACCAGAAACTACTACTAGTTAACGATATAAGTTAACGATTGGAACAAAATATCTGGATATTAATAGATATCAAGATATCTGATATACATCATAGAAAAGTTGTTTACAAACAAAACAATAATGAGGGCTCATATTACAATAATAAGATAAGTCCACTTTTCGAAATAATTGCTCAAGAGAAAGAAAAAAAATCTATCAATACTATTGGACTTGGTTTTTTTTTTTTTTTACAAGAATTTGGTTGAACCCATAGATAAACCTTTTACTAAAAGACGAGCCTTTTGAACTCGGAGAACGGTCAAGGATAGAGGGCGCTTTTCACGTGTGATTTGTTACTTTTATAAGGTATTATTGTACATTGTACTACATGTACTACACTGACCGGTTACAAACAGCTACTCTATAGGCAAGGCCAGTATATTAGTATAAGATTTATGGTTGAACTATGTAAGTCCTTACCACTATATTTTTCCGTGACTAGTAGACGAATTATTACATTATTGTTGCACCAAATTATGGAACATTAATAAATTGCTAAATTAATTGGTTTACTCGAAAATATCAAAAAGTCATTTTGGACATGCTTTGTTGCTGCATTGAGCCTTTAATTATAGTATAAATGTGTAAAGGACTATGATAGGCTTGAAGATAAAGCTTCCCCCCCATGGATTAGATTGAAATCAACAATTGCAAGGGACGTTAAGTTCTTTGTAAGTCTTATAGTCCCTCTTCTATTTTTTTAATTCAAGCTGTGATTTACATAATATTATGATAACATTATAATTAGGGTAGGCATATTTATTCATAATACAGTACAATAGAGTTAGCCATCCATGGATCAGTGAATCATTTTTTTTATGTTAATGTATAGGTACTAGAAAATTACATTTATTCGATGATTAAGTGTCACTCATCGCGCTGTTGCCTACACACCGTCAATGTTTTCCCATCATAACGAAAAGTGTTAGATAGGTATTTCAAAAAGTTATCTTGATAATGGATCGACTAAACACAACATTGTATAAAAAGCTTTTACGAAGTATTTGATTGGAGCAAGAATTCAAATGTTTAGAAAACCTGATGTGTGATCCGAAATTAAAAAAGTGCACTAGGTGTTAAGAAGGTAGATATTCAAGAAATTCGCCACAGTAAACCGATGTAAAAATATTACAAACTGGTGTATTTTTGTTTCGACCAGCGTAAAAAGAGATCAATAGTTACAGATCCCGGTTTCTCTCTATTATAAATTTGATATTTTCTCCTTATTCGACTTGTTCATTTTTTAATCACATTTTAAGATATCGATGATCATTTAATAATATTCATTCAATAATCTTCAAGTCATTTGAATTATACCTAGGTATATTTCACTGCCGGAATTCTGTAGTTACTAATAACTTATAACTACATTGTTTTTATAACGACGATAATGATATAATAAATTAAAAAGAAATTGGAAGTGGGAGCAAATGTCTAGCTAAATTGTTTTGAAATATTTTGCACTATATGATGATACCATATATATGATAATCCAGGCAATAATTATGTAGGTACCTATCTACCTATACATAATTATTGTGCCTAAAAATGGTCGAAATATTGTATTTAAAATATTTTTATGCGGACAATACGTACGAAATTAAAATAGTTAGCATGGTTTTTGAAAAGAAAAATTTGTTTTATAATAAATAAGTTATTATGTGTTGATGAAAACAATCAATAATATATACCCATATAGGTACCTACTGAACCTGCTAAACAAAGACCTCATTCCACCGCCCCCACTCGTGAACACGCCCCTGCAGGTCGTGCCTGTTATAAAAAATAACAGAAACATTAACTAACAATGGTATTTCGGTAATAATTCATTATTCAACATGATGTTCTTGAAAATAATCTAAGAAAACTGGTTATTGCCAATGATTAAAAAATAAAAACAAATTGCACAAAATCGAGTTGCGATTACGTTTTCAGGGTATCAAGGTCATCGAAGCATCTGAAGACAGCAGAGGAGATAGTAGAACAATTTTTAGAGTGCTCATAAGTTTACTAGGTTATCATATTATGTAATAAGTATTAATAACAATAAGTAATAACTATTAATTATTACACAAAACACATTATAAAATAGTCAAAAATAATGAATCGAAGTTCCTTTAGCTCATAGATGGCGCTAAAAGTATACTTCGAAATGTCAATTGATAACTTCAGGTATCATTTGTAGATATTTTGTTGACGTCCTGAAAAATTAGCGATCACAATTCACGAATCAGTACTCCAGAGGCATCTGTTTGGTGTTGTTATTTTATTTTGTGTTTTGTTTTTTGTGCTCAGAATATTATTATTATTACTACTACTATTGTTACTTTCTCTTTTTCGTTTGTTTGATTTTTCAGTTTACGTACACAATTAAAATTTGTAACTGTGAAGAGCACAATTTCACAGACATCAATGACTATTTAATATTACTACATTGTGCAGCCAAAGCAAAAGTTGTGTTGAGTACACAGGTAAATATTTTTCAAACTAAATACCACCACGGTAGTATCACAATTTGTATACAAGATATTACATTTTAAAATTGATGAATGAAGGTATTATTCATACTAGATACCTACTTACTACATTACTTAAAAAAAAAAAAAAAAACTACTGAAAAAAAATTAATGTTTCTCATTTATTTATAGTTTTGAGTAATGATAAAAATGTGACATACACATTGTACAAATTATGATGTTATAATAAAAAATAAATAAATCAATAATTTTTATTTAAATCCAACCCAAAATTTGTAATAAATACTTAATTATTTGATTTTTTTTTGATATAATATAATGTCAATGCCACATTCAAACAAAAATGTTTGTAATTATGCATTTGATTATTTATTTTAAAGTACACATTTGTCTTTAATGTATCCCAAAGTAACTATTTGTGCAGACAAAATATTAATGTATTATTTTTAATAGGTACAATTTTAAAATATCAGTGTTAACAAATTTTATTTAAGTTGTTAATTATTGAAATTTTCAAAGCTTAATTCATATTTATAATCTTAATTAACCCGGTTGTTTTTCCAATATAATTTAATTTGCATAGCATTAAGCTTAGATAATGATTGTCACACAACACATGACATACAAGTGACCTATTTTTTTATGGTAATATTTTAAAGTTATGTATCCTATTATATGTACATATTGCTAGTATAAAAAAACGGAATAGTATATTTACTCGTGTTTGATTTATATTTATCTTAAGTAAGTTATGTGTATAATTTTAAAGACTAGATTATTATTTTTAGATCTATAAATAGTATTTATTAACTTATTAGTTTATGTGATTTAATATAGTCATCTAACTAATAATAATAATAATATTTATGAATGCGGACAAAAATTTCACTCGAGATTTCAATATTAATTTAAAATGAAACAAGTTAAAGAAGTTCAATAGATACCATTTGTAAATATTATACAGAATTAATTTATTATTTTTGATAAGTATTGAATAATACATTTTTTTATATATGAGTATATCTTTAATGATTGGGTACCTATATAAATATAATTTCAATTGATGAATTATAATTATGTAAATGTAATGTATAAATGCATACATTCAAATAAAATTGATTTGTATTTTTATAAATTTTAAAGCTATTATGTTTTCTTTGTAGAAAATTATAAATACTATTTAAATATTACCTACCTACTTTGCATGCATAATTTAGTTTTAGTCATAATATTTATTTACTTTATTTCACAACATAATGTGCAGTATATTTTAATTGCTAATCAGAACTTATTTTACTAGATGACCTATTGTTTAAACGGGTTTGTTAAGATAGCTAGAGGATATTATTGAAATGTTAATGTTGAAAAATTCTTAAAATTTGTATACAGTACTTTAACCATGTAGCACAATACACAAAATTCCTACCTAACTATAATTTTGTTCTAATAACTAGATTAATATAACCTTAAAAAGATAATTTGACTATTAAAAATATGGTTTTGAACCTATAATTCACTATCTATTAAAGGTACATTACATTACATTTACATGTAAATTATTACGTTACATTATTAGGCATCTTATTACATTTTAATTAGTTACATCAATTTTTGTATGAGTTAAAAGAAATTTTTTTTTGCTAGTTCTATAATCCTGTATTACTAATCTCATAATAACCCATAGAGCTTTACATAACATACACTTTAGACAAAATTACATATTATATTTTCTTTAACTCAAAAATCAATTATTTTATTTCTGAGTTTATAATTTTGGAGTTATAAATATGCCCTATAATATTATTTATAAATTAAATTACATACTTACCTAATTATTATTATATTATTTAATCAATTAAATATTACATAGTAGTCTGTTTAAACCATTCATTATCTATTATTTAATAGTACACATTAAAAAGAAATTGATTTTATATTACTCTGCAATTATCAACTTGTTTCATTTTCAAAACAATTAAATATAGATACCTAGTAATAATTTATTATAAAATTAATTTGCTTTAGTAAAAAATAAATTTTATTTAATTTCTGATGAATATTATCGTTAAGTTTTTAAATTAAATATTTTGTTTCTAAGGAAGACAAATTTGATCTGAATAGCTATAAACAAAAAAAAACCTTGGTAAAACTACAAGGTTAGTGTAGTAGTGGTTTAATGTAACCAAAGTCAAGTTTGTTTTTGAGTTTGGTTGTTTACCTTGTTGTAGGTATTTAAGACATAAAATTTTAATCAAAACATACGAGTTTATTTCAAGCATTTTATTAAGTTAAATCTCATAAAAAAAAAAAAATGTGAGCTGCATAGCCAATTAGTCAAATTTTTCTTCCATCTATTTTGTTATTTTGTAATTTAGAAATATATTATAAATAATAAATAATTAAACACTTTAATAATGCAATTCTACAACTATATACTATTAACAAAAAAAAAAATTTAATTTGAGTCTCAAAATGTGTTTTAAACTATTTAAAGTTCTTTAACATAATATGATATTTTTAGATTTTTGAGCAATATGGCAGAAGCTCATTCAGCAGTTGCATTTTCATTTTCAATTACTCATGAAGGTTGGGATGTTAATTTTGATCGTGAAGTGTTACATTTAGTTTGGGCATCTGGAATTCGTTCTTGGAAAAAACGTTTAGCCAGATTCAAAGTAAGATTTTACTTTTATACCTATTTAAATACAATTGTATGACAAGATTTAAAGGTAAAGTTAAAATGACTATAAAAAATATGTATAAATATTTTAGAATAATGTGCGAAATGGAGTTTTTCCCGCACCATTACAAAGTCTTTGGGCAATGATGGGCATAGTACTCGCTCTTCGATATGCCAATAATAATTTTGTAAAATATACGGACACTATATTACAATACTTACCCGGGTGAGTAAATTAAATATTTCCATCTATTGTAATAAATTTAATACAATTTTTATTTTTTTAGGACAAACTATGTATGGCAAATAATTTCGTGTTTTATTTTATCATTAATTTTTTGGTTAATTGTAATTTATATAGTAAGATACACATTAAAACTTCTGTTGATCTATAAAGGTATTTATTTAAGTTCATATAATGTACTATAATATACAGGATCTGACTGTGACAGGATTATGCAAAAAATTCCAACAATTTAATAATGATTCTGATAAAAAGCTTTAATTGCAAAGTTCCATTGTTCATGACCTTGCCCCAACCACTACTTCACATGCTATCAACTCTGCCTTAAATAATCTCGTTTTACTGTCAGTTCTTGTATATAATATTTTAATTTTAATTTTAATTATACATTTTTTAAATATTTTGTGTATTTAGGATGGATGTATGAAAGTAGAGGCGGTGGAAAAAAAGTGTCGTTACAGACCAAACTTTGGGGTTTAGGTGTAAAATTACTTTCTTTAAAGAGTAAACCATTACTTTACAGCTATCAAGGTTCATTACCAAAACTTCCATTGCCTCCAGTTAATGAAACTATGAAAAGAGTAATAATCATATTTGTCATCTTAGATTGTTTAATTACTTGTATTAATTACATTAATTTTATTTAATATTACAGTATTTGAAAAGTGTCCGTCCATTAATGAATGATGCTGAATATGAAAGTATGGTAAAGCTAGCTAATGAATTTGAAAATGGTATAGCAGTTAAACTCCAACGATACTTGTGGTTGAAATCATGGTATTTATATAAACATACACATGTCATAGATTTATGAGTAATTTAAATTATATTTGTATATTCTATAATACATTATAAGAATAAAAAGAAATGTATTTAATGTTACTATTAGTTTGAAAAGTAAGAAATGAATTATTTTATCTTTTAGCTATCAGTTTTATTAGATTTCTCATTTTACATGGTATAGTATATAATTGTTTAATAACAATTAAGTTATTTAAAAAAAAAAAATCTGATAGATAAATTATTAAATGTATTATATATATGAAAGTTAAATCAAAATACTTCAATTATGTTTATTTAATTGTCTAACTTGGTTATTTAAAATAAGATCATGTCAAGACTTCTTATTAGAAATTATAAACTTTTAATATATCAAAATAAAACTCTTTAAATAAATAGTTTTTAATTATAAAATAATTGAAATAATTTTAGAGCTGAAACACTAGTAGAATAATTTTATTGATAAGTTGATAAATGTACAAACTAATTTAAATCAACAGGTGGTCAAGTAATTATGTATCTGATTGGTGGGAAGAATATGTTTACTTAAGAAGTCGTACACCTTTGATAGTCAATTCAAATTTTTATGGCATAGACGCTATAATGTTGCATTCAACACATATTCAAGCTGCTAGAGCTGCAATGATAATTTGGCAGTGTTTGCAATATAGAAGATTGATTGAACGTCAAGAGCTTGAACCGGTATTTAAAAACTTGAAAATTAATATGTATTATAATTTACATTGCCTACATGTCTATCTATCTCATGATTTAGATCAGAATTCAAGGATTGGTTCCTCTGTGTTCATGGCAATATGAAAGAATTTTCAATACCACACGTGTTCCTGGAGCTGTAAGCGATAAAATTATTCACTACAGCGATAGTAGACATATTGTAGTATATCACGCTGGACGATATTTTAAAGTTATTATATATTGTCAAAATCGTATTCTTCATCCTTGTGAAATAGAAGTGTAAATATTATTTTTGCGTATTATTTATATTTTAAATGTGCTAAACAATTTTTTTTTCATCATTTAGACAAATACAATCAATTCTTGACAATCCAGAGAAACCGTACATTGGAGAAGAAAGAGTAGGTGCTTTGACTGCTGCTGACCGGACACACTGGGCAAATACACGTACTCAGTTTTTTTTTAAAGGTGTAAATCGACAAAGTTTAGATGCTATTGAAAAATCTGCCTTTGTGGTTGCATTAGACAACGTTCCATATGAGTACAGCTCTGTAAGTTTTATTTGATTAAATATTGAATGTCCTAAAAAAATTATTTATTAAATTTAAGTGGTTGTATTTATTTATGTAGATCAAATTCAATTTAAAATTGGTAAATCTTGGTGAAATACCCTCTATGATTTTTTTTTTTTTTTTTTTTTTATAACAATGTTAACTAGGAAGATTCAAAAAAATTAGATGAGTTTGGAAGAATATTAATGACTGGTAAAGGATATGACAGATGGTTTGATAAATCATTTACCTTGTGTATTGGCTCTAACGGAAGAGTAAGAACCTATATATTTTTTTTAACTGCTTAATTATGAATTTACTTATATGAATTAGTAATAACCATATTATTTTTAGGTAGGTTTCAATGCTGAACATTCGTGGTAAGTATTTTTTGTCTTAAAATATTATCAAGAATTCACTAGTTTATGTATGGTATATTTGAGAAGTGCTTCAGATAAATTTTAAATATTGTTTTGAATTTGGATTTAATAAGCGTTGTTACAGGGCTGATGCTGCCGTAATGTCTCATCTTTGGGAGTTCATCATTTTTGATGAAGCTGCAAAATCTGGGTAACTTAATGGGTCTAACTGTTCTAAAATCATAAAGTTTTCTGTGTAATACTTTATAACTGCTTGCTGGGAAAATCTTTAAATTTTTTAAGGTCATGGTACTTTCAAGAAACAACATAATACAATTCTTAGTCTGGGATGTTTGGGTAAATTAAACATGCATGTCATAAATAATATTCATATTTACCATTATAATTATTTATTAAATTACAAAATTCAAAACATTATCATTGAGTTATTATTTATAACTTCATTGATATATTCAAATATGATGAAAATGAAAACTAAATAAAGAAGCTTTTGATAATTTATAATATTTGGTTATTGTGTTTTCATTGATGACAGGGCAGATGCACCGGTTATGGGTCATTTATGGGAACATTTTCTTTGTGGCGATCTAGTTGTGGGGTAATGAATCATTAATCTATCATAATTTTCTAATTTTACAAATGTTATTCATTATAAAGGAACCCATTTATTTGGTATATATGTTACAGTGAAAGATGTAAATGCGGTTAAAGACATAATTTTTCTAAATATTGTTAAATGTTTTAATTGTAAATATTAACTACTTATTGACGTAAATTAATGATACTGAACTTAACTGTTAAGAAGGAAGAATATAAAGGTGAATTTAATTTAGGTAGCGATAAACATTTGCTAATAAAAAACGATTTGGAGCAAAGTTCAATCATACATATTTTAAAAGTCTATAATATTTACAATTTGAAAATAATAAATGTTGTAATTTTTCCCTGGTTTTTCCCATTTATTATTGAAATTTTTAAGAAAATCAAAATTTTACCTTCCTAATGTACCATCCCAGTCAGATTTCCTTCAAAAAGTTCTAAACTTGAAAATTTGAAAAGTTCATAGACAAAAATAGTACAGTAAAACCAATACAACCCTCACTCCGATTATTTAAATAAGAAAGCTATTATATACATATAATCATTATTAACCAACAAACTTGATAAATTATTCAATTTACCAATTTACACCTTTTACTTTTATATACATATATATATGTATAAATAATTTCTTGATTTACTATTAACATCAACTATCAATTATCAATTAAATTAAATGTATTAAAGAATAGCGTGTCTCAAATATCAAAAATATGTATTTTATTATAACTTTAGGATAGATGGGTTTCTTAGTAATCTATCTTGATAATACACATATAAGGTATATGGTTACATCTTAGGTACATTATTTCATATACCCTGTTAACATTTTAACATTACACACATGTCTAACCATTACATATAAACAGTAAACACATTTCCGCATTTCAGTAATGAATAACTCATAACTACTAAAATATTATGGCACATTTAATATTAATAGCATTAATTAATTTACATAAAGATATCAAACAAATGGACATACAAAAGGTGTACCTGAATTCGATCCACCTAAACCTATTCGACTTCAATGGAATTTGGAACCGGTTTTAGAATCTATTGATAAATCATATCAAGTAACATTTTTAATAATTTTGTTTTGTTTAGTTGACTAGATTAGTTTTATTGTTATTCCAGGTTGCATTAACTTTAGTGAACGATATTGATCTACGTATTTTAGAGTTCAGTGATTATGGGAAAGGATTCATGAAAACCGCTAAAGTCAGCCCTGACGCTTTTATTCAAATGGCACTTCAACTAGCATATTACAGAGTAATTAATATTTGTTTATCAATAATATACTTCTCTTATATTAAATTAATTTATCAAACTAAGTAGTTAATAAATATGATAATCAAACGTTGATATTTTTCGTAGGATGCTGGTAAGTTTAGTTTGACATATGAAGCATCAATGACAAGATTATATAGAGAAGGTAGGACTGAAACTGTGAGACCTTGTACATTGGAGTCATCAGCCTGGGTGAAATCAATGCTTGATCCAAATGTTGATGTTAGCTAAATTGTTGATAACATTTAATTTCAATTGATGATGATTTTAATTTCATATGTATGTATAGTTAAATAAACGGATTTGCTTATTGAGAGAAGCATGTTCAACTCATCAAAGAGGTTACCAAGATGCAATGTGTGGAAAAGGAATTGACAGGCATTTGTTTTGCTTGTATGTAATTTCCAAGTATTTGGAAGTTGAATCACCATTTTTAAATGTAACTATTAATTAAAACTAGTTAATGAAATTTAAGGAGCAACTCATTTGCAACAAATTTTGTAACCTATAATTTATATGTTACATTTTTGAGAAAGTTATGTGAATATTATCATTATGTATTGTTTAAAAACAAAGATAATTTCTTAAATTTGATTTTGCAATTATAGTTTTAAAATATCTTTATTTTTTCAAACTATTCATGTTTTAATAGTTCTTTTTTCTTTTTTCATACAGAAAGTATTAAGTGAACCATGGAGATTGTCAACTTCACAAACACCTCACGGACAGACTACTCAGTTCGACTTGAGAAAATATCCAAATTGTATATCTGCTGGCGGCGGATTTGGGCCTGTAGCTAATGACGGGTATGGTGTTAGTTACATAATAGCTGGGGAGAATTTAATTTTTTTCCACATATCGAGCAAGAAAAGTTCCCTCCATACTGTAAGTATACTTTTTTTTAAATGTTATTTTTATATTGATTCTCATTGTACTGTTCTAAAGGATTCAAGTAGGTTTGCAGTTCGTATCAAGGAGGCTCTAAGTGACATGAAATCTTTACATAAAGATTGGGAAAAAAATATGAAAAAATCTAGCTCATAATGTGACTGCATAGTGTATAAAATAGTATTTTGATTTATCAATAGTATTAATTGAAAAGTATGTTATAATAATAATACCTCAAATGGTATTTAATTGAAATCTTAGACTTGATTTGTTATTAATCAACGAAATTTGTATTCTTTATGTATTATTTTCATTAACAAGTATTTTATTTTTAATAACTATTTTTTAAAACATAAAATGTGTTTTGTGATTTGGTGGTATTCTTATTAGTTGTTATTGACAAAAAACTAAGTTTAAGTGTCGATTAAAAATGACTATAAATTACTGTTAAATTTACAATGATGTTAAAGTTTATAATTTATTAATAAGTGATAAAAATATTATTAAGACAAAAATTTGTTTTTACTTAAATACTTCATGTTTAATTGTCATCAAAGCCAACCTTAAGATTTGCAAGGCTCATGGCGAAATTTGAAATACTTTCATTTTTATTATACCTATAATTCAATTTGTTTGGACACAAGGCTGGGCTTTGGCTCTTCTCCCCCCCCCCCTTTTAGGACAACTTTAATTGTCATCAATTTGTTAAATGAAATAACTGCTACTTTGTTGAGCACAAATGGTCTTATGGAATTTTATCTTCTGAGTGAAAGGAAGAATGTATTGGTTTTTCCATGATGTTTATTTTTTTATATATATATATATATACTGTGACAAAAATGTTGTCTATATGGTACTATAGGGAAGTAGTGTTTTGATTTTCTCAGCGACTTTCATAATATCTGAAAACCCGAGATGAAACATAAGAAAAATGGGAAAATTTACAAAAATAATGGTTATCTTATTTTCAATTTTGTTTTTTTATTGTAATTCAGTTAAAAATATTTGTAGAAATTTGAAATTTAGTCAGAAAACTTATATTTTTTTTTTATATATGTAGACAATTTTTAAATTGTAGATATTTTAATTTTGCAAGTTTTATTTATTTAATACTAGGCAAATCCAGTTTATATTAAAAATTATATTCTTATGGTTTGAACATTTAAAAAAGAATTTTAATATTATATTTTGACAAAAATTGTTTTAAGTAAAAATTATGTAGAACAAATCTAATTACTGGTCCATGTAAATTTCTCAAATTCTCTTTTTTTTTTTTTTTGAACATATGTATATTTCCGATTTAATAAAGACGCTGAAGTCAGAATTGAGTGAACTGACTTAGTTTCCAAATTATAGCTTTTTGAAATGTTATTATTATGCAAATATTATATAATATGTGTTATGTTAAATAACTTAATTTTGTCAATTATGTAGCATGTCTGTCGTAGTCTAGTGATGGTATGTATCTGTTATCCCAGAGATCACAAGTTCATTGAGTTTTGAAAATAATTTTTGTAAAATTGATTTTTAATCGGTTTACATTGGAGATTTGAAATTGCATCAATATCAATTTTTCGCTTTTTTTTTTCTATTTAGTTTTTTTAGTTGTATCAAGGCCAGAGATTCGACAATGATATTTTCTCATTTCACTTAGTTATATAGTATTTTGTTTTTAGTGCCACAGAATATAAATCGAATATCATTTTGCTTTTACAGTGCATTTTATTTTTCTAAGGTGGTAATCAAAAAATGTATTAAAGATTTTAGGCGTTTAAACATCCCAAAATTGTTGAAATCATAATATTGTGTGTTTAAATTTTTAAATTATGTTATTAAACAAAATTAAAATAAACCCTAAATTTTTTTCTCAGATAAAGTCCTGGAAAACAAGTATATCACAATATAAGTGAAGGTAAGGTAAGTACGTCCGCATAATAAAATCCTACCTGGGGCAATAAGTTTTATACTAGAAATATTTTATATTGCTATGGTAAAATGGAACCTATGCCATTATGTGTTATAAAAGTATACACAGTTGAAAATATCCCCCTTGCGGGCGCCTTTAGGATAAGGCGCAAATTCAAATTATTGCCAGGGGTGCATGGCTCATTGCACAGTCCATCCTCACTACAGCACTGTACTATATTCAGGTATTTTAAGCACAATACCTGGATAGTGAGGGTCGGTCCGGTCCTACAGTTTTTTTTTTATTTATTTATCAATATCTAGGTATTCATTATGTCTATAATAATTATAGTTTCACAAAAATTCTTTCTTAGAATCTTACGTTTAGGTTTCTCACCAAACTTTAATGAAATATTTAAATGTTTGGCAATTTTCTTTTCTTCATTTTATGCATTAATAAAAGCATTGTTTCTGATTTCTTTAATTGAAGAAAACATAATATTTTTAATATCTTCGATCGTATTTTGGCTAAGAGTAAAATCATCAATGAGAGTGATTAATAATTTAAAATATGTGCCTTCGAAACTAGTTCGCTGAAAAAGTTTGTTGTTTCGTGAACCACTATAATAAATGTTAACTATTATTTTTTACACGGACTATAAACTATAGTATGTAAGCTCAAATGATCGCAGGTGTGGCAGACTTAAGATATTGTAATTATAAAGTAGGTAAGTGCACCTGAGTAACAAATTGTGACTGACGAATGCCCTCTTATCAGTGTTTAGCTACGGCCCTGAACTTATATATCAGCGGTACTTGTTATTTTTTTTAAATTGCATTGAAAAACTATTGGACATTTGAATTGTTTTTTCCAAATATAGTACCTAATATTAACCATGCAAAAAATACTAATCTTTTAACGTATGATGTGAAAAAATCTTAGCATTTTTGCTAATAGAAAAAAAAGTTTTCTGAAGAAAACAAATAATATACATCATGGTAATAATTATTGTTTCTTCGCTACTCTGAAAATCTAAAATTTGTTTTTATTTATTATATAGCAATATATTATATAGCTAGTACTCTCCTTATTAGATAGCGTAGTTACGTAGCGTTACGTATCTATGTGTTACAGTGTATATTATTATAAAAGTGTTATTGTACATAATTATATTGTTTTAATCCACTAAAAAACCGAGTTTCTGGCGTTTCAAAGCGATAACATTATTTCAGCGGTTATAAATTGTCACGGTATAATAAATAACATAGTTATGTATATTGTCAGTTAACTAAATCGTTATTTGACATATTTTTCCGTCTATAAGCGATTTAATTATCGGTTTATTGTGATTAATACAATTAATAAAATGTGAACTACATTCTTAATCCAAGTATACATTATATAATAATTAATGTTTAGCATATCTACTTATATAACAGATGTCCTTTATATAACGTATAGATTTTATATATTTTTACAATAGAATTCCTTTATAAAAACAAATACTACATTAAACTCAGTTTTTTATTTTAACCATAAAGTAAGATTTAATGAACGTCCTGTTAAGTTTTCAAGCATTTCGTTTCAAGTCTAACAATTTTACTGCAGAATACCTACCGAATAAAAATTACGTACAAAATTCGTAAAATTAAAATGTATAAATAGCTCGGGAATGGGTTAAATTTGTTGACAATTTTACCACCTCTAGAAAAGGCAAATATAAGTTGGGCATTTTAAATTACGCGGGATTATAATTTCACACAATATTGTAATACAGCATAATTCTCACAGACAGAGAACGTACTGAGTTAGTTAAGCGGCTGTTCCCGAGATCTACAATTCAATTGCCATGTGATAACGCCTATAACATAGACCGTTGGGAAACCAGTATGTCTTTGATCGTGACACAGCTGCGCTTTATCCATAGCTTAGGTTACAAAACTACGGATAGAGCAGCCGCTGCATGATAAACGCGTACTACGGAGTTGAAGACATCATCATTATCAACGAGCGCTAAGGGAACTAATGTCTGTTGCGCATTCGTATTAGTACTCGTCGCATATTTATCGTATAATCATTATAATACCACCAGGGAGTGATGGTAGGTCACAGACGTGTGTTAGTATTTATTGCATATGTCTGCATGATCCACGATTAAAGGTATCGTGATATGATCTTAGCAGTGGCGGCTCGTGGGTTTTTAACGAAGTAGTGCACACCCAAAAAAAAATATAACCAATATTAAACATAATATATTATAAATTGTTTACAAACTTTAGTTATTCACCAATTACCTTTTATTTTGTTTATGTTTTTACCCGCAATAACAATAGTAAATACATAATAATAATAAAAATAAATAATACTAATACAAATGATAATATTTCAGGTACATGTTTATATGTTAAATCGATTCTTCTATCTTTTTTTCCTGCAAACCTGTTTATTACTTCTTCGTTGAAGTTTGAAATATTGTTGATCATCCGTTTTTCGATCGATGACGTTGCTAGTAAGTCGATCTTCCGTCATTGAATTTCTCAAAAATGTTTTAATACGTTTCAATGTAGAAAACGATCTTTCGGCTTCAGCTGTAGTCATTGGAACAGTTGAAATTATTTTTAAAAGTTTGTAGCTTTCAGAAAATACCATTGTTAAATTATTTTCAACTATAAACTTCAATAAATGAACTGATGAATTCATATCACGAAAATCGGTTCTTTTGTAGAACAGTTGTAGTTCAGTTTTAAGTTTAATAACATCCAAAAAAGGATATGCTTCAACGGTTTTACTAAAATGGTCATTTGGGAAGTTATTTTCGTAGATAGGAAATTCGGTGGATAAAAATAGGTGCGAAGCATTTAAGTGATTTTTATAATCAAAACATTCTTTAACGTTGACAATAAAAATATCACATACTTCTTTTGCAGCGATTTTTCTTGTTTCAATAGTATCATCTTGTCTTCGTTTTTTCGTTGGATGATTTTGAGAGGTTTCAACGATGTTATCAATATTCTGTCTTTCTTTTAATATATTTTCTTCGAACCGAAAAATTGCCTTTGAAAGTTCTACAGGGTCCATAGTTTGTTTTTGTAGTTGATTATATAAAATATCAACATGAGGCATTAAATAATGAAACACTCTTAACCAAAATATAAATTTATCATCATTTAACATCCGATTCAAAGCTCCAGCTTGATTAATTGCTATGGTTTGATTCAAATGTTGATTCAATTTCTTTCATACATTCAATTAACGGCTCAAGATTCTCATACACAGTATTTACTATTCGACTTTTAAAATTCCATTTAGTATTAGATGATCGAAAAACTCTGTATTTAACAATTTTATCTAAAACCGTAACCCGCTGTGGACTGTTTGAACAAAAATTTGTTATATCAGTTAAGTTTGGAAAAAATATCCTTAACTCACGATTTTGTGAAGTTGCTTGAATTAAAATTAAATTAAGCTGATGAGCATAGCAATGTATGAAATGTGCATTTTTATAACTATTATTTATTATTTTTTGTACACCATTGAGACGTCCACTCATCACATTTGCGCCGTCGTAACTCTGACAAATCAACATATCTGGCGATTCTAGGACTTTTTCCAAGTTGAATATTATACATTCAGACAACGATTTCGCATCATGTCCAGTAGGATTGAAAAATCCCCAAAACCTTTCTACTGGTGTTCCATCCGATAGTAAATATCTAAATATTATTGACAATTGAAACTGAGCAGATACGTCAGTTGTTTCATCAGCCATTACAGAAATATATTCTGCTTGTTTTATTTCATTTTTGATTCTTTGTTGACATACAGCTAAACAACATTCTAGTAAATCATTTTGGATTGATTTGGATAAACCTTTAAATACCGAAGAGTTCTCAATATGACATTTTAGTACCGAATCTAACTCTGAACTAAAGTTTATAAGACCTCGAAATACGCCGGGATTTTCTNCCCAAGCGACATCATTAAATTTTTGACCAAAAAGTAAACAGGGAAAACAATACAAACGATTAGTTTCTGAACAACCACAAATCCAGTCATAGGTTTTATATATATTATTATTAAATTTTCTTACATATTCTCTCGTTTTACATTTAGTAATTTGTTTAATATTTAAGTCTGGAGTAGGCCTACCTTTATTTTTTATTTCCATCTTTTTCTCCAACGAGATTGTTGAAAAATTGCATTGCAGTATTTTCTGTACTGAATTCATTTTAAAAATTGAAAACAAATACACGAATAATAATAAACGTAATGTCGGTCGTCGATAGAAAACAGAAACACGATTGTTGTTTTGAATTTCCGATAATGATTGACTGGCCAATATTATCAGCTGATAATCGGAATATAATAAACGAATGAGAGTAAAAATAAACTATAATGCCGATGCCGACGCGCAACGACACGGCGACGTCGAAAATAATTCGCTGATAACAATTTAATTGGTTTTGTGCACAGAAACAAATGCGCACACCGATTCCATTATAACGGGGGGTTGCGTGTTTCGACTTGTTTTAATTTTTACACTGTACGAATGTGCACAACTCCACCACTGTAATACCACACCGATACTGTTCCGTCGCGGACAGCAGTCCGGTTGTTTGGCAATCGAAATAACGCAAACCAAATATTATATTATTTTCATAATATTCTGAATTTATATTTTTATATTTTGAAAAATAATCTTAACAATACTACAGGNACTTAGTAGTTAGTTGTATTATTATGATTTATGTTTTCAATTTTTCTTGAGTAGTGCACGCGCACTTGTGCACATATACACGAGCCGCCACTGGATCTTAGCATAGAAAATAGTGCATCTAAAGGCCGGAACCATATGTTAGCCGAAAGTATTTCAACCGACCGTATTTAAGCCGAACATGCAATTATCGGAAAACATTTTCGCAGACAGTATTTCGGACGAAAAATCGAACAACCGAACGGTATTTCATCCGAATCGCCCGAAACCACGAATTAAGATATCTTGATTCGTGTCCGAAACTACTAATTATCAACTTGTACATTTCCTCTCGTTGTTTTTATTCAGAAAATGTCGAATTAGAAAACTTGGAAGTTTAAACGTCGATATATTGAACGAAAATTGAAAAATTTGAAAGAACGTGCACATTTAGAGTTATAATTCTGACATAATTTTGAACCAATAAAAAAAAATAAAACAACATTTTGAATAATTTCTATGATAAAAACATATATTATTTAATTAAGTTTAAAATTATTGCATAACATTTTTAATTTTAACCATTTGTAAGTAATTAAATTATTCAAGTGTAGATAAAAATCCACTTATACATGTTGAATTTATTATCAAAACTAAATTAATATATTTTCCAATTAATTTCATTGACTGTAAATTCAAAAAACATAGAAGTGGGTTACTTGGGGCATCTGGTTAATTTGTTTTTCGTTTTAAAATAATATGTACCGAATTACTATCCTTTTTATTTATTTCTTATCACGCGTTACCGTCTTTTGGAAGATCTGACCTTATCTCTTTATTACAGTCTGCTGTAATATTGTCGAATAAAATACTATACTCAAATAATTTTCGGCCTAAATACGGTTCGGTTCAAATATTTTTCGGCCGATTTATTTTCAGTGGTTTTACGCGCTCCCCTACCACAGAATAGATGAAATCACAGTTTATTTATACATCTGTGGCCCAACCATAGCCTTGAAAACTATTTGATAATGGGAATACTGATAAACATTTCTCGATACGGGAACTCGGGAAAACGACTGCAAAAATTATCAATGTAAAAAATAAAAACAATACTGTTATTAACTTTAATTGAAATTGATGATCATGATAGTTTAAAACACCTGTGCCGCCGTGTTAGTAGGAACAATTATACATTTACAATAGGAACGATTATTACTGTAAGTTTCAAATAATTGAATATGCGGTTCAACAATAAAGAATTAATTCATGTCAGTCATTCAAATCCTGTTCTGGAGGGACGGATGTCCTATGCTAAATTATCCGGGCACGTGTCTAAAGGTAACTAAAAAAAATAACATTAACAACAATACATTCCATAGATATTTACATTATATATTATAATACAGATACCTATGTGTGATCTTGGCTATAAATTTTATTTTGTTAAAATTTGCATGGTGAATTATTATTCCTAGTATTTGTATATAGGTTCTACTACTAGTACACTAATGAATTAGTGTTTTATTGTTTTAAACATACTAATTCGTTTTTAAAATCATTTACAAATTGCTGACCTTGAAAAGTATGATTAAAAGTTCCATTATTGTGGGTACCTATATTTTCTTATATACACAAAAGCATAATATTACATAATTTTAGTATACAAGGAGAACATGATTAAAACTGTCAGTGAAACCTAATTTTTAAAATCGTAATTTATATTTTTGACCAAGATGTTAATACATATCTTGCATCTGAGAAGACGGCGAATATTAATTGGCTTAAACATTTTGTGAAGTAACTTATTACATTAATAGTCAATTGAATTGTTCTGTTTAATGTTTTGTTCATATACCTTGTAAACTATCTTTCAAAATAAAATTAATAATCTATAAATATAAATATCAGAATATATCTGATCATACTGCAAACTCTAATTTAGGTAGCCTATACAAGATGTATTGTGTACAATATAGGTAGTGTGTTTAAATATTATGTATTTATCAAAAAATCAGAATCATGGATATATTTTATGTTTAATTATGTTATTGTTTTTATGGAAACCAGAGTCATATATTTTGAATTAAAATAAGTGTCTAACTTATAAAACTTATCCATGTCATAAATATCTTTAAAAATCATTGGTATATTAAATAGATTTATTTACCAAGTATTTATTTATTTTATACATTTACATTATAGGTACATATTATATGGATATACTAAGTGTACATTATTTCACTGTAGGTAGGTAATTAACTTGATCATTTTTTTTTCGGGGGGGGAGGGACTTATTTTTTAAATTGTTACATTGATTAAATTTCAAAACTAACTGGTATATTATTATAGGTTTCAAGGAAAGATGGTTCAGACTTAAGTACAATCTTTTATTTTATTTCAAAATAAATGGATACGGGCAAGTTGATTTACAACAAGTAAATAAAATAAATATATTTATTTGTATGCGTTTTATTACAACTTTTACTATAGCCATACTCTAAGGGAACTACGCAAATTAACTTTTGTTATATTATTTTCTTAGCCAGCTGGTGTTTTTGTTTTGGAGAATTCTATTGTAAGACTTGAGAATAATATACCAGGGACATTGTTTTCATTTTCTCTTTCGTTTAAAGATGACCCTGATAAAAAGTACATAATATCAAGTCAGTCTGAAGAACATGTTCATCAGTGGATTAAAAGTATTCAATGTTCAACGTAAGTTCCTTGTTAGTTTGAGATATTTTATGTAATACAAATACTTGTGTAGGTAATATATTAATAATAGTATAAGTGTATAAATTAATTTTATATATTTGTAAAAATATAATAGGCAGATATCGTTAGAAATAAAATGCTTGTAGGTAATGTGTGTAATGGTTTGAGGTTTACCCATTTAGTTTGAAAAATAATGAAAATTTCAAAATATGATGATTCATGCTTAATACAAGTGAATTGTCTAAGTGATTTTGTTGTTAGAATTTATTATAATTTTATTTTTTAATTTCTAATAATACTAGTATTTCCCTAACTAATAAATACATAATGTATATTTTGTTTAAGATATGAATACATGCGATCTCAACTGTCATTAATACAGAACAGAATCTTGAAGTTAAGTGGAAGAGTATGTATTATATTTTGGTTATTCATTTTAAGTTGTGTATCAATATAAATTGATTTTAAAACAGGTAGAATTGTATTTGTTAATTTATATTAAATTGTGTTTTATCGCACAGGATCCACTATTAATGTATCCAGAAGAAGGGAAAAAAATTGGTCGAATGCAAAATATGGTTGAAGAAAAAGACTGCGATTTTTATTACACGACGAAGACTATGGTACCCCTTCCTCCTCCTAGACACAAGCTACAGGACACAGGGAAAATGAGTAATTTTAATTTAATCGAATTGTAAGAATATTCATAAAGGTTGTTTGATATTGTGCACTCTGAACATCTGTTATATGATGTGTGTTTATTGCTATAAAGTTGCAATTTTTTGTTTTTGAATTTGATTGCATTGTCCTACCTAAGTATTACCTTACTGTTATGTTATAATGTGGGTAAGTGTTTAATATGTCAGCATAGTTAACATTTAAAACTGAAATTTACACATTTGGATATGTTGTCATAAATAAGTATACCTATATTAAACCTGTGTAACACAACATGGTTGTCATTTTATAATATGCGTATAAGTGCATACTCTTTAGATTTATAAGCAGTATAAATCTAAAGAGTGATTGATTTTCTAATGTATTATTACTTTTTTTTTTTTTATATATTTACATATAATATATATTTGTAAGTTTTGAGAAATATTTTTCAATGATATTATATATGTGTATACAAGTATAATATATTTGCTATGTTGCAATTTATTAATCAGATACAACTAGACTGAAAACTCAGCTATTGGTTTAATATATAATAAAATATTTTTCTACGACTATTTTTATAGTGTTTTTTATTACTTTTTACCTAACTAATCAATTTGGTTTAGCGCAATACAATATATTGTGTAAATGCATAATGCAAGTTAAACATATTGGTAATACATAAAAAAAAATCTATTGTTTGGTTCAACAATATGTTATGTTATTAATAAAATAACAACAATATTTTGTTCTACTTTAATATGCAGTCTACCAGTGTGTTCCTAATTCAATATGCGAAATAATTTTTACATATTGTATGCTTAAATTTTGTCAAAAAGTATAACTACAAGTGTATCTGTAACCAGTTTGTAAATGCCATTCAGAAAACAATTCATGGTTCATAATAATAACTTATAGTTAATGACATCGGGTTTAAATATAATATTAATTAATTAATTACACAAAAGTCTATCAAAATAATGATAGATGCATATTGCCAATAACGATACATTGCTTAATTCCAGCCAATATTGTCACATTATAATATCTTAGTTAATATTTTATGTGTAAATTATTATCTGAATTTGTGAATTAGCCTGTATTTGTAAATAAATAAATAATGATCAAATAATATTATTATCATAATATTTAGTTAAATAAATTAGAAAAAAATATTGTATATATGTACAGTGGATTCCATTTAATGTTGGTACCAGTACTGTTTATCTAAAATAAGTGGTTACCCATAAAATCCGAAATTAATTATTAAGAAACACGAAAATTTATAATAACAAAAAAGTTTTTATTTTACACGTGAACCATACAATTGAAAAAAATGTTAAATTACTGCATAAATAAAACTAAATATAACATACTAAATAAAATTACTAGTTGGATGAGGAAGGTGTACAAAACATAAAACGTTATTGCTTATTGTCTAAGCTGTTTAGTGTGAACCTGGTTAACAAAATGGGCACACGCTAAAGCTTCAAGCTTATCAGACGGATTATTTTCGTAACCCTCTTACATGAAGTCACATGCAAGTTTACATATTTAGTCAACAAAATCAAATGGTAATGTTTTTTATTATAATAATTTTCAATAAACACAATCTCAAAGATACAATAAAACCCGATTATATAAGTCATTTTTAAATATTTATATATATTCTATCGCTAAAATGAAAATTTCCCATATAAACTGAATCATATTATATTATGCAGTTTTTTTTAACCTTGTTAATATACATTTGTATTGGGACCAGACCATTTTGGCCATATTAACCGGTGCCCACATTAGGCGGAACCCAGTATATAATGTATAATATATAATATATTTATATTTTCGCGTAAATACTTCATGTATCCTTCAAAAATCTTAGTTTTTATTTATTAGGGAATTTCATTATTCATATATTTATACACATAAACATGGTAGGCTGCATATTGAAGTAGCACTTAATTTAGCATTGAAACAATTAAGGATATAAATTTTATTTTAAACGTCTATCCTATGTATTAATTTCAAATTCATTCTTATTAAACTGTACATAATTTAAACTCTTAAATTTAACAGACTGTCAAAATTGTAGATTAATCTAATCGCAACAACATTTTTGTTGATTTTTTTTATTATTTTTCTTTTTTTCTTCTTTCCATTTTTTATAAGATTCTTCGTCTAACTCAGCATATGGGATATTGTCATATGTATGCCGTTCTGGGTCTAAATTTAATTCTAAAACATACAACAGTGAAATTATGATAATTTATTCATTAATCAAGTAGAATAAAGTTAAATTTCATACCAAGTAGCAATAAAAAAAAAAAAGTACAAATAAAAGAACATACTAAATTTTTTTTCACCAATTCTTTCTGCTTGTACCACTTGTGTTAAGAGTTCATTCTCAACATCTTGAGCTAACTTTAAGAGCTAAGGAAAATAAAAAATAATATAATACTGTAGAAAATGTAGTGGTGATCAGTTGAGTTTATGTATTGTGTATAGAATATAGGCCTCTAACAAAACAATAATATAATTTATGAATGTTATATTTATTTCAGAATTCAAATAAACGTTATTATTTTTAGTACAAATTTTACATTCTTCATTTTTATAATATTTATTAATTTAAACAATTAATCATTATGTAATTTAAAAAAATATTTTAATCACATTACTGAGTATGCTATACAAAAGATATAATACAAATATATTTAATATTTATTAAAACCAATTAAAATTAGTTGTTTTTATCAAAATACTAATTTAAAATAAAGTAATTTATAAAATAAATGGAAAAGTAAAAAAAAATTAAAAATTAAAATATTACATATGATAATTTGTATTATTTTCTTACATTATTTAATGCAGCAGGATCAGAGACAGTTTTATTTTTTTTGAACTCTTCATTGATTTGATGTTTTGCCGCTAAAGAATAATAATTATGAAAATAAAAATAATTAGGTAAGTGTACATCAAATTGAGAATGAAAAATGACAAAACAATGATGGACTAAGAATGTAATTTGTATAAAGAGATCAAGTGTGAAAGAAAATTAGTAGCAGGCAAGAGTAAAGAATTGCTATTATTCAATTCCAGGATTAACTACAAAAGAACAATATCTTGTTTGTTAGTTTATAATATTTTTAAATTTAAAACTTGTTATTAATTCAAATTATAATATAATGTATATTGTATAGATACTTGCCATTTAGCATATGATCATCATTTTTGAAACACAGTAATCGAGCTTTGTGCACCGATTTGAAAGCAGTGAGCACCTGAAATCGACATAATTTAATTTATTAATTTACCCATACAAAAAAGTTTACACAGTTAAAAAACCTTAACTATATATTAGCTAGAAATGTTTAAATCACATTTATAAAAAAAAAAAATAATAGCTACTACATTTTTGTTACATAAACATCAATTTGTATAGATAATGTACAGATAAACATATTGACTAATGTAAACTAACAAAGTGAGCAGTCTGCTTATTTTCTAATATAGTTGTTTATATATTATGTATACCTATTTTTGATTAATAACATAATTATATAAGTTTTAATGGTAATGTACTAGTGTACACAAATTGACTTCATTATGGTTTATTGAATAATATAATTTGCTAGATATAAACGACTTAAATGTATTAAAATGCACATTACAAGTTGTATAATGTGTCTACATTAAAAAAGCAGATTATTTTTTTTTTTAAATTACCCAAGTAGAAAGCAATTGGTTACCTATGGCCCATTTATAAACCACAGTGTATAATAGCACAGATTATATAAAACAAACATTTGTTGTAAGAGGTTGACTGCTTGTGTAAAATTCTGTCAAATATTTTGGGAACTAAACAAAGTTTCGGCGAATTGACTATCTTTGATATATATATGAGAACAAAAAAAAAAAAAATAAGAGAATGTATAACATAGAATTAAGTATGGTTGGATCTAGTGGAGAGAAGCGTCAGGTGTGATGTTTCCAATCAGACTTGAAGGTAAATTCTACAAGAGTATTCTGAGATCGACTGTGTTGTATGGTTTGAAGTATTCGCCAGTAGACAGAAAAATAGAACAGAAAATGAGTGTATCAGAGATGAGAATGCTGGTGAATGAGTGGAGTGACAAGAGAAGATAGGATAAAAAACTAGTACATAAAGGGTAGAATAGGCATGACTTGATAATACAAAAATAGGATAAAATAGATCAACATGGTTAGGACATGTTATGAGAGAGCAAATCAGAAGTAGTAACAATGGCAATAAAAATAAATGTAAGAGGTATGAGAGGAAAAGGAAGACCAACAAGTAGGTGGTTTGAGAATGAGATCAGGTCAAGTGGAAACTTAGGACGATTGTGGCTGACCCAAACTAGCTAAAGTGTAGGCAAAGGAGATTATAAAAAAATTACATTTTATTTATGTGTTGTTTACATAACACACACAATAATAATGTTTAGGATTTCACAACATCAACATGTACGAAAATAACATTCAAATTTTAACAAATTTAAATACAGGTATATATTATGCAATATAATGCAAGTAGACCTTAAGTTCAAATGTATCAATACTACATGACTTACTTGTTTTCTTATTTCATTAGATGCCATTGAAAGTTTAAGAATTATTATTATTTATGAACGCTGAATTGAATAAGAATCTCTAAATTGTTAAAATTTGTTAGCTGAATAGTTCAAAAAGTTTAAATTCTTATGCAGTACCTTGGAAGCTGTGAATTATTTTATGGCGTTTTTTGCCTATTATCACTATCAGTGCAGTAGATATAACACCATATGATAGTGTAGTGTAGTGCAATATTATCTAAACGAGTGTAAAAAAATATAACTATTTTTTTATATCTCAACTCTCAATAGATTCAGGTCTATTGAATGTTATCATTAATAACTTAATATTATCACAGAATTCTTAGACCGTAGACCTATTAAGGTCTACGGAATTTGGTACTTATTACAAAACAATAATAATATTCATATTTTGTATTTTTTTACTTGGTTGAAATTATTTCTTGATTTTGAGTTTTTGACATGTAAAAATGTTCGTGGATCTTGAAAATTTTGTAAAATATACTTTACGTCTGCGATTTATGAATATTTAACATCAAACACAACTAGTGAACATACAAAATGTTTATTTATGTTTGTGTTTGTTGTATATTTTATATAATTGATAATTGTTTTTAATTGAATGTAAATGATCTATTACTGTGGCACTAAGGATCAAGAATTTATCAATAACGAAAACCTTGGTTCACGTTCATTAGATATTAATTTTAAAAACGATATACAAAATTATGTTTTGAGAACAAGTACTAATATAAAAATGAATGAAACAAAAAAAAAACCATTTAAAATTCCGGATCATATTTCTTTAATACAATGTAATTAATATTTAATTTTTTAATTTTAATTTTGAATTAAAATTATGTACCACTTTTTGGTTTTTAGGCGAAGGAAGTGTCAAATATACATGCACTGTTTGCGAAAAAACATTTAAGTCAAAAAAGAATTGTATCTATCATTTGACTTGTAATGGAGATGCTGATGGAACAAAAAAACCATTGTTATGTGAGCAATGTAATAAATTGTTTAAAAAACAATCCCATTTGGACTATCATATGTTAACGCATTCAGGTAAACTCCTTGATAAATTGTTTTTAAAACGTTTGCTGAGTTTCAGTTTCATGTACCTTGGTAGGTACCTAATATTTATCATAGTTTTTCCAATTATAAATAGGTATTAACATGTTTTAGTTACCCAAATTACTTATTATGTGTAAACAAGTATTGATTTTAATAAAATGTGCATTATTAGTGGTTCCTTCAGTTTTATTACCAACAGTCCCTGATCTATTTATAAAGTACTAACCTTTAATCTATTGATATTTTATTTAGTAATTACAATTTTGATTTAAATTTAAATTATAGTATACTTTTAATTTGAATTGTAATTTGTTATTATTTTAGGTGAAAGACCATTTAAATGTAGCAGTTGTGATAAATGTTTTTTCACAAAATCTAAGATGATCGAGCATAGAATAGTACATACAGGTAAGAAATTGTTAAAAAACATTTTTAATAAGTGACAAAATATTATTCTTTTAAATTTTATCCTTTTATGTATTTATTTTAGCACGTTCTCATTTTTGTGCAATTTGCTCAAAAGGTTTCAAAAGAAAACGATCATTGGAAATTCATATGAAATCACATGTTGTTGAAAAACCATTTCAATGTGCAACATGTTCCAAATTTTTTAAAAGCAAACAATGCTTGAAGAAACATCACATTAGGAAACATTCTGGTATGCACGGTTATAAATAATAAATAATAATTATAATCTTATACTATAAAATAAATGTTAATATTATTATTAAAATAATTAATTATTATTCATTTCAGGAACTAAGGCATTTTCATGTGATATTTGTAAAAGAAAATTTAGTTTAAAAGATTCATTGGTTTCACATAAAAAGACACACTCATGTTTAAATCAATTTGCATGCTATCTATGCAATCAACAATTCAAAGAAAAACGTTATTTACAAAGGCATCTTGGAACTCATAATAGTAATAAATATATGAAATAGTTGATTTACTATATTTTAAATGAAATTATTAACATATTATTTACATGGATTTTTGTAGAAAAAAATATTTTGAACTGTCCAATGTGTATGAAAGAATTCACTCGTAAAGACAATTTAGATAGACATGTAAGAAACACACATCTGGAATCTGAGAATATCAACATAACTGAACATGTTATTCGTGCTTCTGTTATTAAAGTTGTCAACAAAATTGAATCATATCCTGTTAAAGTGATTCAACATACTTAGCCCTGTTCTTACAATGTTTGATTAGCGGTAACCCATAGGTATAATTTTTCGCAAATCAACAAAATTGTGTCAATTAATTTACGGTTAGAGCTAACTGACAATTTACAGGACAGGTTTAATATTTAATTCACAATATATTATTATTTTTATTTGATTGCATTTAATGGTCTATGGTCCAATATTTAAAGATAAAAATATATATATTAGATTTAAAATAGGTATCAATGTTATCTACCTTGGTGCAACACAATTGGGCATTTTTATCTGTTCTGTATTCAAAATCCACACAATGTTTGAGCACTCGATATTCTTAAAAAGATACCACATTCGGGCATTCAAATTCTTGATATCGAATTTGCATAATTTTTAAATATTGAATACATTTCTTTCTTTATTTTTAATATCTTCTTAGTTACCTATATATTTGGTTTTAAGTACAGACTTTTTTAAAATGTAATTTAATTGATTTTTTCTATAAATTTTGAATGCAGTTTCTGTCTGAATGTTAATCAAAATGGCTACTACATGGTATATCTTCAGGTATGGATAATGAAATAGTGACTGCGACCTAATTATGGTGTAAGATAAAAATGAGAAACATAAAAATAAAATACTGGATAAGACAGATTCTCAAAATATCATTATCTATATATCATACTCTATTGCAGTCCACTATAATATTTATTATCGTAGAAATTCCCATTTCACAGCCATATTATATTAGCACACATTAGGAATATTATTTGGGCTAGTAAAAGATTTATACTTTACATGTATACAAATATATACTTATATATAATATATACCTATATAAAATATTATCTTTATTACCTATATAGAGTATGGAAATTAGTGACTATATGGCCCAAACATGTTGTGACATCAGATTATAATAATGCCCCAGCGTATTATAATCTTGTGTTTAAACAAGTCACAATTTTTATAAAATGCCTATATGTGTTGTAACCATGTACCTATTATGAGTAATTATTAATTTTATCTTGTTCACCAAATTTTTATCATTTTTTGTATTAAATTTATTATTCTATTATTGTTTCAATTGTGATTTCTGAACTAAGTAACTGAATTATTAATTTTATAACTGAGTTTTTATTTTTGATAACCATTTTTCAACTACCTAGTAAATTAGCTTCCTAAGTTTCATTTTACCTTTTTTGAGATATAAACACAAATAACAATTTAGTTTGTCTTAATTATGTGCCATAAAGAAATACTGTACAGAGAACTGAAAATGTACCAATTAGTCTTTACTTAAATGTACCATAACGTTTTTACTTCTGAGCTATGACGGCATTTTTGTAATGTTATGAGCACATACATTAATAAATACATATTACTTAATCATATATATTTGTGGTTGTAACTGTTGTGAACAGTGTATTTATACAAGAAGAAATATAACCAAGTTGTAGGATCAGTATCAGTGGCGTATTTGACTTAGTTTTATATAGGGATGACACTAGAATTATTATACTTAAGGTACATATACAAGCTTATATTCTACCCTATTGATCTTACAATGAAGTGTGTTTAATTTTAATTTTATATCTGATGAAACTTTTCTATCAGAAATAATGTTAAATATTAAATTTACCTGCATGCAAGCAATTAGAACGAGTTCAGCGCAAATTTCTTAAGCACCCAGCTCAAAATTAATTACCCTCCGCATATCTATGATCCTGTCCTCCATAAACTTAACTTAGTAGATGACCACAGACTTTCTGCTAATATTAACTTCCTGCAAAAACTACAACAAAATTGATTGTTCGTTTTTACTTTCTTAACTTAACTTTTATATTCCTTCTCGTATTACCCATTCAACTGAAATTACTTTCTTTCCGCTCTACTAATTTACGAACTCAATGAACCAATTATTCGTCTTATGTCTACTGCCAATTCCAACCCTTCCTTCTTTTGTTCTTAATATTTTTTAAATAAATTTCAAAAATTATGAGGTTTTTGTATGTATGAAGGTGTATATCAAATGGTAATAACAATTATACAAATTAATTATTCCCCCTTCAACTTCAAAAATACGCCACTGATCGGTACTAAAATTAACGAGTATACATTTACGATAATTCATTAATTATCCATGTGAAGATTTATATATTCACCTTGACCTGGTATGTATCAAGTATTATACGATTGATCTTTGGCTTTCGATACGAGATGATTACAAACCGGGCGTGGAGAGATAAAGGGCGCTTTTCGTTGACTGAGTAACTGTAAATTATACAGTCGCACCATAAAAGCACAATAAAAATAAGCCATTACCTATATTCTGAATATTCAAGTACCAAGTAAACTTAACTGCCCGATGCCCCAATATAATATTACGAGTACCTACGACCCACTTATTAGCACAAAATACAAATTACGAGTGATACAAATTCTATACAATTATTTATGTAAACTCGTTGATTATATGACATTTATACAGTAAGCGTACGATAATTTGCATTACTTTGTTATTGCAAATTTAGTACATCTGGTGTCAATGCGGGCTACATCATTACGTTATGTCTATTAGTAACTAAGGTGAGTTGGGACAAATGCGCATACGCAAAATGTATATCACGCACAATTGGTCGAATTCACATAATCACGTTTTATGTACCCACCATCACTGCCTGGTGGTATTAAAATGATTATACGATAAACGTGCGACGAGTACTGATACGCATACGTAATGGACATCATGTTGTCTTCAACTCGTGGTACGCGTTTATCAGGCAGTAGATCTATCCATAGTATATGATCTAAGGTAATATGTATTTCCGGCTGTTATATTTTGATATCATATTCTCGAGTTGATAACATTGATAACTCGCCTGAGTAGTGATAACTATACAGCCACAGATAACCAAAATCTGAACGTTTTTGCTGAAATTTATGCTGCTCGTAAACTTCGTACTGTGTTTCGTTTTGAACTTGGGTAGTTATTATTATTATTTTTTTTTTCTAGCAGTTTATTCGTCAAATTAATAATTTTTTATTTACCACATTAGGTTCCGATCGACATGTTTAAATTTTTCAAGTCGTTAACAACACACCATCAATGTGTATCAGTTGCGGCGAGAAATCTATCGACGTATGGAGGACCCTTGTTGTTCCGTGCATCTGCACCCATGTTTGCCGAACCGCTGAAGAAGAAGAAACGTTTAGACCCACAGATATTAAAAGCTAGAGAAGACAGGAAACGCAAAAAGATTGAAAAATCCATTCGGAAATTGGAAAAGGTATAATATGAGTAGATACCTTACCTCTAGTGGGTACTTACAACAAAAATGCAGATATATATATTTTGAAGTATTATAATATTTGAGCTGTGTTTAAGACAAATAAATATTAAACAGGCACTATGGAATTATATAATACCTGTTAGTTGTACATAACTTTTAGAAATTCAAAATTAATCAAATCAAATTTTTTAATGTAGGTACCTACCTGTAAAAGTTTGTGATTTGACAGTTGTTTTTTTAAGTGTTAACACCAAAATTTTACAAGGCAAATAAGTTTCACTTTATCATTTCATACATTTATAATTGATGATATTGAGCTATATTATTGTTGTTCAATGTTTATATTTTATGCAGGTATAATTCTTATATTTTTTGTTCCTATGAATTATTGATTAGAACAATTAAAAAATCATAATTTAAATAACAATTCAGTCTATTGGTCTTAATGTATGTGTTCGAGTTTACTAATAACGTAATTTCATTTAATTATTTATAAATAATATAATTTTTTATCTGTAGGTGGCCAAAACATTTAAACCCATTGATGAGGTACAATTGATGGCTTTATTATCCAATGAAAAAAATATCCGTCAGAGACCAGCTGTGGAGCATACTGTTGATCAACTTGAAAATAGGTTATCTCTAGTAAAGCAATGGGCAAAGCATAAACACGATGAACACTATTTTAATCTCCAGGTAATCAATGATTTAGAATATTCTCAGCAACGGGCATTAAACGAGTTACGCGAAGTTTCGGAAGAGCTCTATCAAGCAGCCATTGAGATTGATGAATCATTATTGCCATACGAGTTAATTGGACCAGTAGAGACACCTCCAATTGAAAATTACGAAAGTCCTGATGGAGAATATATAGATGTTACAAAAAAATGGGAATGAAATTAATACTAAGAATTCAAATTGTATATTGAAAAAAAAAGCAAGTTAAATAATAGATTTTGTAAACGTTGAAAATATATTATGGTAATTACATAAATTATTTAATAATATTATATTATTTGTTTTATACCAATTTTAACCGTATAGTTAAACATTGATATCTAACCTAATGTAAAATTCCGATTGAGACATTTTACTCCTAGGAAAAGTATTTTACTGGTATTTAGTTTCGTTATGAGGGACTAATTATTATAATGATTTATTTTTTTCAATTGTAATAATCTGTAGGCTAATATTTCTCTAAAAATACATCATGAAAATCAAGTCTCACTGAGTTACAACTAAAAAAAAATTAATTTTCTCATTTCCAATCGGACAAAATTTACTATCTATCAGAAACTTTGAAGACCAATAATGATTAATTGTCCAGTTGATCACCAGACAGACAAATTATAATAAAAACACATATAGTAATTCTTTTGTTGTTATGTTTAAAAAAATAAATATATATGTGTATAATAAACAATTGATAATTCATTAATAACAACAAGATCAATAACATAATATTCTTTATTATACTTAGGACTAGATAAAAATTATTGTAAATACTAATTAATTAATATCATGTGTATATTACAATTTATAATGATACCTACCGAGTTGTATTTGGAACAATGAACCCACAAAAACCAATACATTGAAAGTTTTCGAACATATTATGAATTCCAAACAAATATTTAACTTATTTAATTTCTATGTAATAATAAATAATATTTTTCGAGGATATGAGAATATAATATTTCAACCAAGTAGGTGAAAACCTAGTAGTTTATATCTTGATTATTGATAATATTGCTTTGATAACGGACGCTGCGGCCAAAGATGCGTACGGTTGCCAATCGTTTTTTAAGGATCCGTCTTTATAGTCGGAAATTCCTCGGACGACTGCGTATGAATGACAATAATTGCCCATAAGGGATCCCATAACCGAGTCAAATTCCGAATCCATCGCCAACAGTTTGTACTCGGTGGCGAATTTCTTCCTCGTGGACTCGTTGGACACGGCGCTCTGTCCGCCTCCAATGGGACCTACGTGTATTCGTGTCCCTCTGAAACCGGTGAACACAATCAGCAATACTGTTAGAAAATCGTCAAAATTAATCGTATTATTATTATATTGCTACGCGCGTACAAATCTTTGTTTTTTTGACTGTCTGAAATCGGATGAGTGATTTCAATTAATTCTGTTCCTCCTCCAATAAACATTTGTAGTTTATCCGAATCCGCGGGCGGCCGATTAAAATCCGATTCGCCGTCCGTCTTTTGTTTTTCGATTTTGTTCAGACCCTCGCTCAAGTAAACGTCCCACAACGGCCTCGTATTATCGATCGATTTGACCTGTTGAAAAAACAATTCACGTTTTTATTTTTCACCGCAAACATTCCCTTATTTCAAGCCAAGTACATACATTCGTATAAGTACTACTTACTTCTGTTTGTAACTTCATCGCAGCTATCTGTATATCGAACGTTTTTGGACTATATTGACGGCAGTGGAATGTAATATTACCGTTTTCGTTTAAAACGTTTTCGCAGTACGTGTAAACGGCCCTTAAAATTGATCGCGATAAAATCGTTAGATTTATAAACGCGAAGACAATAAATTATAATAGGTAACGCCAGTGGCGTATCCAGAAAAAATGTCGGAGGTGGGTTTTTAATTTTGCAATCCTCTCGTACTTACTTCAATAATAATAAAAAAAAAAAATTTTCAAACTAAAATCAATGTTATAACAATGGAAAAATCTTTTATCACTAAACTCAACTCAATTTCAAATACCTTGAAAGTAATTGTTGACTTAATAAATCCCGCCCCTGGCTACCTACGTCATTGTATTTTAAGTGCCCTATACGTTTCGAACGGATCATATATTGTCGCCGTCTTACTTTTGTTTGTTTCCATAATGCGAGACCACGACATCCCCTAGTTTCACGTGTTTATCGTAGTTTGTATAATGCGGTACACCGCCACCGGCACCGCAAACGAATACGTGTTCGACTTTTTGAAAAGTTCCTATAGAAAATATTCATATTATTTGTTAATTGAAAATTTTATCGAACCACCAGCAGGTGCGGACTGGAGAAAAAATTGACCCCGGCTTTTGATATTTAAAAATGTCGATGAAACGTCCTCTTAAAACCTATTTCATAGCCTGTATAGGTATTATAAAAGTAAATTTATGACATCGATGACGACGGTAATGATAAGATTACAGCCGGTGAGCTATTTCTTTTAAACCGACTGGATTGCCTTGACCATTAATTCTAATGTATACAATACGTATTTTAAATTGAAATAGTTAGCGCTGCTATTGTCGCTACTCCGGCGTCGACCTACCGAAATATTTTCGCGATATCGCGTTCATTGAAATATGCGACGGATATGCATTTACGGCCAAACACGCAATATACAATTTTAATAGTGATTTGAAATATTAGTACGATCCGTCTAAATTGCGAACGAAAAATCGAAAATGAAAAACGTGCAAAAACGTGTAGGTGCTCGTGCCCCTGCTGGGGAGATTTCCCGGTTATATTGCGCCCGTCGAGAAAAATTGAAATTTAGAAATTAATTTTTATACCATACAGGTTCCTGATAAAATTAAACATAATATTTTATTATTTGAACGTTGGAACGCAAAAATATATTACTACGTCCGTCCTTGACCACCAGATATTCGCGTTATTTATATAGGTACTTACCTAACAACCTGGTTATCGCATTGCCCGAAGCTATTGTCGCTTGTCGGCTTAGACCCAACGCCGGAAGTTTGGTACACACTACACTGTGGTTTCCCATTTTACCTATCGTATAAACGTTAGATTCTCCTGAAAACAAAACAAAATGAAATTACTACGATGTTAATATGTATGTTTGTCATTTTTGTCAACCGTTTATTACAAAATACATGTAATACTTTATAACAGTGATCAATGATCATAGGTACGCCGTGCGTAATGCTATTATTTACGATGAACTTTCGGAGAAAAGGAAACTGCGTTGAGTTTTCAGCGCGATTATATATTTTATATAATATTGACTATACTTATCGACTTCGATTTAATGTCGTTCGTTTGATTGTTAAAAGGCAAAAATTTCCAAATTGTTCTGGGAAAAAAAAAAAAAAAAAAAAACGTAATTTTTAACTTTATCAATTTTATTATTTCAAATGGCCACCATGAACACGCAAATATTTACGAAATTATTAAATTCGATCGACTAATATATAATATGAATAACCTCCGAGCCGTTACGACGGCGCGGCATACTTTTTATTCGTGCGAAGAAGGACGCCATAGTTTTAATACCTAATAATATCATTATTAGGTAATTAGATTTATGTATCTACATTTATTATTTATATCCCCTATCCATAGACGCAACAAGGGGGAATGAGGGACTTAGCCCCAAAAATAAATAATATTTTATTTGTACGAAAAAACAATTAGTATTGATCACCTCCAGGAAACCTTAACACAAAACAATTTTCCCGAACTTGTACAAGACGATTTAAATTACCATTACATTGCTAATTTTCTCTGTTACATCAGATTGTGCATTTTCTTCTATGAGGCAAATAAATACCTATTTGAGGTCTACAATGGATCAAGATCAGTTCGGTAATTTATCCATAACAAGTATTGAAAGTGATATGGTAATAAATAGTATTGATCCCGAACAAATTTTACAACAATTAATAGCTATAAATAAAAGAAGAATAAAACTTGAATAATTTGTTAACATCTATTCGTAGATATGGGCATTAAAAAATAAACGGAAAGTTGTCAAGGTACGATACATAGGGTAATTTAATTTATGTCTGTACATAGCAATAAATCGTCTCTTATGAAAAACGATTCTGAGCGAAATTTGGTTAACCAAGTTTTGAAAGGTTTTGAAAGTTTTGAAATATTTCCTATTTTCGTTAACATTTGTTATTAAAATTCTTATAAAAAAAATAGTATATTAAACTCAACTTTTTCTTGTTGACCGCCAAGTGCAAATTATAACAAACAGCTTGTTAAATTTTTAAGTATTTCTGTTTGGCTTAACAATCCACAGAGTAACTAGCAAAATTAAAATGTCCATATATTTATGGACATTTTAGTTATTAACATTTGAGTTATTACTCAAATATTCTGAAAATTTGACCACGTATATAAAATTCAAATTTTAAGTCTCTATAAACATTTTGAATTGAATTACAATAAAAAAAACAAAATTTAAAATAATAAAAGCATATTTTTTTTGTAAATTTTCTCGGTTTTTCCCAATTATTATAAAAACTGTCCGGAAAATCAAATAAATTACTAACCAACTAATTTCCTACACTTGATACATCGGAGCAAGATTTCTGGTAGAATTTTTGTATACAGTATTGAAAAAAAAAAAACAAAACCAATAACTACATTTCTCGCTCCGCTTAGAGTCTAAAACGAAATCGATAATAACAGAACCCGTTATATTGCGTAAATTTTGCCGTTATTTTCCTATTAATAAAAAAAATGACCTCGCCAATGCTTCATTATTTAAATTTTATAAAAAATTTGCAACTAGAAACCACTTCTGAAGTTGATGATCGGAGCAAGATTTCTGGTTGAAAAAGTGTTGATCTGAAAACCCAGTGCGCCTCCTCAAACGAAATTTGTATAGAGACTTTTTACGCTAATACGTAAGTTAAACAAAAACAAATATCACGTTGGGTTCTATCATTGGATGTCTTCCCTTCTCATGTCACTCAAATGAAAAAGAAAAAAAAAGCTGTTTATAGAAAAAAATACTGATATTTAGTAGATAGAGCTGTATCCATGGGAAGGACTAGGTGGGCTATTTCTCCCGTGTTTATGTAAATATACTATTTTACTTTGTGGATGTCAATTAAGTTTCTACTCGTAATTATTTCTTTTACTTCTGAAAGAACGTTTTTTTTTTTTTTTTTACACAGAACTGTATGAAAACAAAGGATGAGTATCTACTAGGTATGTCAAAAAATAGAAAATAGACTCTCAATGGATTAACCTTGGCTAACATAAATAAAAAAAGAAGACATTAATGGAAATTGAATAATTATTATCTTTATACAAAATTCTCTTACAGCATACCACCAAAGAATTGTAATACGTACCTATAGTAAGTTAAAAAACATGTCAAGACATACATACCTATTACATTTTCGTTTCAATTTTAGTTTTTTTTTTTTTTTTTTTTTATAAATTATATTGTTTAAACTCTAAGTGTTACATTGATGAAAACCATTTGTTCCTTTTTCTTTTTCGTAAGAGGAAATAATGAGCCCTCCAAACCACTCTAACCTATACTCATGATTGAAGTTAAAATAATGTATTTAGCTCCACTCTCTCGATTTAAAATTTCAACTACGCCACTGTTAATAGATACGTCTAATAAAAACTGTCCCATATTCACGTAGTTACTTATTTTTTTTTATTTTTCTAAAAACTTGTGGGAGTGAGATGTTACAATATATATATACGAGTGGGTATTGCAGTATGACGAAACTGTTCGACCTCGTATTTAATTAGACACTGGAAATCGTTGCACGTTCGCGAATGATAATAATAATTATATTGCGACTTGTTAACAGTTATTAATTTCGCTATACAGGTCAAACCTTGATTGCGGCGGTAAACCTTTTTTTTTGTTTATCTCTTTTTTTTTTTTTTACTGTCGCCGTCACGTCATACATCACTGTTACGCGGCTTTGTAACATGGTATAGGTAATGTCATACCGAATAAATATCGCCGTTTTGCGTTCTTACCGACTGTGGTGTATCTCACGAACGTCTCTTTATTCTCGATCAGAGCGTCCACGGCGACCTTTTCGCAATATTCCGCCGTGATGATGGCGACGGTCGGCTGCCGGTTGGTTTGGATGATCGGGATTTGCTCTACGATCTTTTAAAGGGAAATTATGGTTTACATATACTAACCCAATAATTATAAAATGTATTGTATATGTACAGGGCGATTGTTTTATTCTACCGTATAAATTATACTACGAACCATTCACCGATGTCTATAATGTACATATGTCAAAGATTTTGATTTTTTATTTGTAGTTGTTTTATTCTCAGTTACTATATTATGTGAGAAGATTATGCAGTTATATTATTTTCAAAATTTCATCCTTATCCAGTCGGTGTTCCGTGTAAACACACACCTAATAACGTATAGTTTTCAAACAGTAACTCGCGTTTGAATAAGTTGGAGTTTGATGGGTGTTTACGGCATGCTGGATATGGGGAAATTGTTGAATACATTGGGAAACGATTCTATGACGGTCAAAAAATTAAAACCAATATTAAAATGTATACTCAAAATCTTCATAGATAATCGCAAACTCGAGATATAAAAGAATCACCCTGAAGAATAATTAAACGAACGGACGAGATACTTTACTTTATCGTGTAGGACGACTCGCGTGTATCCGCCACCGTCGACAGGTTTGACGATTCCGGACTGTTGCAGTATATCCAAATTGTCTTTTATGTCGGCGTGATCCCATCCACGTTTTCTATTATTGGAACAAATAAACGGTTAATCTATAAATAACTCGGATGCATCGAACGAGTAAAACTGAGTTTTCGGTACTTGTAAATATCGTCTATAGTTAGTGGGTTGGGATACGACGATTCAATTAATTCACGCAATTTCGTTCGTGTAATATCCGAATTCGTCGTTGAACTTTCAACTGGAACTGAATAATAATAATAATAATAATAAAAATACGAAAACAATAATGTATACAAGAAAGTTTGCTAAAGATTCTCAAGTAAAATACTTATATTTATAATCGTTTATATTACGAAAAAATATAAATGACAATATGTCGAAGGGGGGTTTTCGTTTTTCGAAAAATCAATCAGAAAAATAATTACAGAGATTTAAAATAAGTATATTTTTTGCAATTGTTTTACTAAATCTAAAATCATTGAAAATAGTTTTTTTTTTTTTTTGTTTTGCGCGAACTTGTATTATGTTTTTAAATAAAATTCGTTATCAAATAATAAATACTATTGTGATTGAACTGGATGTACATTTTTTTAGATTCTTAACGTAGCGAGGGATCTATTGTATTTTTTTAAAGCGAATTTAGTGAAAAGGTATTTCGAAACATATGTAACCAATTAAATACTGGGCGTGCGTTGAATTGATTATAAATAGGCCGAACAATTTTGTACCTCGGGTGGGCCACTGTTGTTGACGAGAACTAGGAAAGGTAGGATATAAGTAAAGTCTTTTGTCGTTTTTTTATCGGAGTAATATTTCTACTAGAAAACATAAGTTATAAAAATGTAAAAATCATAAAATCGTTACGCTATAAATATTTGTCCGTTTGTCCTTACGTTTTTCCTACGTTCTTTTCCAATTATTATGAAAACCGCTTGGAAAATCAAAAAAATGACCTTCTTAAATTACCAACAGAATAAAATTTCATTCCAGAAGAAGTGCTACACTTGATACATACAAGATTTCTGATAGAAATTTTATAGACAGTTTAAGAAAAAAAAAAAAAAAATATTGAAAAAAAACCAATAAAACCAATATATTACTCGCTACACTCCGAATATTAAACTGATGATTACGTGTATGCCTAATTAAATATATAGTTGTACCTACCTTGATGAACGGGTTTAATCGAAGTTTTTTCTAACTGTTTTAATTCGATCTCGAGCCTCGATAAACACTTGTAGCCTTTGTGCATCAGTGTTAACATTCTTTTGACAAAGCCGACGTAATCTGAAAACGCAAATATTAATCCGATTAGCTTACACCTGTATCAGGTTTTCTGACACCGGGTGCCGATTTTGCTAGGCACGGTACTACTACGACCGGTTGGTTTAATTGTTTAGTGTGTTACACAGTAATTAAAAATTATCCGTTTTATAGTTTTTCGCTTATACGAGTTTAGTACGTTTACCCCGGACTAGCTAATTCAGTGGGGTAACTATTTAAGGAAGGAGATTAGGGAGATATATCTCCTCTCTTCACCTTTTTTAGCAGGTAATTATAATAATACCTATTTTTAAATTCAAATTTCTTTTATTTTTAATCAAAAAAATCAAAAATGTATTCTTGATAATATGACCAAAACCTGAATGTACCTACACATTTTATTGTTTAAAGTAAACGCTAAAACTTATATCCGAATCACTATGTAATATGAATGAGGTTAGATTAATAGAAAATAAAAATTATAGTAATTAATAATATTACTTATATTTAATTATTTGATTTCAATAATAATTTTAGGGCAGATTGAATTATAAATTACTTATACAAATTGATATTTTTTTAGCCTAGGTTCACGTTATACAATACGACACATGGCGCAATTTCCAAATAATTCGAATTTAATATCTCCTTCCATGAAAAAATTCTAAATACACTAAAGTGCAAAATTGACCGAAGGCTGACTAACGAATAATGTCTATTTCGTTATCAGTACCTGATATTTTTGTCATTTAACATTAATAGATATTCGTATGGTCTGTAGTGTCATAAAATTTGTTGTAGATACCTATGTGAAAAGAAAATATACTATTAATTTACAGCTACACTATAATAATATGTTTAATATTTGTTTAAAAACTCCCTTCCCCCCGCCGTTGAAATCGTTTTCACGTTCGTCCCTGGGTATAGTTTAAGTTACTTATACATTAAATTTAAAAATAAAACGTAACAATATTTTCCCTATAGCTGTTTAATAGAAAATTATCAGTTTATAATATGTGTGCTCGATAAAATTTCATAAAAGTCGATAAATTAATCTGTGTCTGATTGTATAATCTGTGATATTATGTTCTGGATAAATCCTTATCATAATATTAGAATTAATGTTTTCAATATAATATCGAGTCTGAAATAGACGTCGAAATGCCGACTGTATACGGAAACGACTGATTACGGTTGTTATAAAAACGACGTGTGATCAAATATCATAGTTTTAATCTTGACCGCAGATCCGCAATCAGCCGGAACGCGATTGCATCGAACCTAACTGAACTGAACCAAAACCTGTGTAGTTGGGTTCTCCCTTATAAATAATATTCTAAATGTATAATGTTTATAGAAATTACCGAGAGGAAACTGGTCGGGCGACACCAAGTCTTGGAAAAATTGAGACGCCACTGCCGATGCGTCCACCTTTTCGTCTCTGTTGCACCAAAATCTGATGGTACGCATTTCTTTAGTGTGCAGGCCCGTTTGGCCGTTGACCAAAAACACACAAAACTGAACCGACGTGTCGGCCGGTGTCTCGTTTTCAACATCTAACAAATAGGTATATTACAACGATTGGGTTTTCTTTTTTTTCTGAAAATGTCGAATAGTTTTTCTTTTTTACCATAATTTCCGATTTTACTGATGACGATGCCGCTGTGTTCTCCGCCGGCGATATATTCGTTCTTTTCGTTACGGTCGTTGTTGTTATCGACTTGTCGTTCGACGACCAACACTGTTGACGTAACGCTCTTTGACTTTGTTATTAACACCACTCTTTCTTCTAACGAAAACAAAATAAAACGATTTTATCTGTACACAAACATTGCAGGGTATACCTATAGCAGTCGAAGTAAGCGAAATCGGCATCATTGGGTCCTTTATAACTGTACCTGGTCCCTCATTTGAATGTATTGTATAATAGGTATAGTTTAAGAATTTAGATTTTGAGTTTAGTGTTTATAGTTAAATTTTTCAGTTTTATATTTACGCTTTCGGGTTACACAACATTTTGCGATATTTAACACGATCGACAATTTTACATGGTGACTATATAGGTATATACGATATAGGCTTTGTATTTGAAAGGAATACGGAAGTTTAAAACAGACGATGATGTTTATAGAAATTTCGCGGTTCGATAGTACTAGATATCATTACAAGCAGATTAATTGCTGAGCTATGTTTCGGGATTATAATTAAAATCGGTTTTATGCTGTTGAATTGTGAGCTTCTGTGGCCTACAAACTACGTAAATAATTGTATTGTATATATTATGTAAGGAAACGTTTTATTTTTAATAGATATTGCGTGATACATAATATAGGTATTTATAAATCATAGATATTTACTAATACTATATAAGGAGGAATGAGGTAAAAAAAAACACGACAAAAGCATAATATCTGAAATTATACCTAATACGATAATGTATATTAAGTTTAATGTCGCTATGCAAAGTGTCCGATAACCAGTTTACCGTGATGCGTTGACCTTAAATGAAGGTTACAATTACAATATTATTTTATATGCGATATTATCGGAGAATCGGATATCGGATAGTAAAAATCATTAGGTCGTTTCGATTGGGTATCAGGTATATTTTATTCTCCTGTCAAATGTGAGTTTTTGTCACTTGGCTTCTATTTAAAGCGGTCGTATACTCGAAGCAACACACGTCATGTTAGAATTAAAAGACCGATTATTTACGTGTATTAGATAGTTATAAAATCAAAAATTTCGATTTATAGTGGAAGGACAAGAGTTGATACACTATTTACTGATTTATAAAATCTTTCATTTTCCGACTATCGTCTTCTGTGCTTATTTGTTCAACGACTAACATGTGGCATACTGGCATACATTGTGTATCAGGTATTACGATTTAACTGTAAAAAATGTGAATTATCTAGACAAAAATTAGAAAAATAAAAATGTCGATACATACATGTATAAAAGCAGATTAGAGAGGTACCTGTAAGTGTGGGTTTAAAAAATTTGTTAAAATATCTTTAAACGTGTTTTATTGTAAATGTTTAAGTTGGAAGGTATTTAAAAAATAACCCAATTATGCCTATGTACAGCGTCTTTCACTGAAACGTTTCAGCCGGATAAACATGGATTGAAATGGGATTGTTTTCGGAAAACCGGATGTTAAAAATACATATTTTCAGTCTATTTTTCAAAATTGTAACTCTTGTGGTGCGCAAATGCGCAATACAACTTGCATTTTTTCGACGAAGTCACCATCTACTTCAACACCAGTTTCGAATAGTCTTACATTTTTCAAGTAATTTTGAGAAATATGATTTTTTTTTAGCTCAAAAATTGCCTGAGATACTGCCATTTAAAATTTATCTAAAAATACGATTTTCTTTAAGATTTTTCAAAAAACGTAAAACTTGTGTTATTATATACACGTAATTTTATGATTATCTTTAATCAAATTTCCTCATTACCAAAGTCACGCATAATAAATTTCACGAAAAATCGACGAGCAAAAATAATCATAGTTTTTAATAAACTTTAGATCTTTCAGCGGCGAGATAGGGGAAAACAGCGTAGGTACTATAATCTAAGTTGATCGAAAAAATAGAAATATTCGGACGTAGTGTTAAAATAAGGTGACAATTTTGAAAGCAGCTCGAAATGTGCAATATTTTAAAAATACCTATTAATAAAAATCCAATTTCAGTCTAAGTCCATCCGGCTGAAATGTTTCGGGTTACCGTTTGGGTGTAACACGCTGTATATATGCATGTATAATTCGATACATTCGCCAAGATTGTAAGTCGAACGTCAATACACTGTGGGTTTCGAAGTAGTTTTCTTATTCTGTGTATAACTAATAGATAATATAACAGTCATAATGTATTCCGTATGGAGTAATACGATACCGTCGATTTATAGTATAGAATAATGCACGTGCGACTTACCTTGGTTAGTCATTATGGTAAATACGTATTTGAATCTGACGTCACCTCTGAAATAATATAACCGTTTTTAAAACTTTTTTGTTTTGTTTTGTAATACTCATTCAATTATATATATATATATATGTATTAAATTTTTCATTGATTACACGCGCGGTGTAAAACATCATGTACAATATTATAGCTGTTTCAGAATAATAATAATACCTAATAAAAAACGGTCGTGTCATCGTGGAGCACTCCCGCGAAGCCGATATAATATATTGCTATATTACTAATAGATTTTCGTCATTTTTTTTTTTTTTTTTATGTTTCCATCAAAATTACCGATACAACATAATATGTAGAACATTACAACGTAATTACTCACCTATTCGACTCTGGTAAACGAATCTTGTAATTTAAATCGAGAATCATTTTTTCGCGTAATTATCGCGTATTATTTTCCGTAATACGCGCGAACGGTACGAACAATTCGGTACTATTGTGAAAATGTATATAAACAGATAGTGGCGGCCGCCGGTTCCGCCGTGAAAGAAAGTTATTCCGACGGTTTTATATTAACAATAAAATAAAATGGTCGGTAGGTAATGGTTGGCAGGCAAGTGCATCGAACTTTTCGGTACCTGGTACCAGATAAATATTGCGTAATAACATACGGACCGTATAATAATAATATTAAAATTATTATGCGGCTAGCCCGTTTCGGCGTTCGTGTTTCGGCGTTCCGAATACGGGGTTCGGAATACGGACGGACGGGCGGCAATAGCGCACACGAATAACTATCGAACCCCGTGCCTACGCGTGGTATTACGGAACGCCACCATTAGGATTGATCGCGGACGGGGGCATACTCACGTTTTAAAATGCGATTTCGGCGTCCATCGGAGCGTCGCGTTCCGGCGTTTTTCGGGCGCGATTTCCGTCCGCCGGCCGAGCTTTTTCCGAACCGCGGCGCTTGTCAATGGGCACGCGTACAATAGGTGCGCTTGCGAGTGAGCTACGCGAACAAGTGACACACATTTATCAACGGGATCCACGCCGACACGCAGCAAGTGTTGCGAATCAATTGCGAACCGGGTAACCGACTGCGGCGGCGGACTTACCATAACACAATAATAATATTATTATAAACACGTCGCGTTTCTTCCGTGTCGGGTGGGAGTCGCGCGGCGGCGGCGGCGGCGGGAGGGAGCCGAACGGTTTCATCAATGCCCCCCGGAGAATCGCTAAAATAAACCGCTGGCGACAACACGACCGGGGAACGTGGAAAAAAAAAAACAAAATAAAAACGTTATGTACGTTTGTTGTAGAGAGGAAAAAAAATACGAAAACAAGAATCGAAGTATTTTTTTTTCATTTTTATTATTATTATTGTATCCGTGAGTACCTACCTACCTATATATATATATTATATTGTTTACAGCTGCAGCACCAGACTACTCTATATAGAACTACTACAGTTATCATTCGTGTTTTCGTGATAGTGGAAGGGGTTATCTAGAGCATTTCAAGGCGTGTAGTTGCAGTGGTGCGGTGTTCGAATTATTCGGTGCGCGTTGAAATGAGATTTATAGTCACAATGTGTAACGACTTTCGTGTATAATAATACCTATATGTATTAGCCTCGAATCTTTTTTCAAAACGACAAAAAAAAACCTATACTATTGTTTTGACTACACGATGGACTGTGATCGAGGATTTTTCTTTTGTATTTTGCACAGTTGAAAATCGTTGTCCTTTAAAAGTCCTCTCCATTTTCGGGAACGGTAGTTTGAATTCTAACTAAAAATCTACGTTCTGTAATGTTTTTGTACGAAACCTGGTCATTTTGAATAATTAAACATTTTAATACTCTCATATTTGATTATTCTGGACCAATATGTTATGTTTTAATTGATAAAAATATTGTCTCGTAAAGTAAGAATTATTGTCAGTTTTATATTTTAACGAAAAATTATATACTGTAACTTTTTAGTAAAACGGATTGAGAAATCCAAACGTATTCACCACTTCATTCAATCCAGTAAAGCTCGCTACTGTGTCATTGTACCTAATTGTAAGTTTTGCCGGTTACGGGTAAACATATTTTTAATTATTCTCAGTCACATCCAATCGTCTGTATCTCATCAATTTAATTCATAGTTTTATTTTATTATTACTAACGTATTAGTTCGTATTCCGTGAATTTTCTTTTATTTATCAAAATCATATTTAATATTTCGATATTTACTGTATTTATTTAAAATTATTTATATTATTAGTGCAGTATATAATTTTAAATACGAGTCTCATACAGGAATTTCAGTCGTTAATTTTTAATTTCAACCACACCGTATTTTTACGACTCAGCTGAAACTGGCGGATCTAAACATTTTTTCTAAACATTTTGAATAGGATTTTCCAGGGGTGGAGGGAGAGACAAAAATATTTGCGACATTTTTTTTTACATAATCTATATAATATATATATGCGTATACATAAATGTGAAAATGAAAATATTGAACTCAAATAATCAATAATCATTAGAACTACTCATCCAATCGTCATGCTATTTTTTAAAATAGAAAATATTGAAAATATTTTAAGCCTAATTTGAATAATGTTGGTTAAAAACCAATCGAGTTGTTAATTTTGTAAATAATAAGTAACTACACTAGATAATTAATAGCACCTGTTTGTTCTGTTATTTGAATACGTAGTGATATTTACCTTATATTTCTACCTACCGGTTTCGGGTTTGAATTCCGAATGCGATATTGTTTATTTACATTGTATTACAACATTTGTTTTTCTACTTTTATGTTTTTATATACTTACTAATTATTATGTTCACGTATTTAATTTGTTTTATTTTATTTTTATCTGAAGGATGGCTAATACGGGAAATTATGTTCCTAACACATTCAACGTTCAACTTTGTAAGTATAAATGACATATTATTGAGGGACTGAATAGAGTTAGAATGAAAAGAGAAAATAACTGTTGGGGTGAGTGGTTGGGAGGGATTAGAAGGTTACCGAAGGTATTCAATTTGGTACGGTGAACGCGGTACGAGGATTAACTGTGATAGTGGCGGAGGCGTACAACTGTAAGACGTGGATGAAATCTAAACAAAACATATTTATTATTGGATAGACACGGCGTGAAACTTTTTTATTGCTCGAGCAAAGCTGAACGAGACAGCTAGTATACTCGTATATATTTATAGGCAAACTTTCCTATAAAATTACGTAATATGACGTATTACACGAAGCTGAATTGTATAATATATTGTACATAATAATATACAATATAATGCTTTATTTTACCTGACCTCCTAACCATCTCACTTACCTATATTTATGTATATATTTTTTAGTTTAACAAAGTTTGTATTGTTGAAAAACAAACGTTTACCTACATATAGGTATAATACAGTAGCTCTGACAATAATATTTATATACAAGATATACCCAATAAACTTTTTTGGCCTCGATGATAGGTGCCATTAGCCGTATACGATTATAATGCCTTCTATTATAGTGATAACAATAATAGGATAACGAACTGCAATAAAAATAACGAGGACGAGCTCGTTGGGAGCACTGCATTAAAACTCAAAAAGTTTCATTTGCCTTCACTTATACTTTTTCGAATATATTTTCGCTAAAATGTATGTACCTAATTACGGTTTACCTATACTTCAATGGAACTACCAGCTACCGAAAACGTATCCAATAACCGAGGACAAATGCTCAATTTAACTAAATATTAACAAAAAAAAATGTTTGTTTTAAAATTTTGTTTAAAAAAAGGGTTAAATATTTTTGGGTGAAATATAAATAGTTCTTGGGTAATTTTACAATACGAGCATTTTGATCTTTTTTTTTATAATTTATACTTGTGTACCTACAATATTTACTTATAGAATCATTAATATAGGTAACATAGTAATATGTGACAATTTTATTGAAAAAGTTTACTCAAATGAAAAAAAAACTCATCATAAATATAAATTTCGAGATTATTAAGCATTAAACATACAAAATGAATACATAGGTAGACCATGTTAAACTGTCAAATTATAATACGCAGAAAAAAAATGTTTTATATAAATAATAAATATAATATTTTAAAATACTACATAAATCAAATCGATATTCTAATGATGCATTATCTGTATAATATTACCAAGCTTTGCTAGTGTGCAGTTTACATATCTGTACAGTGGCGCACAGAGGAATTTTGACAGCCCATGCAGTTAACAAAAGTATACCCATTATCCATCCAATACCGAGCAAAAAATTAAAAAAAAAAAGTCATCCCTGTTTTATCTGTCCCTTCACTCAAAATTCATAATGAGCAAAAAAAAAAGACGGACATACTTTGCACGTGGGTGCACCATTGTTGTAGGTGGGAAGTTGGGAAGGTAGGATGCAGAAGAGAATTTAATGTATATATGTAAGCAACGATAAACCATTGCTAACGAAAAGACGATTCTGAGTGGAGTTCAGTTTATATCAGTGATGCTCTGTCATCAATGTATATGTCATATTATGATAAAATAATTAAATAGACATTATATATTTTCTTTAATAATATTTGTTTAATATTGTACCGATTATCTCGTTTTTCCTGCGTTTTTCCCGGTTTTCCTATGTTTTTCTCGGTTTTTCACATTTGATCGATTTCACAATTGTATTAGTCCGAGCGAGTGATGGCTTGGGACTTTAGATACACGCAAAATGCATTTGTTTTTTCCTTGTTTAGGTAAAAGGAAAAAAATGCGAACAATTTGTTTTGAAACTTGGGTTTGAACTCGGGATCCCTAGGTTTTGTACAATTATTAAAAAAACTACAGGGAAAAACAAAAAACGACATTCTTGGTTACTAACTAGATAAAAAATTCAACAAAAAAGGTCTATTGTATTGGTTTTCTATTGGAGCAATTTATTCGATAGAAAAGTCGTAAAATTTAAAAAAAAAAAAAAGGAATCCTGACGTCGTGACGTGTCGTATATTTTTTTAGGTTTTTCATAAAAATTGTTTTCCAATTTTGCACAATTATTATGAAAACCCCTTGGAAAATCAAAAAATTACCTCCTAATGCACCAACTATGTACAATTTCCTTTCAGAAAAGTTATATTATACTTGATACATTGGAGATTTCTGGTAAAAAAATTACTCACAGACACACAAAAATAAAATCATCATACTAAAACCAACAAATCTCTCGCTACACTTAGAATTTAATAAAGTAATCTCCTTGTAATTTCCTTTATCGTATTTAAGATCCATACCAAATTTCATCCAATCGGTTCAGCCGTTTAGCTGTGAAAACGTACCAGACAGAAATAAATTTGCATTTATAATAATATTAATGTTATTATTAGTATCAATAAACATTTAAAAATACAATTTTTCATTCAATTCAAAAATTGGCCCGAGCTTATGCTTATGCTTATTAGGTACAGATATAATTATTCTAAGTTTAGAAAATATTGATAATACCATTGATTAATTAATATTATTAATTGTGTAAATATTAATATTAATATTTAACTTAGTCAATGATTAATTCGCAATATACATATTGATCAATCTATCGTCGCAGGACATTCATTACTTCGGAAAGTATTAACTTTTTGACTTTTTTCAGAATTTGTTTAATTGAACATTTAAGAAACAAGTACAAATCTACAATTTCACATATGTGTTATTTTTTTCATCCTTATTTTTGGTGGTAAAATCACTACCTACTTTTGATCTTCAAATTACAACGTATATTAAAAAAAAACATAAATAAATGGAGTATTAGGCAGTTAAAATATATTTTGGTGTTAAAATTATTAGTTTCCATTTATCCGTTAACAAGATATTCCACTTTTAAGTTTGGGTAAGGGGAGAGTAGTGGAGCACTATTTTAGTGGAATATCTTGTCAACGGATTGATGGAAATCAAAAATTTCAATACCAAAATGTATTTTAACTAAGAAGTATTCAATCTATTTATGGAATTTTTAATATGTATATAGTGGTAGTATGTAGTAGTTTTACCTCCAAAAATAAGGGTGACAAAAAAATAACATACATGAGAAATTGTAGAGCGGCTTTTTCTTAAATATTTGTATAAAACAAATTCTAAAAAAAAGTTAATACTTTCCGAGATAATGAGTGTCTTATGACAGATTGATCACTCTGTGAAATATTTGAATACGATTAATGCCAGTCTAAAATATTATGAAACATATTTGTTGGTCATTAATCCATTGGCTTTATAATATAATGTTATCGTATTTCGATTACAGCAAACAATTATTAATTATTTATTAAAAATATTACAATAATTATTTTACAAATAAGAATTAAATAATAACTTTATTGTATTGTTTTGTTTTTATTGACTGAACGCCTTAAAAATATGCGTTCGATGTTTGCTACTGTATAATTGGCTGTTATTGTTCAAAATTATTAAGACAATATATTTTAAATATTAAAAACAAATATACTGCAGTAATGGACAGCAGAAAACAAAGATTACGGGTTCGTTCACATCGGTGTATGACAAATAGTATATTAAAATAATTATTGTTGTTACAAATTTTAACGCCCCAGACTTCTTCTTTCACATTATTACGCGCTTGTATGACTAGTTCATAATGTTATATTGTTTTGTGTAATTTCGATTTGTATTTGATTGACGTAAAACATTTCTCCACAGAACCAACGAAATTGCGTCGTCTAGGGAAAAAACTTTGAATGCTGCCTGGTAAGTAGGTTATGATAGATAAATGACATGAGAAAGAGACAAAGTATGGAGTATGTACGATTTTCCCATATAACCTTTTGCCCGGTATGAATCTTCCGAGAAAATATGGACAATGCCTAATCGAATATAAGACCGAAATAAGGATGCTACGGTGAACTTTTATACTTATGTAAAAGTCCCGGAAAAAAATGTGTTACATAACATATATACCTAAATACTTTTTATTAAAAAAAAAAAATACTCACAGAACTACGCAAAACCGTAAAGATTTATATAAGTGAATATAATATAATCCATATCGTTGAGTATTACTAATCTTTAAATGTACCATCGACCGGTGTTTTTGAAATGCACATAAATTGTAGTCCGGGATATTCTGATTTTCTATCAGCTGTAAAACTAAAAGTTTAGTTATAATCTAAAATATAGATAATATGTTCACTAATGTAATTTAACTATCAGCCTGTGTGTACTTGATCGAAGCTCTGTGTGTATTTTGTTCAATTTAATAAAAATGAACGTTATAAAAAGCGAAAGCAAAGAAATTAGGAAAACAGAAATATTACTTTAATCAAAAAAATTTCCAAGTTACATTTTTTGTTATGTTTTGGATCTAGATGATCAAGTTTATTGTTCATTTATTGATTCCATACAAATTTGGAAGCCCAAAAAAAGACAAAAAATGAAAAATGATAAATTTACAGTGTTAGGATTTTATTATTTTAAATTGGTATGCTTTATGTTTTCTACCCGTAATTTTTCTCCAATAGAAAAACAATAAAATATCCTTTTTGTTGCATTTTTAATATAGTTGGTGAGTAGGAAAATTGTTTTTTAATTTTTTTTGTAGTTTTTTTAATAATTGAACAAAACCGAACAAAAATTTATAATGAACAAGAAAATTTGCGAAAATAATGTTTTTATTATTCTCAATTTTGTTTCTTTGCTATAAATCCGTTAAAAATATTCGTTAGTGCTTGACATTTTGACACAAAATTTATATTTGTGTTTTCTAGATTAATTTCTAGATTTTTTTATCTATCTATTTGTAGAAATTTGTATTTTGTATGTTATTACGTCATTTATATTTGGTGTAGGTTTCTTTAGGAACTCTGTGTTTCTTTAGGTACTCTGTGAATGAAATTGTTCAACGATTGTTTTTTTTTCGTTGATTCCAGGAATCACAAGAAATTTGAAAATATTATAAAATGTTAAGAAATTTTGATATTATGGATAAGGAAGCAGCCTTTAAAAAATAAATTATTAGGCAAAAATAATCAAATAACTGTGATAAAAATAGGGATCAAACATTAAATTAATTTTTTTTTTTATGATTTCGGTTTTTGAAAAGATATTTTAAAAATTCAGTATTTAAAATTTAAAAGTATTTAATTGACACGAGTAATACTAGGACTAGTAATACTGCACTCAAAACGGTCATTCCTTATGATATAATCGATATGACGTAGCCTTCTACGTAACTATATGTAGGTTGATGGATGTTTATGCGATCAATGTACAGCCTTTTTCGCTCGCCAATTCGAGTGTGAGATCATGTCAGATTTTCAATTAAAAATAAACCCCGATTTGTTACCTAGAAAAACTTCGTTAAGTAAGTAACGAGTAAAAAAACCAAGTAAAATATTTGAACAAAAAGATCATACTCAAATTCGATAAACTCTATTGAGAAGCAACATGTTAACCCATCGAGAAACCACGTGGACTTACATAGTTTACTGATAAAAGTACGTAAATATTTAAGTTAATATCACATATTTTGTATGCTTCAAGGGTTTTGGGGGTTCAAACCCTCAATGTTTATATGTGGTAACTAAAGATTTCACTCCCTCCACTCCCGGCGCTATTAATTCGTACCGCGGTCCGCGACGGCTGTGAACAGTTGTCACTTATCTCTATGACCACAATAGTTTTAATTTTAGCATTTTCCATGACCTATTTTCTTATGCTACATATTGAGAGAGATTTATCTAATAATATAAATACAAAAAATGTAAAAAATGTATTCGGTTTTGGTAACCGTATTATAAGTGAAGCACAAGGACCAGCTCTTGAATTAGAATTCTTCTTTTACATTGTTCGTAATGTAGGAGTTTATATTTACAAGTGTTTTAAGATCATATTTGATGAAAATCACAATAATACATAGCATTTCAAAATATGTGTAACTGAACTTCGTCTATAATCCTATTCCGTGAGCAATGGTTTATTGATGTTTACAGATATAAATTTAATAACTGTATGGATCCTACCTTGTCAACTTTTCACCTACAACAGTAGTACAACTATCCGCAGAATCAGGTGCAAGTAGGAGTACTTAGTAGTAAGTTCAATAAAACATCCATGACTATTTCTGTGAAAAACCAACTATTATTGTATTACTTTATTAATTATTAGTATTATTGTAGGTTTTCTATGTATGGATTACGCTTTTTGACAAAGATGGGCACTAACCAGTTAAAATTAAAAAGGTAGATGGTTGTTTTTAGCTTGTTAGGTTTATACACTTCTATAGTCTCCCCAATGTAGCCAGCGGATGAAATTGTGGGTTCTCTAGGACGAAATAACTCCAGTCAAAAATATCTCCGGTACAAACAGAGGTGTCATTCGACTGGCTGTTAAGCCTGATAATAATATATTTTAAACACATAGGTATATGTTTATTATTTTTTTTCTACTTTATATTTTAAATTTTAAATTATTATATTAAAAAGCAAAATAATGTTACCATTTTTATCTATTTGATATTGTGTTTTGAAATCATGGTACTATTTCTATAAGTAAGGCTTAATTAAATCAAATGTGTAGTTGACAAAAATCCTTCGAATAAGTCCTAAAAGCCAGTTAAAGAGAAATGAATCGGAAGCAGTAAAGATGTTGGAAATAACTATAGAAAAAAAGATGGAAAGAAGAAAATCGACAAAGGAAGCGATTGAATGCGATTTAAAATGGTATGTGGGAGATCGGTTCAAGTAAACGTTTAAGACAAAGTTGGCCGACCACCAGTTGAGATAAACATGAAGGAGAAGAAGAATACATCTATACAGTATACATCCAATAGAAATAATAGAGATTGTAGAAATATATAATACATTCGTTAAAAAATAATTGTCTACATGGATAAATTATAAAAACGCTTATTAAGATATTATTCAATATTATATTAAATAAATTATGCCAATAATTAAAAGACCATAACCTTGAAAGCATAATTGTTTAGAATTTACTTTATTTTAGTTTTTTAAAAGCCACTAGAATACACTATGTCCTACAACACCATATGTATTATTATTTTTCATTTTTAAATAAATGTAGGTTTTTCAAAATATGTTACAATATTATTTTATTTCTACAAATATTAAAATATTGTGCCCCCTTCAAATATAAAATATATAATGACCATGTGGTGGTGTGTTTTCACCAATTTGCAGTTTTCGGGATAACATAAATTTGTTATGTTCGCTGATGTTGAATAAAAAAAAAAACTTATATTTTTAACGGCACCATTGTTATACATTCAATTTGAAACAAATCAATTTCGTGCGACCATTTTTTTTTCTTCATCAGCGAACATTACAATATTGTATTGTTCCAAATACTGCAGATTGGTGTAAACAAACCAGTACCACATATTCACTATGTATACTTCATTGGAAGTGGACACAATATTTTAATAATTGTAGAAATAAAATAATATTGCAACATATCTGAAAATGTATACATTTATTTAAAAATGGAAAATATTAATACATAATGAGTGGTGGAACATAGTGTATTAAATTAAATTATTTAAAATCATAAAAAAAAAATTTCACCCATAGGAAAGTTTAAATTAGCTAATACAATTTGTTGGAAATCACGGGAATTCGATTTTTAGTAATGTTTGATTAAATTAAAATTAATATTATATAAATACAAAAAGATAATTTGATAAATGTAAATGTATTTAATACTTTCGGAATTGGATTTAAATTTTAAAGTTCTTATCTAATAACAATATTGTTACCGAACTTTATTATTAATTACAGCAAAAACAACCCGGTACACCTGGCAATTCTGATGATCCATCCTTACAATTTGCAGTGGCATCTTTAGTATTATTAAAACAGGTTGTTGGGCAACATGTTGCATTAGTTGGTTGTGTTGAATTATCTGGACAGAAAAATGAGGAAGAATTGTCGCTTGAGTCAGGTGTGTCACTTCCAGGATCAGTTGCAGGCGGAGCTCCATGTAGAAGATTTGTCATTACAAAAAAGACAACGACAGAAGAAACGATACATTTCGACAGCATATTTTCAATGGATGGATCCTGAATGGACATACAGTTGTCTTAGTGAGATTACAAATTAAGCTTATTAGGCTTAGAGTTGAGCGAATTTTGATTTTTTTGAAATCGAGTCGAGTCAAGTTCAAAAGTCAAGTACTCGAATTGCAGAATACCAAAAAAAAAATATGTCGAGTGCATTATTCGACCAACTCTAAATTAAATACAAATTTCGTTATCATAATACTTTTGTATTATAATAACAATATATGTGTTGTAAAATAAAAATCATGAACATAGTATTCATATCGGAAATATCTGGGTTTGAAGATATTTATATATAGTTATTGTTACATTATCGAGTCCGAGTACTCGACTAGAGAAAACTCAACGACATCAAGTACTCGAACAACTCTATTAGGTTTTGATAATAATAATAATTACGATTTTTACGACGATAAAGTAGTTGAGAATTTGCGAGTTGTGACACGTTCCGATATAAAAATGGACGGCTGATATTCAAACGTTGTCGCAATAAATTTGGATACAGTTTACTAAATATTCAATAGCAAATTAATTAATAAACTCACTTTATGATAATAATGTAATGTAATACCAAACGGATCTGGTGTCTTTATATACCAGTAGGCACTATTAATTAATATATGATACATAAATCATTTTATTAATGTACAATTTTGTATTTTATAATTGGTAAACATTTTTATAGTGCACGGGCACAGTTGAATAAATATTATTTTTATTCTCATTTACTTTTTGGGGAAATACAGACTAATATAGTTTTAATTTATGTTCACACATATGTGAAAAAAAATATATTACTTATTTGTAGTTTGTGATAAAAACTTTCGCAGATACTAATTACGTCATATCGTGTACTAGGCATATTTATTTTATAAACACAATTAAAAAAACCTCAAACTAATTTGAATGAAAAAAAATCAAAAACACATTTTTAAATAATTATTTGTTTATTGCGGATTCTAAAAAACTAAAATAAAGTAAATTCTAAACAATTATGCTTTCAAGGTTATAGTCTTTTAATTATTGGCATAATTTATTTAATACAATATTGAATAATATCTTAATAAGCGTTTTTATAATTTATCCATGTAGACAATTATTTTTTAACGAATGTATTATATATTTCTACAATCTCTATTATTTCTATTGGATGTATACTGTATAGATGTATTCTTCTTCTCCTTCATGTTTATCTCAACTGGTGGTCGGCCAACTTTGTCTTAAACGTTTACTTGAACCGATCTCCCACATACNATTTCCAACATCTTTACTGCTTCCGATTCATTTCTCTTTAACTGGCTTTCGGGACTTATTCGAAGGATTCTTGTCAACTACACATTTGATTTAATTAAGCCTTACTTATAGAAATAGTACCATGATTTCAAAACACAATATCAAATAGATAAAAATGGTAACATTATTTTGCTTTTTAATATAATAATTTAAAATTTAAAATATAAAGTAGAAAAAAAATAATAAACATACACTTATATGTTTAAAATATAATATTTTAATTTATAATACCTATCATATTTAATTTTTCACAATATGTACAAGGTTAGGTTAGGTTAGGGGGGGCCATCAAAATGTTGAACGATAACATCGGCAAGGTGTTGCCGTTCGAGATCTTGACGAAGACCCAGGTTAAGTGGGTACACTCATCATCTCGGAAAGTATTAACTTTTTTCCGGAATCCGTTTTCTAGACCATTGAAAATCAAGTGGCTCTAAATTTGTATATGTATTCCTAATAATTCCTGTTGTACTTATTATATTTAACTATAATACGTTGTTTATCGAGATAAAAAGTATCGAATTCTACCTGTCTGCTGAATTGCACCTAAATGGCTAAATCCGTTCATGAGTTTTATCTATTGATACTTGATATGCAATTTACTTAAAATAAATATAAATTAGGCAGTAAAATGTGAATACATCAATATATTGGTATAAGAAATATACATAAATGTACAATACATGTCTGCGTAGGTTCTTACTGGGTTATTGATTATAAGAACTATAATATTATAATATATAACTATATGGGATCTGTACTTTTTTATTACTGCACTATCGATCATTATACAGAGTACGCAAATTACTTTATTTTCATAACATTTTGTATTTAGGATGGACATTTTTATGGTTTACAACCAGTTACATCTGATTAAATAGTATTCTTTATTATAATATGATTAATCGATTCATATATAATTTATATCTAAGTGTGACTTATAATGAACGTCATATTATCCACAGAATACCAACCAAATAAAAATTAGGTAAAAACTCGCAAAATTAAATGATTTGAAAATTGGGACATCCAGAAAACGTAAATATTAGCTTTCTGTAAACACGTCTTTCCTAATATCTATTTTCAACTGAATTATAACAACAAAAACAGCAAAATTGAAAAATACTATATCATTTTTTCGTAAATTTTCCAGTTCTCCATACGTATTTTTTACGATTTTGCTTTATTATTAAAAAAATTTCAGGAGAAATCAAAAAACGGTTTTTGCGTATTATTCTTATCGTAGATTACTGATAGATCATGTTCGACTTTTCAGAATGATATAAATACATGTTGTATTATGGCTCGTAATGGCTCTAGAGTCGATCCATGTTGGCTTAACAGCCAGCCCATGTAGACCCAAAGCTACTCTAAAATCTAGGGTTAGGCAAATACATATTACTGTTTTCCTCCGAATGACACCTCTGTTTGTACCGGAGATATTTTTGACTGGAGTTATTTCGTCCTATAGAACCCACAATTTCATCCCCTGGCTTCATTGGGGAGACTATAGAAGTGTATAAACCTAACAAGCTAAAAACAACCATCTACATTTTTAATTTTAACTGGTTAATGCCCATCATTGTCAGAAAACGTAAAACTTGTAAAAATAAACTTCTACATTACGAACAATGTAAAAGAATAATTCTAATTCAGGAGCTGGTCCTTGTGCTTCACTTATAATACGGTTACCAAAACCGAATACATTTTTTACATCTTTTGTATTTATATTATTAGATAAATCTCTCTCAATATGTAGCATAAGAAAATAGGTCATGGAAAATGCTAAAATTAAAACTATTTTGGTCATAGAGATAAGTGACAACTGTGTCACAGCCGTCGCAGACCGCGGTACGAATTGATAGCGCCGCGAGTGGAGGGAGTGAAATCTTTAGTTACCACATGTAAACATTGAGGGTTTGAACCCCCGAAACCCTTGAAGCATACAAAATATGTGATATTAACTTAAATATTTACATACTTTTATCGGTAAACTATGTAAGTCCACGTGGTTTCTCAATGGGTTAACATGTTGCTTCTCAATCAGAGGTTATCGAGTTTGAGTATGATCTTTTTGTTCAAATATTTTGCTAGGTATTTTTACCCGTTACTTACTTAACGAAGTTTTTCTAGGTAACAAATCGGGATTACTTTCAATTGAATGTCTGACATGATCTCACCCTCGAATTGGCGAGCGAAAAAGGCTGTACTTTGATCGCATAAATATAAATCCATCAGCTAAAAATATAGTCACATAGTTACATCGAAGTACACATATAAACATTGTAACAGAATATCGAACGGAGTATGTAGTGACCAGATGGCGGTCCAACTCATTGTCCTCATTGTTCACCTGATAGTCTTATCAGATTTGACCACTGACTAGTTATTGTAATATTAGTTCATGTGTTTGTAACGACAAAGATTTATATAAAAAATAAAACAATCACAATTTTTTTTAAATATTTTTATGTTGTATTTTGGTTAAATTTCTAAAATGTATGACATGCTTAGTAGTTAGTGCCTATTATAGAATATAAAAATTAGTACTAATTACTTCTTTTTGAACTGTGGGGACTTGACCGATATTTGGTAGAACTAAGTCTCTCAAGCCCCCTCTAATTGCGTACTTGCGTCGATTTCCAAATCGGTGTTGGTGCTATACTTATAACACTGCCGCCCAAATTGGTGCTTATGCTATACTGATAACACAGCCACCTGGATTTCGATTTAGGCACCGCTACCACCGAATCTATTCACTACATACAATTTCTCAGAACATTGACCGCACACGAATTCTGTGTATAATATAAATTATCAGTATTTATGCAAAAAAAAACTACAGCACTTACCTCGGTGCTTCTACATACGCGGTGGTATATGCTTTTTCGACGGATTTATACGATCGCTTTACTTCACGTTACTTCTGTTCGCTTTTTAATTAATTTGATTAGAGATTCACTCTGGTTGTCTCTAACGATAAATTCCTAAGTGTTTTAAATTATTTATATTTCATACTCGAGTGTCAGTGGATTAATAAATTTCTACTCTATTTTAATATCCAAATTTATTATGTTTATATGTACTACCACTGGTTTCAAAAAGTCTTTTATTCTAAAAGAAGTATGCTACGTCATGCAAAATTGCATGATGGCTTTAAGTTTCATTAATCTCTGTCTGATAATAAATGTACACATCAAGAAACTACGTAAAAACAGTTCATCAAGAAGGAATAGTTGTTCCGCCTGTTGATACTGACATGCAAGCTTACATGAATGCTCCACAAAACGTCCTCATGGACGGGCCTCAAACGAGCGGTCACCCCATTTAGAGTAATTATAACGAAAACGACGATTTACATTCGGAAGTTTTGAAACACGCTGAAAAAGATGAATTATGCTTTGACGATAAGTTTATTTTTATTACACCCCCAGTCATAAAACTACCAAAAAAACTGTCATTTAATTTAGGTATTTTCTTCCGTACAGGAATAAAGCAAAAAATTCTAAAAAGAAAAACTAATTCAATAGGTGACAAGAAAAAGCGTTTAATTTTCGTCGAGAGAACACATGGTTTTATCAAAGTTGGAAACTCGTTCAACCTTATAATATACCTTGCGTTAGATTTTTAAGCATTTTTCTGAAGTCACATAATTTCAATAACAGATACTTACCAAATAAAAATACAATATATAAAAACACGAAAACATCAAATGCCTATTAATAATCTGAATACAGTTAGAATGTTTTGAAAATTTGACCACGTCTACAAAAAGCCAACATAAGCATTTTGTGAAAACTACAGGTCTCTATTATATTATATTTTTCTACAATGCATTTTATTCGAAAAACAACAAAAAAAGTCTGTACATTTTGCCATATTTCCTACGTTTTCCGTAATTATTAAAAAACTTTACGGAAAATTAAGCCCAGAATTTCCTATTCACAAACCAGGAAAAATTTCTTTCAGAAATTATACTATTCTTGAAATTTGAACAAATATTTTAGGTAGAAAAATATAATCTTAAAAATTTTAAATAAAGAAATCATGTTGTACCGTAATTTGAAAAATAATTTTTTCGTATTTTTTGTTTATTCTCAATATTGATTGATCTCTTGTCATTTTTCAACTGGAGCAAGTTACTTCAAACAGGTATATGAAAAATATAATTTTGTATTCCATATTTTTTTATTCACTCATATCATCAACGTTATATTGTGAATATATTGTATATAAGCGTATTTAATTTCATATAAACCTGTGCAAGACGCGAGAATAATTTAATACAAGAATATTGAACACACATTTTAGATTTTGAATAGAGCGCAGAAGCTTATGGTTTAACAAAATTGTATATTTTATTATTTTTTTAATTTATCTGTGCGCTACTTTTCTACCAGAAATATTGTTCCGATTTTTAAGTGTAGCACCTTTTTTGAAAGGAAATCGGTGTGGAGAGATACTTTAAAGAGGTCGTTTTTTGAGTTTCTCATTAAATTTGAAAAACCGAAAAAAACTGAGGAAAAACGAGAAAATATAAAAAATGTAGATATTATAGTTAAAACATATTACGGCTTTTTTTTTTTTTTCCTGTGAACAACTTTTCTACCAACAATTTTGATCCGATTTACAATGATAGCACGTTTTCTGAAATAAAATCCGAATGGGAAAGTTCTTTCGGAAGATCATTTTTCGATTTTTCTAAGAGTTTCCCTTGCAAATGTGAAAAACCGGGAAAAAACATGGGAAAAACGGGAAAATTGATACATTAAATAAATTTTATTTAAGAAAATAAATACGCCTATTTAATTATTTTACCATAATATGACATATATATTGTTGACACAGCACCACTATCAATTGCACTCCGTTCAGAATCGTTTTTTCGTTAGCAATGATTTATCGTTGCTTACAGGTATACATTAAATTACCTATAACAGTGGCTGAACCCGTCCCCATTATCCTAGGACGTATTTTTAACCCTAGTTCTGTAATATACATTCTAAGCGAATGGCTACATATGAAACATGTTTGTAATGCGTTTTGATGATATATGATTAATTTTATAATATTATCTATTTGTAGTTCATGAAAATATTTCGGAATACATTTAGTAACAAATTATGAATAGTTTCGTAAACGCGTGGCAGAGCGCATACGACAACCCTCCCGAAACCGCTGGTAGATTGCTTTCAACAGTAGAGTGTAAACGACAAGATAAAGTAAATATAAAATAAACAAAAGTACTGACTATTATTACCTGTTAACTTAGGTTTCGATAATATCGTAACTAGGGCGCGGATGTTGTTGTATTTGCAACTTTTCTTCTACTACTCTAATTTATCACTAAGTACGTTTTATTTGTGTTGCGTGTAAGTACAAATTAAAATCTAATAATTTTACGATCAAATTTCCGGAATTTTTTTGATTTTGTTGACTACTTATTCATAAAACTATTTTTTTTAAATCATTGGCCTTATTAAAAAAGTTGAAAATAAATTAGCAAATGTATTCGGAGAAAACGGAATTTTAGTCTATACAAATTTCACGAAAATTCATGAAAAACAATTATACTTTAAATGACGGGTGGGCCACTGGTGTAAGTGGGAAATTTAATTTATATCAATACGCAATGATAATCCATTGTTAACGAAAAACGATCCGGAGCGAATTTCAGTTATACATGTTTTGAAAGGCTGTATTAATTACGATTTAAGTTAAAATTTGATTTTAAAACTCTTATAAATATATATATATATATATATATATTTATATTTAATACTCACTCTAATAAATTGTCTCTCAACGACTCTCCTCTTTGCACGGTTCATATGAATGCTGCTGCAATCTGTAACATCACTCACGTTCTCTTTCATTGTCCTTCTTGTACTCTCCAATGTAACAACTTTTCTACCATAATAATGTCACACAATGTCCCTTTTAATACCCAGTCTGTTCTCTCCTCAAAAATAATACCAATTATTACATTTCTAAACTTCATCAACCAATCTGGTCTTAAAATTAGAATTTCTTTTTGTATTCCTTTTATGCAATATTATTATGTTAATCATACTAAATTGTTGAATCTAATTGTATTATAAAGTATTATTAAGTATTATAAAAAGTTAACAATAAAAAAATCAAATATATATATATATATATATATATATAATTATATTATATTCAATCATATTTGATTATAATATAATTCAACTGTCACTTCAAATTCACGTTAATACTATTAATATTATGTTTCACTTTTCTTCACACTAGGTAATAAAATTAATAATATAATGCAAAGTGTATAACGTGTACTCTTTATACAGATTCCTGCAACATCGATTAATTATATATCGTTTACAAATTACTTTAATATTGTAATGTTTTGTATTTTGTGAAGGGTAAACATTTGTATAGTGATAGTCCACGAATGCGGTTTTCATTCGTATTTATTTTTCGGACGAATATCTATCCACACTTATATATCTATTTATTTATTTAAATTTCAACGGATCATAAAATCCGAATGCAAAAAATATAATAGCTTTAATTTATGTTCATACAGGTTATAAATATAATGTCTATAGTCTATGGTTTTTTTTAATTCACACACATCAGCAACATCATATTGTGTGTAAAGCGCATTTTTTTACATAAAAACCCCATAAAAGAAAAACAAAATGCCATACTAATTTAATACATAAATATTGAAAACACATTTTTTAATTAATAGGTGTTTAATATTGCAGCTAATTGCACATTAATGAAGCAAATTAATATCCTGTCATACTTAGGTTTTTCATCAGTTGTTATACAACGATTATTTATATATTGTACATTTGTGCTTAATGCAATGCGATCTCAATAGGACATCTGATGCCACGGGTTTAGTGAATCCACCCAGATGGAAGATTCCAGTAGGCGCAATATGACATTTTTTTCTGTAAGATGGAAGCAAATTAATATACTTTTAAGTTAAGGTTGTTTTTGTTTATATTCCAAACACTAAGCGTAAATATTTCAATTTTTTTTTCCGATTTATGTATTTTGTAAGAAATCTTGTTTCATAAATCAAACATGACCAAATACTTTTAGTACCCGAGCGTAGCGAGGGAGCCATTGGTTTTACTAAGATGTTTATTTTTTTTTTCTAGTCTGTGGACACGTTTTTTCATATTACTCGCACCGATATTTACGTGTAGCAACTTTTCTAAAAGCTCAAGTTGTCTAGATGGTACTTTAAAGAGGTAGTTTTTCTCCAGGAGTTTTCTCGATAAATGAGGAAATCGAGAAAAACATTGGAAAACCGTAGGAAAAAAGGAAAAATAGGTACAATATTATATATATATACATTATATATTATAATATTTTATGGAAAACTGGAAAAAAATAACGTAGATAGAACGGGAAAGTTTACAGAAATAATAGTTTTATTGCTTTGAATTTTTTTTTTTTCTGAAGTAATTCAGTTAAAAATATTCTTAGGGACTTTTGAATTTTGAAAGATAAATTATATTTGCCTTTTCTAGCCAAGGTAAAATTTTAAAAACATTTTGATAATGTTTTAGTTATTTACGTGTATCCACCTATTTTATGTTTGCGTGTTTTTTTACACGGGTCCGTGCGACCAACTGGGCGATATGTTCCGGTATGAGCTCCTAACCATACATCAAAGATCCATTGGGTAGTCTTAGGGGGAGTGCGTTTTGATACCTAAGACGTCAAGGTTGCAGTCGTGCACGGCCCTTGGTGTTTGAGCGAGTGTCAATGTGTCATATGCCATGGACAATTAACGAGCCAATGGTGGCTCGATGACCCAACAACATGAAAACCTGATGGAACTTGATGATCGAATTACTGTTGATTTTGTTATGGTTAGTACCTATATACTACATTAATACAGATCACTAATTCGCTGCCGAAACAGTGACCGTGATTATTTTTCGAAAATAAACCGGGATTTGTTAGAAAACCACGTCGGGGAGTATTTGATGTCGTCACTCGTGTGTCATGTGTACAATATGTTAATGATATGCCACCGTTTGGATTTCCGAAAACGGTTCTTATCATTTGTCGAACAAGTGTCTTTTATACTGCGGATATTATGTTTCACTGATAACAAGAAGACTACTCCCGGTAAAATTATTTATACATTGGTTACACTGTACGGTTTTCATCCCTTCTTCGTTCTCGTGATGTTAATCAAACGGTTTTTGTAAATTTTCAATTTTGGAATCCTGAAAAAGATAAAGTTTTGATCGTTTTCCGAATAATTTCGTTAGTTCATTATTTTATGTAAATGTTTAATTGATTTTTATTTCGGTATCTATTTTCCATAACGAGATTCACGTAAGTCAAACAAGATGAAAACCGGTTCGGAAAATGCGAATAGAAATGTTGGCGTAGACAAAGTTATGCGAGATGTAATGCTTGTAAAAAAAAAAAAAACAAACAATCATGCCGTAATAATAATATTACATGTTTTTTTCAGAAGGTCGGTAAAAAAGGCGGTCGGAAATTCTTGCAGACTTTGCAGCCGTCTGGCGACAAAGAAAATTTAGTCGGCAGACTTTCTGACAGGTATGAATTGTTTTGATTTATGTATTATCTGCGTTACCTACTATTGTTTATGTTTGTCTTTCAGTTCTGATACTAAAACGGCGAAACCACAAACTAAAGTTGAGGAAGTACAAGTAAATTTGAAAGAACATAAATCTTTAGTGGCCAAAGTCAATCCATCTCTTTACCAGAAGTTGATTATCGAAGATCTCACTAGTACTGGTACTAATACCTTTATTTATATTCATATATCTGGCTGATTGAGAACAAATTGTTTTTCTTTTCTTCTAAGTGATTATATTTTTTAGCTGGTCCAAGTGAAAAGTATTGGGAAGTTATTGCAGAACGACGTAGAAAGGCCCTGGAAGATGTCCTGGAACAAAATCGTAAATTACACAGTATCATTGCTGCATTGGAAGAAGAAAACAATTCTTGTAAATTGTTGCTCGAAGAAACTACTGATTTTGTGAACACATTAATGGTATATATTATATACAAAATGATTCAAATATTTATATCTAATTATGTAAAACAAATTGAATTAAATCTGAACTATGTGTATTTTTCAATAAATCTATAGGACTATGTATTTATTATGAAATTAATATAAATATCATTATAATAATTTAGGAAATGGTAAATGAAGAACGAGAAAATAATGATGATGAAGATGGTGACAGTGATAATCAAGAAAGTATTGATGATGATAAAGACGACAAATTGGATGAAGATGAAGATCATGAAGTTCATGACGAATTGGTTGAAGATGAAGCTCGTGACAAATTGTCACCAACTACTTAAAACTATTAGAAAATTCTCAGACAGTAAATGCGAACAATTTTCATTTACTATGAATGTAATTTTAATTTAAACTATACAACTGATTTATTATTATTTTTTTTTAATCTACCAGGTTATAATTTGTTTTCTTATTTATCGATAAAAAATATAAATTTAAAAATTATCCACTTGTAATATTAAAAATGTGTGGATGGAAACCATTGTTTATTAATTTATTATGAACAATGTAATTCAATGTTAATAATCATGATCGCCAATAGGTAATTCACATTTCTGGTTTGACCAATTTGTGTGAAACCATTCAAGTGTTTACATATATATTGTTTGTGATTGTTATAGAGTATTTATTTAGTTTTTTTCAAAAAATATGTTCTTTAATATTAACAGTTCTCATTAATTAACAATACCTAACATAAAGTATAATTGCACTTTTTTTAAAACAAAAAATATTTTGAATTACAAATAACAAGTCTTATAATGTACCAAATTTACTTGCAATTCAACAATTGGATTCATTTATTTCTTAAGGGAAATGTTTCTATTACTTAAGTGTTTTTATGACATATTTTTTTTTTAATTTTTGTCGTTCATGGGTGGACTGCTAAACTTTACGCATATGTTATTATTATTCTTGTGATATGTGTATTTAATTGCTTTAATTTTATTGGAATTTTTCGTACTTCCTACCAATCTACCTAATTTTTAAACTTATATTAGGTCCAATCGTTTACTAGATATCTTCATTAATAAGCAATATTTAGACCAATTTCCTAATACTGGAAATTCTCACTAAGCTAGACAAACGGTCTATTATTCTGAGAAAGTAAATCACTAACGGAAATCGGTGTACAAATGTTTGGTAATCATGGAGATCTCATAAGGAATCTTACCATCTTGGTAATTATTGGGGAAGTTGTAGTATTCAGAAATCTGGTGTACATAATAATCAGTGATTTACCATCAAGTTATTCCTAATTCATCTACTGCCATATTTGAAAAATAGATGGTCAAATGAATTTCTCCACTTATTTTATCAAATGATACATTATCATTTGCTCATTTCGGATTTAGAATCTAACATAGCATAGTATATCAAGTTTACAGAGTGATTTATGCTATCTCAACCTCTTCCGAAAAATAAATTTGATTGTACCGATGCGTTTCTAGACACCTCTCAGGCATTTGATAATGTAGCATAAAGGCCTACTGTACGAACTTTGAACATTTCTATCAGCTATATATTTGTTTTTAATTAAATTGTCTTTACCTTATATGTAAATGTCACTTTGAAATATCTTAAGGATATTCAACTTCAGATATACCTAGCTATAATAAATGGCGGATTACCCTAAGGAGGTATTCCTTCAGTTATACTATCTATTCAAGATGTATGCATCTGATTAGCCTTCAATGCAAAAAATCATGATGCTGACTTTGCAGATGACAAAGTCATCCTAACAACGTCTAAGTAATTGCCTTGGCTAATTTACAAACTCATCTAGATCCATTGTCTGAATGGTACACAAAATGGCAAATTTAATTTAATCATGATAAATTCATCTTTACGACCTTAATTTATGACACGGTCTCTGTCGGAGCGTTACAGAAGGTAAAAAATTTACTAATTCCTCTTCTTAATACATGGTAAATATTTAGGTCTTCATCTGGACAAAATATTAACTTGGAGCAACCGCATGAAATTAAAAGATTAATTACTGATTTTGTAAATAGAGAACTTTGGTGCCTTCCGATCCAAAAACAAATTTATCAGTTTAAACACAAACCTTTTAATTTATAAACCGCGTCTTGTGCTGATATGGACATAAGACATATCTGATGTTCTGGAGATCAGCTTGAAATTTAATTTAATTTTTATATTTTCTTTCATTTGTTTTTACGTTATTTTGTACAATTTTTAATCCAAAGAATATATGCTACGTAAATATGCCATCTGATAAATAATGATAACTAAGAAATCAAATCTTAACATAACTCAAACTTTCCGAAATATTGCCGTTCGCAAAATCACCAACACTCCACCTTTAGTTTCTAGCGTAAACAATTCATAATCTATAAAAAGATTTTTTCAGACTGGGAAATTTCTGAAATCCACTCATTAATGCCTTACACAGGTACTTACTCCCTCTTTTCCCGAAAATCTCAGCTGCAGACTTAAAAAAAAAGTGCCAAATGGTGCCGTGATCTATTGATTGAAAATATTCTAATATACAAGCTAATTAATTATTAATGGGTAGCTTCTTAAGCTCGTCACCAAATTATCTTACTCACCTCTTAATAGGTACTTATTGTGCATATTTATATACTTTTGTATTACATTAAAAAAAAAAATAAATGTTCAGCAATAAATTAAAATTTACAATTAGAATTGAATTGATACTATTTGAGCCAAGAATAATTATGTTATTTATATACCGAATCGTGAAAGTTTTGCGTGTTTGTTAAGTAGTTAAGTGAGATAGGTACACCTATTCAATGACGCCAAACAGCTGAATGGATTTGGATGAAATTTTACATAGAGATGAAGTAGAATTTCTAGAAAAAGATGTATCAAAAATAATTTGTGCGTATTGACCGATAGTCAATTTATTCGTGAAGAGGGGAAAGTTAGAAAGGCGTATGAAACATTTTCGTGTAGAGTACTGTAACGCGGAAAAAAAAAAAACTATGTCACTCACGGCAGAGTATGCAGGTACCAGCTATAATACTATAAATGCGAACATTCTGTTTGGTTATTATGTTTTGAAGGCCGAACGTCTAAACAGATTTTGAAGAAATTCGATATGGAGATGGAATATATTCAGATATAGGATACCTCGGTGACACTGATGAAATAAAAAAAAAAAAAAAACAGTTGTTATTACGGAAACAAGCAAATAGGTTTAAATTGATTTTTTACACAGCTGTACACGGCAAAGTCAATCAGGACAGCTAGTTTTATGTATTAAGAGATTGTGGCCTACATAAATCAATTATTTCATATTATAAATTATATTCATATTTATTAGACAATTAATTCCTGATAAGTATCATTGTTTTCATCTATATTTAAATTGTATTAAAGATTAACCTCACAGTTTCACACTAAACTAGTTTTTAACTGTTAACTGTTAACTATACAATACCAATACACAGTTCTTAAGTTGTAAAAAAAAATATATTAGTTGAACAGAATTATTTAAATACAAAACTTTTTCTAGTTAATCAATATTTTAAATTATAAAAATAGCAAAAATGATCTTATATTTTCATTGAAATTTAAATTGTTCTTTTCGTTTCAAATTGTGTAGGTATTTAAATAAAATTGAACACAGTTACATATTTATTGCAAATTTGTTTTTAATTTTATGATTTTTAACATATTGTAATTTAATTGTATTCATAATAATAGTATAATAGTGATTAACATAACATTATACATCAACAAAAACTACATAATATATGTATATATATATTTTTTTTTTGATATTAATGAGTATTCAGTTATTTTGATAAATCATATAATATAGCATCATAATATTTGAGTCAGACGGTGATAACTTTAAAATATATTGTTTATAGCGTGTAGTAAATGTCTAGAGCATTTTCTTTGGTCAGACACAAAGTTATTAAATTGAGGTTCACACGAGCCTGAAGACTCAAATCAATGAAACTTAATGTGCCTGCCTGTTTAATGTAACCTTTGACAATAATAATTATACAAACTTACATTAAGTTTTGATTAGTCTAGGGCAGTCAACAATATTATGAAAAAAAAATAAAAAAAAAAAAATATCACATATTCGTTTTTTTACGCAAAAATATTATTTTTCATTCGTAGATATTTTGATTATATATGATACAGGTCTGACATATCTGACGAAAAAAAAAAAAATTGTTTTTGATCAACACATTAGACTAGAAAATATTAAGACTATAAACAAGTATAAAATGTCTTCGTTGAGATGAATAGTAATAATAATTGCAGTTTGAAAATTTAACAAGAAAATCAAAATAATAATAATCCTATTATAATAAATAATAATAAAACAAAAAAAAAATATATATATATATATATATATATATATATATATTAAAGGCAATAATATTATTAGAAGCTTAGATTTTGTACTGAACATTGTCAATATGCTCGGCACAGCCTTTTGATGATTGTTAAGATACAATATCTCATGTTTAACGAAAATTAAATCTGTACAGTAATTATTACAAGATAATAATATTATTATATAGTTAAAATAATAACAATGAAATAGAAATTATGATTATTAAAATGTATATATATATATATATATATATATTTATATGATATTATGTACAGAATGAAAATGAAATAAAATCGCGAAAAAAAAAAAATAGGAATGTGCTAAATTGGTAACGATACAATAATAATAAATATTAAATAACATAGATATACAAATTTCAAAACCTACAATAAAAATACAAACAGGACAATAAAATATTAAAGTGGGGTAGTTAATTATAATAATATAATAATATTCATAAGGACGATAATGATAACAATAATAATAATAATAATAACAATAGTAATAACGGCAACAGTAATAGTATTATCGTAACAAATTTTCTTTCGGTACATGTACGCAGACGTCATTCACACTACTGTCATCAGGAACCATCAGAGGAATGGCGTTGAAAACACGACCAAGAACAACATCAAAGGTTATCATATCTGTTACGGCTAGTGGATCTGGTCAGTGAACATAGTGGGAATGACGTTGTCCTTTTCGCAGACCTGTTAAAAGAGAATAGAAAAAAAAAAAAATACTTAGCTAAAATCAAATTGAATAATTCATTAATTATTGTACAAAACATACATAGAGTAATGGTATGTAAAATAGTTTTGAAGGTGCTAGTCCAGATACAGACTGCCCTCAATCAACACATTAAAAATAGTAATAATAATATTATCATGATGAAGGTGCAGAAATAATAAGCATAACAATGTATAACATACTAATAGGTTTAAAAAGGATGAAAAACAAGACAATTGAAAAAAAATATAGGTGTATTGATCATTTCCAGTGTAATTCTTACTACAGTTATTTCAGATGGATATAAAAAAAAAGCATGGGTTGGGGCAAGAAAGAAATAGGTATACTAGAGTGTGCACATATTTTAAAAACTTTTTTTTTTCATTAACAGTTCAAGTACATGTATTGGAAATACGAATATATTAAATTTTGTTCCACACAAAACACATACTCAGATTGTTTACCTGACATTTACTTGCACCATAATATGCGGTCAAGTATTGATCAATTATTGGAACCGTGTGTATCACCAGATCTCTTCTCTGGACACCTGATTAAGACAAGTTTATGTAACGATAATTTTAAGAGCAGCCATTATTTATTTTATTTTTTTATTCAGAAGAAATTTGTTTATTTCTTTTTATTTTTAAAAAAGTGAACTTGTTTTTTGAATACAGTGAGATATATTTTGATTTAACACTTAATTTAACTTGTTGTTAACAAAATTGCAAACCATATTTTTGATAAATATTATTACTGAAATATACTATTATAAATAGACTTTTCCCGAATAAAAGCATAAACACTATGTTAATTAATTTATAAATTAGAAGTTTAATTTTCATAAAGAAAAAATATGTCATAAATCCATTATGAATTAATTATTATTGATACAGAAATACGTAAAATACACACCTCCTACGCCTCATAGAAGCATTGTGCCCGAATCGTCCGCGTGAAGTCAATAGCATTCGAGCATTTCCCTGAGCTGGTCTAGATCCTCCATGACACTGTAAAGCAGATAAATGTGCAGCATAACCATCACTCAACACGGTAGCCATAGCGTGGTGTTTACGGCCCACTTTGCCTATAATAAAGATCTGTTTAGGTTTCAGATCCAAAGCACTATATACAGATATGTCTTTACTGCTTCCATAAGCAGCATGTATAATCATCTTATGATCCTGGAAATAAAAAAAAAACAAGAAATGAAATTTATATGAAATAAAATTAATATATGACAATTATTACACTATTAATTTACCTGTACAAGACTCTTAAGCATTGTAATTTTATGTGCTAAAAAATCTGTAGAAAGGCCATCAGCGAATGAAACAAGTCCATGTGGAAAGTTGTGTTGACTTAACCAGGACAAGACACGTTGCTGTTGCATATCAGGTCTACCAGTAATGTATACTATTAGATATCCCAAATCTTGCCAGTGTCTGGAAAATTACATTTTAGTTATCTACTACTCAAAAAGTTTCAAATTTTATGAAGTATTGAACTTTTATATTATATGATCTAAGATTGAACCTACTGATATACAGTAAATATCAACAATATAAATAGCATACATTTTAAAAATTTAAAATTACCATCATCATCATCATCTGATTACACAACATTCAAATTTAACAAATAAGAAGTGTGTTAAAATACACAACTTGGATAAAACAATTGTCTTTATATACATCACCTCACTATATCAACAGCGCCTGGTCGAACTTTTGGGTCGCGACCAGTAACAGAGACACTAGCAGAAAATGAACCGTCAATGCTAAAGACAACAATTTCAGTTTGAGGCGGTACAACAGCTAACAAAAAATCAACACTTGTATGATCTCCTCTGAAAAAATTTAAAATAACCAAAACATGTGTTGAAATTGTAACAAATATATAATAATATTTACCTCACAACCATTTTAACAGGATAAATTCCAAATCCAAGAGATTTATTTTCGGGTATTGTGTACGTAACTCGTCCATTTTTATCCGAATCTTCTGTAGATAAATGCGTCCATTCACCATTACCAGATTCTCTAATTATATGGATATCAACTTTTTCCCCTTTGAAAATATAAAAATATAATTCCAATAAATACATAAATATAACTATTTATTTAATGACTTGTTAATAAATAAATAAATACCAGCTAGCGAAAACATATCAAATGGTCCATAAATAAAACGAGCACTAATTGTTTGTGGTAAACCTTCACGGATAATCACATCATTGGCGCGATGACTCGCAGTAGAATTCTGTATATGATTATAAACATAAATAAATACTTGTTTGGTAGCACAATAACAAATACCATAAATGTATAATGTTTGATAATAATATGTAAAGTTTGTTTACTTTGATTTTAATGAAAGTTGTTTTTCTTTGCCATTTTTCACGTGGTTGACTTGGACTGAAATTAGCTATCTCGTCTTTTTCTTCATTTCCAATTGAACTGTTATAGTCAAAAACAGCAAACTGAAAAAACAAATTTATTAACACCAACTTCAATCATATTTTGAACATTATATTGTCATTACTTGTCTTAAAATAAATGCAATGACATCTGAAGATTCCCAATAGCTAGCATGAAATATATGAGGTAAAGCATTGGTAGGGAAATTTGACAATCCTTCAGGGCAATATAATGCATAGTCCAACCGTTTAGTACCCCACCATTTTTTCGTTACTAAAATCATAATGGAAATTAAAGTTATGATAATCATAATTTTTTAACTTTAACTCACATTTACTTATGGCTTGAATTGGAAGTGTATCGCCTATTCCAGATACCGTACTCAAAATACTCGCCTCAGACGTACGCCTAGCATGGTTGTGTTCTGTGAACAATTGAGGGTTTGTTTGCACTGCTTCGACTACATACAAAACAGATTGTACAATGAAAAATAACAAAATAATTTTTTTAAACTGATTTGTTTACATACGTAAATAGTATGGTTGACCAGTTCCGAGAGGATATTTTTGATATCGTGGAATATTAACTGGTGGTAAAATCGAAAACTTGGCAGAAATCAAAGGCTCCAATCTAGATGCAATAGGATCAGACGGATGAAACAAATTATACACTTGTTGCAATGCCGGACGTTGGATTGAAGCTGAAACAGGCATAAAAAGAGAAACATGTTAAACTGAAAATAAACTTACATACATATTAAAGTAAATACTTTATTAACTTACTAGATTTATCGTATTTGTGTGCTGATATTTTCCTAAATGCTAGTACAAGCGATAAAGGAGATGCAAACATGAACATTTCGCTTACTTCAAAATCCAAAGAAACATTATTATCACTGAAATAAAGTTTACAGTCATGTTTATTATGATTACATTCGTATATTAGTATAAAACTAATGGCAATTTAATTTGAAAATACCTTGTTGACGATCTTCTTCTAACAGGCGGAGTAACTAAAACTTTAAAAGAAGAGTCCAAACTAGCCACAGAAGTGCAATCGTCTAAGATAAAAATTATAATTATAAAAGTTTTTAGGATATCAAAAAAAAAAAAAAGTATTTGGTTACCGTTGTCAATTTTTTTATGAATGTGTTCTGGTGTGCTATGTCTACTTGAATCGGGTGGTACATTTGATTCTTGTTTTTTACACAAAGCATCATATCCTATTACTGAACCCATCGAATCTCCTATATAATAATATTTATAAATTTGAGGTAATATAGTTTAAAAAAAATGAATAGCAAATATCTATCACTTGAGTCAAATTTTCTCTCAGTTAACTTGTTGCCATTACTATATTATATATATTTTTAAAATTTTAAAATTATAGTTCTGGTTGCCAGAGTTACTGAGGTTAATATTATTAAATTTGTATTTATTTATGATTTGTAAACATACATTAACCAAGTCTTACGATCTCTTCTATTTCACAATCTACTACCCTTTCCTTCATAGAGGTAAAAATAATTTTCTTATAACCTTTCGCTAATGATAAGGAATTTAACAAAAAAGTTGTATCAAACTTTTGCTAACATACAAATAGATGGTAAAGTTGAAGTTGGAAGTTTAATCTTTTAAAAGCACACCCTCGATAACAATTCTATTTATATATACACATTTAAAAACAAACATAAAACAAATAAACAATACATAGTATGTACTTAAGTTGAATAACTTTTGTACAAAAACCAACCTATAAAATATACTCGGCCATTGAACCCGAATCCTTCATCAGATTTGATGAAATCTCGATATATTTGATTTGCCATACGGATAACATTGGATACAATATCTTTATAGTCATGTGAGCAACCAGATAGTATTGGAATAGCACCTATTGGAACGGAATCATGTGTAATATTTGTACACTCCATGCCGGACGGAGACACGTCAAAACTATAAGGGCTTAACCTAAAAATAATCACTCAGGGCTTAAAATCATTTCAATTACACTTTTCAAATATATATGTATATTACTTTGATAACACACTAAGTCCTTCAGCACAAATAGAAGGACAAGGAATAAGTCTCATCGCAACATGACCAATCATGTTTGGATAGTGTTGTCGCATGACTGATTCAAACGCTCCTCTAAATGTAGTGAAATCTGATTTTTTTGACATTATATCTGAATTGGCATCTAAAATATATTCTGTGTTAGTATCTAATTTTTTTTTTTTATTAATAGTAGTATTAAATTAAAAATTGGCATTTTATTACCTAATACGCTGCCAGAATGTATAATCATTAACAGTGTACTTATTTGACAATTAGTTTCTTTACTGACTACAGGTGAACCAGGACACGTATCAACACTATGACCCCGTTGAATGAATGGTGATGATTTTTTATAGGTAGGAGAAAATATACTATCATCTATAAAATAATAAACACACTTTTGTCATCTTCATACATTTATTTTAATAACACAAAATTTTAAAAAACTAACCATCTTTATCAGGAATACTGGAAGAGTCGTCTTCTTGTTCATTTAATATTGTCAAAGAGCTCCATTTAGAGAGAGAAACTATCTCAGAAGTTGGTAGAGTTTCTGAAAATAAAATTTTGATGATTAAAGTAATAGTTAATCAACTATTTATCAAAATATCTATTTAATCATTTTATGTCTACTATAAGAAAAAAAAACAATTACGATTGCTTCTATAATTGTGTAGTTGAACTAATTAGATTAGAAAAAAAAGTATACTTAGAAATACAAAAGGTATCTAATTAATTTTTTATTTTTTATAATTACTAAATAATGAATATTTTCTGGCATTTATCATAGATTCTTAAAAACTTTTTTTTTTCGTTAAAATAGTGTCTTCTACATCAGTGCTACTTAAACTGGGAGCCGTAGATATATTACTTGGGGGGCCGTGAAATGTCACACCAGACATAAATATGTTATGTAAAAATAAACAAGCCCGCCTGTCACATTAATAATTATCATCATTTTTACTGGATATATTTATAAAGTTTTATATTTATTATCAATTTATTTGTACTAAAAAAATCTTTAAAGTTTAATACATAGTATTGAAGTTGTTTTCAAAAGTATTTTAAAAAATATTAATTTACTATACATTTTAATAATTTATCTGAGAACATAAGTAATTTTAGTATATAATTAAGAAAAAGTAATTAATGATTATGATTAAGGGGGTCTTGACAGTTTTACATTAAATTTAAGGGGCCCCATGACAAAAAAGTTTGAGAAGCACTGTTCTACATTTATGTTTATCTCATCATTTTCTTCTTGTTGTGTACTTTTAGGACATGAAATGTCAATAACCATTACATTTTCCTTGGTTTTTTAATCATCTTTAGATCTCCTGTAATTTAATTAGTATCTTTTTGTACCTTTTCTCAATGGAAGTTAAATTTTTACTAAATTGCATATCTTTACATATTTGAATACTATCACAAAATTAATTTTAAATATGATTCAAATCATGTTCATTTTACTGCCTCGTTCCACTACACAATGTAATTCTTTACATAATCCAATCTCATTTGAAGATAATTTCTTCATTTTTTCTTCATTATAATTTTTCTGTTTACATATACTTATTGGTATTTTTATTTTTAAATAAATGTTATAATATGTAATCTAATTTAATTAATTGTAGAGTTGTACCTAATGTTATGTGAACATTGTAATTGTTTTTACTATAAATACATTTGAAAAATAGAGGAAATGAAAACGTTTAAATACAGATTACAATAGAAATTTACAAATTAGTCTTGTTAATATATTAGAAAGAACAGGTTTTAAGAGATCGGAAAACTGTTGAAATATGTCCAGTCAAGGGGTGATATGTTGTCATTCGGATTTTGAGCGAAATTCAGAATTTTCTAACAGTTACAGTAAAAAAAAGCTTTAGATGCCCTGATACAGGAGGTGTTCAACTAATAATAATAAAATAATAAGGAGTTTACCTAAAGGACAAATGAGATATGAATCAGGGCTGGCCTAGTGTATACAGAAAATTTAGAGTGTTTTAGTAGTTTCTAATAAGATGTTACCGAGACACTATTTATTGAGGACTGGCAAGCTAATGAAGCTGAGAGCTTCATGACTAAGAGTTAATCAAGAAAAAAAACAAGAATAAAAATGACAAGAAATCCTTCAGCAAACCGGAAAATATCACGGGGATGACCAAAGCATAGATCCCTGGACCCAATTAAAAAAGATCAAATGGAAACGAAACTGAACAGGAATTATGTATTTAAGAAAAGAATGGAATATACTGATTTTAGAAGCAAAGAGTTGTAATGGCTAGTAAAGCTTTTAAAAATATAAAAACAAACACAAATTTAAAATTTTATTTTTAAAAAAAAATAATTATATCATATAATTGCATATATGTTAGCTAATTATATATGTTTTTTAATTTAAATAATAAAAATTAGCCCATAACAATAAATACTATACTAATAACTAGGCCAATATATTTTCAAAAATCAACAAATATTATAAAACTAGAATCAATGTTGTTATTTACCTTGACAATCGAAAAATTCATCATCATTACTTAAATCAGAATCAGAATCTCGAATCAAACTTTCCATTCTCCAATTGGGTGCAGTATCAAAACTTAAAGTAGATCCTGGTGATGGTAGTTGTGATTTAGGATTATTCCAATTGTTTTTCACGGGTATTCGCCTAAAAAAAAAAAAAAGATGAGTTATATTTTAGATGTTTTTATAAAAATTATAACTTTTACATGTTTTTTGATGGTTGAGGACCACTGCTTGATACATCAGAACTATTAGATACACACGGTGCTGGAGAATATAATGTTGAATCATGCATACGTTTTGATGTAATAGGTGTAGCTACTTCTAAATCGCTTTTTTCAATACTACCCATTGTGGCAGCTAGATTGGTAGTATTTTTTGTATCATCAATGGCGCTATTTCCTTCACATATTTCAGAGTCACTACTATTACTACCCATTTTTTGTTTAAGAGCTTCTTGAATTTCTCGTTCAATCTCTCGAATATTGTCCATCGTCAGATTTACCCATTCATCTTGCCATGCCCATGCTTGACGATGTGCTTTGACCATAGTTTTTCTCAAAGCTATTTATGAATTAAATTTAATATTCTTTAATAAAAAAACACACATTTTAAAAACTAAATGACCATATAAATGTAAAAATAAATTTACCGACTTCATGAATGAATTTTTCAATTTTTGTTTGCATACCCCAATAACGAAATTCTACTTTACATAATTTATATGCACACATAATAGACTTTCCTGATTGGGTTGGCATACTATTATTCTACAATTAATAATTTAAAATGGAAACAAGATTAACATAATTAATATTTAACTTGTATCAAGTGTTGATATTAATAAGTAATTAATTACTTGGCATTCTTTCCAGTACTCCGCTATCCAATTTTCAGGCAAGGGACCTCGACCTGTTTTATCACTGACATAAAATTTTGGATCTTCATCTTTATTATAATCTGTTCCGGTCAATTGATCTTTTACTATATCTATTAAGTCTGATGGAAATATAAATATATAAGAATCAAAATTTCTAACATATTTTTATTACAATTTAACTTTAAATAAATAATAAACTAAATTAATTCATAAAATATTATATTGTAATATAATATTCAATAAATATTATAAATTAATACATACCCACAGAAACATTTCGAAGTTCACTTTGAGACATTTTAAAGACATTATCACGAGATCCATTGTCAGGATAATAGTACGTTTCAATTTCTAATGAAAATTTTTCAACAAAAGGGCAAGTATAACGGGTTTTCGTGTATGGATATGCATTCCATGCTTCTTCTTCAACAACTAACACTGACTTCGGTAATAGTCCCTTAAACCAAGCTGCAGACATTTTAATATCAAGTTATTTTCATGAATTTTACTTATACTTTGATTCAATTTAAAATTGCAAAAAAGTTTTTATTGTATAGTATTACTCGGTATGTGACTTCCAACATGATAGATTTTTCTTGTATATTGTCCACCACTAGTATTTCCATTATCACCAGGACCAGGACCTTCATATGGTTCATTTACTAAAATTTCAACTCCACTTTCGGTTCCTTTGCTTTCATCTCTGCTTTTTTTCTGAATTGAACATATTTGTTAGTATAACAATATTATAGATAAAAAATAAAAATTTATACTTACAGCTATCATATAAAGTTGGGCAATTCTATACTCTTCTACAGTCAATGGAAGTGGAATACGGTATTCTTTGATCAACATAATGAATTTATTTCACCAAAATCCTAAAAACTAATTAAACATTTCAAGAGAAATTTAAAAAATGTTTGACAAATAGTATATACTAATACTTAGGGATAGATTGAGTATCTGGGAATAATAAACAGAGAAACAGCAAATACTTGGAGTAAAGCCATATTTTAGAAAATTTATTTGAATTTACATAAAAGTGTTGATATATTTGGATACGGATATTTTATTATCCACATTTTTAAAAAAAAAAATATAACATAAAACGTCAAAGTGTGAAATACTATCTCAAGGCTATTAAGCATTTAAGCGTATTTGAACTGATATGACATAAGGTTTCATTATATGATTATTACCCAGTATGGCTTCTACATAAACAGACTGATTTAAATGCAGGACACATACAATATCACAAGGATATTAATATTATTAATATTAAGAAATCATGACCTCCATATTCACAAACTACAAACATGTATATAGATATATAAAACAGAAGAAATAGAATGTTAAAACTTGATTTGAAAAAAAAAAAATATAATATATTTAGAACAAATAATGACAAATTATAAAAATTATCACTATTCAATTATTAATAAAATTATAATAATAGTTGATAATTGCCATAGCAGTTTCATTACAATATTATAAATTAAGATAAAAGGTCATCCAAAATTATTTTCAAAATGTACTTGTAATGTTGGTATTTATTTATTTGTTTAAATTGTGAAACTATAATTGTTTATTATGCTGAAGGCTTTTCAGTAAGAATACAGTAAAATTATATTTATAATTATAAAAAATTTAAAAAGAGACAATTTTATACATCTGTTACTAAACAGATACGGCATACCAAGTTTCGAATAAGTGTAATCGTTATAATTATTTAACTTCAAACAAAAACTATATTTAAACCATAGTGTTTATTTATTTTAGAATTAAGATTTTTTAACGTACTTACTCTAGAAAACTAACACATATTGGTATAAACAATATTTATTAATAGACTATAGAAAAAACATTGATTGAAGTAATAAATAAATAACTATAATTAATATTATTCATGAGACTAGTGTGTACATATATTTTTTTTATAAAATTAATTTTGTTTGTTTAGAAATACTTTAAGAAATATTATCAAATCATGCATATTTTAAGCGTAAATAACAGAAAGTGAACCAATTTAATTACTTCTAATTAAGAGGTTGACAGCATAACATTTATTATTTTGGTCTGTATCATAAACACTACCATAGAATTACTCTTCTCATTTCTCCTTTTGTTGCTGTTTAGTACCTAGTATTATAATTAAATTATTAGCTATTATTCAACATTTTAGTAACTAAAAAAAGTATAACTTATAAGAGTACATAATTCAAACTTTAAGGGAATTAAATTAAAACATAAACTATCAACTGAATTTTTAAGTTATCAAGATAACTGAAGTGTATTGGTAATAATTTATTGGAAATTTTGAATTATCAAAAAACTATTAATACAGTAATGTATTATAGTAATACCTAACATAAATCTGAAAGAAATTACAAAAGTAATTAGTAATACTCAGAATAAATAATTGTCAAAAGAAATTCAATAATATCTAGTATTTTATTCAGTTGATCCTAATATAATGCAATTGTGATTTGACTGTAGTTCAAAACATAAAAAATATTTTGTAAGTTATAATATACCTATGCTTGTATAATACATAGGATGTTAAACTTTTTCTTTTCAGTAATAATTAATAGAATAACTGTTAGATAGCATTTGATTAATTCAAATAATATAGAAATAAAATTACCAATTTGAAAAGAAATTGTGTGATAGTATGTACCTACATAATAGAAAGAAATAATTATTATATAAACATCCTCTTGAAAAAAAAAATGATCAACTTTTCAATAGGTCTGATACGACTAAATATTAAATTATAATAAAATTGTTTATAGATAATTTTTTGTAGATTATTTAATTAGTTTTTCTAAGAAATAAACCTAAGTATATTTATATAATCTAAACTTAAGTGAATATAATAATAATATCTTTATTTACGTAAATAATAAGGACAGTATATTGTATTATGTAGAAAATAAGTATAGGTAGTTGAAATGAAATTAACTATTCAACTAAAATACTAGATCTTTTTTTATATTATAAAAGAAGATGTAAATCTAATGAACATGCATAATATGTAGGTAAGAACTATGTATAGGTGTATACATGTATAATTTTTTATTTCAAAGAAGTCATAAATAAAAGGCTACCTAGTTGTAAAAAGATAACTAGACACAACTGTACAAATATTTGAATATTTCATTCCAAAAACATATCTACTTATTTATACAAAGGTTAGTATTAAGAGTAAGATTAAGAGTAAGTTAAGTAACTATTAAGAGTAAGTTAGTATTAAGGTAAGATTACAAGTCTTACAGTTCCTGGGTAATTTTGCCCAGGAATATTATTTATTTATGTATTTTTTTTTTTAGAAAATTAGAATTTTAACAGTTTAGATTTTGTTGCAGTACTTTTGCTTGTGAAGGAAAAACTTGTAAAAAGTTAACTGAAATTGGACAACAATTGGTGTATATATGTGAAAATCTTTGTTAAAAATCATTAATGTTTCTTAGTAGGGTCTGAGGACGGCCGTTCTATAGTTACACCTAATTGTAATTAATACAACTTCTTATAAATACTTACTCAGTAGGTACTTGACTATTGTACTTCTGGTTTGCAGAGTTGGAATCGCTTTTCAAGCTTTGTTATTTTATGACTTGGTCAATTAAAATAATTGTTGATGTCAGATGGTTTTTTAAATAAGACTAGTTTCACTATTGGTTTGACTTTACATTTAAATCTTGTATATAAAAAAAAAAAAGGAAAATATAATATATATAGGTAGTTAAAAAAAAAAATTAATAAATTATAATACAGATTTAATAAAGCTGTTTACTTTTCACCGATTATTAATACTAATTAGTACCTAATTAGTAATAATAGCATTCCTAAAATCAATGCACATTACCTACCCGTGTTTCATTAATTCAAATCTCGACTACGATTTCGGTGTCATATTTTCGTATTGTCCAGATATCAGATCATGACGTACAAAACCGAAGTTGGTCCAGACCGGGTCGGCGGGTTACGCGAGCGGCCGGACGACGATCGAGGAGGAAAGCATCGCTTAACGGCGATAGTAGTGCAACGTCCCAGGACGTTTTAAACGGGATTCGAATGTCTGGAGTTCGCCACGAGCGAGGGAATAACCATGGGAAGACAGCCTAGAACTGATTTTTTATAACCGGCCAACTGTTTAGCCCGTAGAGTCTACAGAATGATAATCGGTGTCGGCGGCATTCAGGAGACCGGGCGAAACGCGATCACGGAACACACGTCGGGAATGCACTCGCGGCAAGAGTGGTTTATGGCGAGTTCGGGCGCGCACCTAGCCAGCCGCGGTCGCGTCGGCTGTCCGATTTTTTTCCCCGTTAACAACAAGCCTTATCAGATATACTGGCGGCGCCGCGAGCGACACCTGTCGGTTCACTCCGCCAACGATTGTACGCTCTTTGAACGTCGTATTTTTTTTATTCGTATTATAAGTACGTAACAAATACGCAAAAATATTCTAAAAAAAAAATTTAGGTACCCATAATATTAATCCACTTGGGCGTAACTAGATCACCGACTTTCAGGTTGCTAAAATTATGGACTCATCGAAGACACACGGAGGCTTTGGCCCCTCGATCCTCTTTATACGAATCTTTACAATAAGCGCAACTACACGTTTCATTTATAATTTTGTGTATACAAATTTATCGTATTAACTATTTAACATTATTTTGCATATACACATGTATATGTCTGTAGATAGGGCTGTACTTTGTTCTGCTTATTATAATATTTTAAAGCGCATGGATAAAATATTTAGTCGTAACTACGAAAAAGCTTATTGGGATTTTTCGGGGGTTACCAATCTTAAACTTGATGATTCATAAGATCCCCTAGCACCTCCTTGTGGCACCTATGCTAATCCAGAATACTATTTGGCCTATTAGAAAAATGTACGAAAATAAAACGTGTAAAATGTACAAAAAAAACAACTGTACAATTTTTCGCTTCAAGAATTTGATACTCGGGACAACTGCCCCCGTCCTCAACCCTTAACACGACGTTGAACCGCCATTGAAAAATCTGCATACGCTAATGTTGCACATACAGATATTTTTCTAAAATAATATATTTTTTAAAAATGTGCATTGTTGAATCCAAGAGAATTCATAGGAGGAATTTACTTTTTTCCTAGGTTTATTTTTTGTTTTCAATTTTAGTACCTTTACTTATTAATATATAGTAGGTATGTACGTAATACAAAATTCTCTTTTAAAATATCAAATCGGGAGTATTTTATTATGGTAGCCGGTAGTATGTATCAACTTTCTACATTATATATTGTGTAAATTGATCTTTGCAATAGGCACAACCATCTAATTCCTTCGAACCAGACCGCTCGTGTCATGCAAAACGTAACGATTAGGTAGGTATAGTTTGGGCATCGTAGTTTATCCGTTTATCCAACAACGTTATTGGAGATTGTATTTTCGAAACGTTGCATTGTTGCAGTATAATTTTAAGTGCATATTATTTGTTGGGCTGTATTTTTTGGGGGGTTTGAAATAATACGCATTTTTAAAAGTTTTTAGCGCATTACATTCTTAGCCTCGTAAAGAATATCATGCATAACACTATAGCAATCATAAAACATAATACAAGAAAAATTGTTACATACATGCACACAATAGTATACTTAAATGCAGTTAATTTATCTACATATTATTATATGGGAACGGTACATATGTAACACACGTGCATCTAAGTGTATTAAATATACTAATAATGCTTACGAAAAAACAATAAATAGTCCAGTAAACAATGTTAGTAACAAATACAGTATTTGAAAAAACTACAAAAATACAATTATTAGAGTGGTTTAAAATCGTATACATAATAATAACGTACAGGTCAGGCCGTCACTCCGTCAGGTGTAGACTGGGAACAGAAATCGACTTTAAGGAAACAGAAAATTTTAGTCAAAATGTTGAGTATCAAGTATTATAGGTATGTATAGTAGTAACATGATCCAAAACTAGATTTTTTTTGGTTTAACTCTTTGTTTAGTGTTAATTCCATTTTTTTTATCAGGTATTTTTAATTAGGTAATTCATCGGCTCAATTGGGGATCATTCACTCGCTGTTCTATCTAATCAGCCTCTATATAGTACAGGTACGCGCACGCGTGTGCTTTTTAGATCAGTTTTTGTCATGGTCGAACTATTTTAATATCTTATGTATGTAGGCTTTAGCTTAGCTAGAAGGAGGATGGGTTAAGCTTATCGAGTTTTTTTTATACATTTGACGAAAACGAATAATATATAGGATTAATGTGAATAATAATAAATTAATGTCTTGGAAGAAAAATCAATGTATTTTATCATTAAACGTTTATTAATAAATAATCGTAATCGTACAATAATTTACCATTGTCTACTGATGAGACTAACAAAAAAAAATAATAATACTAGAATCCCTTGTAATTATTGAACTCAACTTAACCCAAGATGAGCTTTGTATCCCACCTTCACACCAATTTTTAATGTTTTTAATTTTTTTGTTATGGTTTTTCGGTAAAAAAAAACTTTTAAACCAGAAATCTTGTTCCCAAGCAACGACTTTGGAAGCGATAACTTCTAGTAAAAAATGTTGTCAGCTGGTGAAATGAGGAGGTTATTTTTTATTTTATTTTGTGGTATTCATAACTATGGCCTCAGAACTTCTGAAAACCTCAGAAAAAACGCCGGGAAAACTGTTATAAATAAACAATAACAGTTTTTGTATATTTGATATTGTGAGAACACCCTCCTCCCAGTCGCAGCCCTCCGGTCACCTCCTGAAATAAATACTAGTTCCACAGCAAATAAATAGTAAAGGTAGGCTAAAATTTCTGTAAAATTAGTTGAGATACTCCGTCTCCTCGTGTATCTTCAATTCGATCACTGATTTTTTCTTTGATATAATATTAGGCGTAACTATTATTTAATGTGGACGATTATTAATTATTATAATAAAAATTATGATTTTTTTGAAAAAATTATATTAATTTTATACTGTTACTTGATTTTCTTCACTGGCAGAATTTATATGTGCCCCTAATACCTACGTACGGTAAATCCGCAGTATGATAAATGATAGAGAATTGATAATACGAAGAGAAATAAGATAGCGAATATTTTTCTATCGCAGTGTTTATATTATTTTGTTTGTCTATAATACAAGACCGGGTCAAAGTATATAGGTAAGTAGGTAGGTAAACAAACGTCGTTTGTAAAAGGTGACCTGGAAAACTGCGTACCTAAACATTGTGTATAATATATTTGTAATGTTTATACACAAAATGAGTGAGACACGTGTACTTTTATCATATAAAAACTGTTTTGATTAGTCGAATTTGAAGGTACAAGTAGTATCTATAAGATACCTAATTATTTATATTTTCAGTATGGTAGATACCCATATTGAATTTAAATTATAGGTATATAAATGATACATAATTAGTTACAAGTAACACGTATGTTCATTTTTTAATTTCGCAGTAATTATAGTAAGTACGTATAGTATGTATAGGTAATACGTACACTCATAATATGTATACCTGTTACCTACTATAATGAAGAGAATAGTATTAACGCACGCGTCGAATAACGTGCAGCTATAGTGAAAGTACCTAATAATTATTATAGTACCTATACAAAAAACAATGATACTTAGCTTTTATTAAAATTAGCCGTGAAAATAGGATATGCATTAACTCGATTAAGTTAAATTAAAATATATAAACAAAAAAAGCTCCTGGTTGAATATTAATTGAACGAAAATTAAAAGTAACTCATTATAAGTTTAATGTTGAAAATGTAAAATGCAAAAAAAAAAAAAAAGACGTTAGTAGTTTCAATAGTTTGTTTTAGATTCTAAGCGAAGCAAGGAATGTATTGGTTTTATAATAGTGCTTATTGTTTTATACTGTGTAAACAATTTATGCTAGAAGTTTTGCTCCGATATATGAAGTAGGGATATTCATTCCTGAAATTAAATTTTTTCTAGTTGATACATAAAGTATTTTGTTTATTTTCCCAGTAGTTTTCATAATAATTGGGAAAACCAAAAACAGACGAAAAATAAAAATTGACAAATTTACGGCGTTACTATTCTATTATTTTAAATATTACTCCGATAAAAAAAACCGACTAGCTATTATTGTTGTTGAATTTGCAATCTAATTGGTGATTATAAGGAAGTAGTTTTTTGATTTTCAGTATTTTCAATAATTAAGCAAAATCGAAAAAAAAAATGTAGAAAGAACAGGAAAATTTACGAAAATAATTATTTTATTATTTTAAATTTTGTTTTTATGTTTTAATTCAGTTAAAAAATATTCGTAGAGATTTAAAATTTGGACAGAGATCTTATATTTGTTTTTGATAGACGTCGTAAAATTATCAAAACATTTGAGCTATTTTTGGGCTATTTATAATCGTTTTAATTTTGCGAGTTTCTTATGTAATTTTGTAATCTGTGGACAAAATTGTTGTACCCAATAGAAGTGCTTGAAAATGTAACAGCAGATACATTATTAGTTATAGTGTTAAAAAAAATTGAGTGTAATGTAAAAATTTTATTTTGTATGAGTTTTAATAGTAAATTTTTACGAAAATCGTAATTATCATGACCTTTCAAAACATGCATAACCGGACTCCACTCAAAATCGATTTTCGTTAGAAATAATTAATCGTTGCACATAGATATACATTAAATTCCTCTATATATCCTATCTTCCCAACTTCTTATTAAAGAATTTCTGGGGTAAATTGTTATCCTAGAAATGGAAAAAATACTCATACCTCCTCAAATGCTTATTAGTACTCTAAGAGGCATGCTCGTTCTTTTCGTAATACATAACCTATACAATTTGAATGCGCATTTGAATATTATGAGAAAAAAAAACAAAAATTATCATTATACGGTCTGTAACGTCACGATCAACATTGTTATGGATGTTTATGAAAATTTATCTAATTTGATTTGTTCACATTTTATAATAAATATTTAAATACGATATAATTTTTGTTTCGCAAAAAAGGCATAAATCATGTAATTGTGTTAAGTACTTGAGTCATTTAAAATAATAGTTTAGGTTAGGCTATTTGAAATTTATTCCATTATGGCATATAGCATTTTTAAAATTTTAATTATTAACAGTTATAAACAAATTGACATAAGCATTTCTCTTTGCTAGGACCAAAGAGTTATAATATAAAAACAAAACTGCACATAGTCAAGTTAAAAACCAATTAATATTCGAACTTCAAATGCCCACTATTATTGACTATAGGCATTACATATATTACAGAGGTCTCAGAAGTTTCGAAAACGTGATTTGAATTTAATAATTGAATCTGTTGCACAACATTATGGTCTGTGTATTGCTTTTAGGGAAAGTATACAATATGTCTAAAATATATTACCTATAGAATATAATGTGTAACAGTTTATCGGCATTCAACAGAAATATTTTCTGTTGTAAAATATGCATGCATGCTTATTATTGGTACATATATTCTTTAAAACAATACTTTTTTTCAAATGCTTACAATATAATTAATTGCACATTTTACGAATCATTTAATTTGAAAGGTTTTTAATATTTGACGTGAGTTGAAGGTTGATTTCAGTGATTTTAGTATTTAAATCCGTGAATGTATTATATAGGTACCAAAAAAAACTGTGTTATTATACGAATATGAACTTTAGAATGTTTAAAATATATTAAAATCCAACTAGTTCGTTTTTAATAATTAATTGATCCAATTTAATTATAATTCGGTGAAATACGTATACTTGAAATGTTTGTTTAATATTTCGTTACGTCTCGATTAGTTATTTCATGATGTATAGCCATATAAGTAGTGGCGAAATTAGGGGGCTAGTGGAGATCGCGGCTTCTCCTGGATCGTCTGACGCCATCTCAATGGCGGGACGCCAATCACATTTACTTAATACTATGGCGGGGCTCAAGCCCCCCGAGGTTTATAAGTTAGTTGTGTCACTGCATATATGCGTTCTATATACCCAATTGAAATATTCGTCGTATATGTATTGCAATTAACATTTTTTTTTCCGATTTTTAAAAGCCAAGGCTATACCATAATAATATGTACCAATAGTGTCCTCTAAACTCACTTTTCAATAATAATATCGGTTATATTACTAAAAAAATAATACGTTTTAAGTATATAGGTATACTAATTTGCAGCTATTTATATCAATTTGTTGCCGAGTATGGGCACTCGCCTAAAATCATTTTCGTTACGCTCGTGTAAACCTCGATTTAAACTATGTCTTTTACGCGCACATACTTATATACGTAAGAATATCACACACACACACACACACACACATATATACCTATACACCCGTATACTTAAACCTCACGTATTTACTTATACTTCCGAATTCCGATTAAATTAAAACACAATCGTACTATAGACGGTAGGATATTAATATTTTATAGTATATATATATAATATTAATGTATATAAATATTATAATACCTATAGGTATATTATAGGTATCTATCTATAAATCATTGACAGAATTTTTATTTTGAAGAGCCCGCGTGGACAGGACATGATCACTATTGTATACAAGTTTACATCGATGATGACGCGCTGTTCGTACACAGTGTCTATATATATGCAAAGCGAAATCTCCTTTAACGGACACCTCCGAATAGCTGACGATTTTTAGGGAACGGTGACATTTTCACCACTTTTATATAGGAAAACCTCTAAATAACGGACACTTTTATGTCAAATTTTATGGCAAATCAACGTCTAAAACAAGCTAAAGTAACTGATTTTTTCAATCAATGTTAATTTTTATCTTAAAATAATTTGTATTTACATTTTCATTTATATTTTTACATACATAATAATATGTTTAATGAATATTTGTTTTAAAACAATACAAAAACACATATTACATACATAAATGTTGTACATAGTTATTAATTTATCACAGTTATTTTTGAGAATTGTTTTCCTCTCTGAATAGCGGACGCCTCTAAATAACGGATAAAATCACAGCGACCGAGAGTGTCCGGTATATAGAGGTTTCGCTGTATATATATTAGACTACAGTTTACAGTGTTGCGAGGAAAAAACTTAAGATATTTGTCGATGGAACATAGAATAGAGCATTCGTCTGGATATGACAACACAACACGCGTATTGTTTTTTTGTATTATAATTTTGATCTTTTTTCCCCGTCTATGTTAACAACATTTCTACCTGAAGAATTTTAATAAAAAAACGACAAGAAACTTTTTTTTTGTTGATTTTTGGGTTCAGTTGCGGGTACAACTAAATGCACCATCTAAGTTGGTTATTATTTTTTTACCCTTGTAATTTTCTTAATAATAATCAAAAAATGGAAGTGTTTACGGAAATAACGGTTTCATTATTTTCGAGTGGATTCAACTTGTTTGTCGTAATTCGGTTTAGAAGTAATTGTAGCGACTTGATATTTTCACAGAATACTTATATTAGTTTTTTCTAAACGTGATAATATATTCAAAATATTCTGGCGCTTTTTGAGCTATCCATCGAGTTATTTTTAGATTTTATTTGGATTTATACGGATTTAACTGTTCCAAATTGTCTCGTTTGATGGTATCTATACTACAAATGGTATACAATTTCTAATAAACTTAATATTCTAAATTATAATTGGCATGTACAGAAGTATTCCCAATAGGAGAAAAACATTGTATTATAAAAAAAAAACCTAAATACCTAATATTATTATTTAGATGTATTATAGTTGCGTGCAGCCCTTGATGCTCTAGGGAAACTTTTGAATTTTGTGATATATAATAATATAATATATATTAGGCAGTACTTACTATTTTTCGCCGTGTGTAGAATTTTATAAAAAGTTGATATATTTTTTAATAGATTTATAGATGGCGTTTATTTATAAAAATATAATATAATATAAAAACCGATACTGGAGATGACTGTGGCTACTGTTGTAGTTGAGTAGTTGGAAAGGTAAGATACATAAAGTTATTTAATTTATACCTGTAAGTTGGGCGAATGTAAGTTCCTATACGAGAACAATCAGGTGGAAAAAATACATGTGTTAGTTCCTACACGACAAAAAAAGTTATTTTTATTTCATTCAAAATATCTTAAAAAATAAAAATAAATATTATGATAAATTCTGTAAATGTATGATAACTGTACAAAAAAAAAAAAACATTATAATATTGTATATTAAACGAATACTTGTAAGTAGATACGTACATTTTTGGCCTATTAAAAAAAAATACATTATGGAATAAAAAAAGTGTGTAAAAATACCGATGTTAAAAATCGTACCGAACGTAAAAATCCAAGTTCATAATTATGTTTACCAGTGTCTTACATTTAAGCGAATTATATTTATTTTTAATTTTTATGAACGATATCAGACATTTTGCTCTTTCCGTTTTATGGTAGACAGTTGTCACCTTTCTATTATTAGGTACTTGTAATCGATAAACAATCACTGCCATAATATCACCTTATAGACCAGATATTATTACTACATAGTGCCAACGTGACAATGTGTCAATAGTGAATCTTAATAACGTTCACGTGTAGTAAATTAAAGTAGCGAGGTATAGGTAACAATCTATAATAGGTACTATGTACAATGAGTCACTGCATTATTTTAATAACGAATGAAGCCTAACAATATTATATTATTATTGATCTTGAAAAATTAGTAAAAATATTATGAGGATTTTTCTTTTTTCTACGGTTATAGGGCAAATAACCATAATTTATCCCATACTATCATTCGTTTACGTTGTTTACGTAAACTTCAATGTTTTGATTTAAATTGTTATTCGACGACGAAAATTATGAAGCTAATTATAATTTATAATATATATCTATGTATAATATATTACCTATATGTATCGTTTAAATTAGGTAATTTGTAAAATTTATGTTTCTGAAATCAAAATACTTGAACATTAATTTGTACCTGATTTTGAACACTTTTATAAACAAATATTTAATATTATATATTTTTCCACAATTTTTTTAATACCTGTCATACCATGCATCGATATAGCCCCGGTATCACGGAAAAACCGATGAAATATTAAAAATAGTTAATGGCTTGTTAAAAAAAAAATAAACGAACAATATTCATTGTATTGTAATTACAAATTGAAGACAAGAAATTTTCTTAACACAATAATGCAAAAACATTGACTATATTTAAAAATACTAAATAATTATAAAGGTTTTAATTTGTCCCCATGGTTTTACCCCGCGGTCCCTTACAGGTTGTATAATTATTTTGTATACATTTAGTATATATTATAGACAAAATAATTAACACTGTCACACTATGACAGAATATATTATTTATTGTGTATATTAATAATCAAAAAATCTTTTGACCATGCAATTTTTACTGTATACTACAAATCATAGTACTATTGCAACATAAAAAACGAATCATTTGCGTTAAGACTTGAGTAATAAATAACGGATATAATTAATACATTTTCGAAATTCAAGTATTTGTTTGGGGTTGAAAAACGATACTCGCCATTGCTGCCCCCAAAAAATGTACGGGGTTACAAATATTACCCGTGGATACCTCTATTGACGCCTATGTCTTATCAGTCATTCATTTTTTCGCTATAAATAAAAGTGCAATTTGCACAGTAATTGTTTAGAATTTTAAACGATAATTTTTAAATCGTAATATTACCTACTGAACATTTTATATTCATATTGCTATTATTTTATTAATTTATATTCCTAGGGTCCAAGGTCAGAGAATTTATTAATTTTAAAGAAAATGTTATAATAATGATAATACAAGTACTGAATAACGGTTAGTAATAAATTATAGGTAAGCACATACATATTCTTACTTTGTAGTAGGAAATAGTTTCTTTGAAGTCAGCGAATGTGCGACGGTTGATGTATTATTGGTTCGTTGCTGCACAACCCTACTGAACTAGGTACCTCTTGATTCGTCGACCAACGATTGATTGCGTTTTGAGGTGTCGTCAAAACCTTTAAATAAGTAAACACGAATACACAATAATATGAGCATCTCAATAAAATACGATGGTAACAATTAACAATATAATATTTAGAAAATTCGGTTTTGATTGCTGGTTGGCTATAATCGCGCTATAATCATAATCGTTCTCTTTTAAAATATTAAATAGGTATACACCGGTCTATTATTTCAAAAGTATGTAATAATTTATTATGTTTTTAAAACCTTAGCATAGTGAGGAGGAATGTATTGGTGATATTGTGATGTGTGTTTTTTAAAAAAAAATTTCCTAACCGTGAACAAATTTTTTACCAGAAATCTTACTCCGATCATTAACATCAGGATTTGTTTTTGGTAACAAAAGTTGCCTATTTGGTTCACTGAAAAGGTAATTTTTGGTTTTCATTCCTTGTAGTTTTCTTAATAATTTGGATTCTGCTTTTTTGTCGTAATTCAATAAAAAATTATCACAGATCAGTTGCGTAGTCAGGATTTTTTTAATTGGGGTGTTTTTATTTTGTTCAGACGTAATTTTGTAACTTTATTTAGCGCATGTAATACACATAACATATACCTAATAATTATCTATACTTTACACAACACATCTTGTAGAAATCTGATGCATAATTGCATATAGTAAAAATTATAATTTTTGGCATAAATATAGTCAAAGAGGGGGGGTGTTTGAACACCAAAATACTTTCTCCCCCGCTACGCCACTATTGCAGATATAGAAGCAATTTTCATAGGATGCCTTGTATATTAGTCCTTCTTTGACGTGGTATACTTTTCAAACCATTCTAACTATTTTTTTTTTTAAATGATATATATACCCTGTACCTGTATTAGTATATAATAATAATAGACAGGTATATTATTATTTATTGTTACTGCGGGTTATATTAATTTTTATATAGGTATTTGTTGGAATATTAAACAGCCAAGCCAATATACCTATTCGCGGCTGTCAGCTACCATTCGAAATTGTTCGAAACAAAACAAAAATGATTAGCACACACATTATGCCACATCGCCACATACGTTCCGACGAAGGTGCCACCTACACGAAAATGAGTCTCATTTACCAAAAACGACGTGTATACTGTATAGGTATAATAGTTATGTAGTAGGTAACAATATTATTGCATTCTTTTTGCTTAATACTATCCAATGTTATCTTTTATTTTTATAGCTTTATTGTACCTTTCGAATTAATCCTGACGACATGTTATCATAATAATATATACCTACACATATTGTATATTATTTTATGTCGTCAGAATAATGTACCTAAGCGTAAAATGTAATGACTATAATATGCTGTCTTAAATGACGAGGTTCACGTAATGTTCCGAATTCCTGTACATTTCTATAACCAAACGAGACTATTATTTTTTAAGTGTTTTAATTGCAATAATATGTTTATTCACATGCATAACACCATTATATAACGATCATTAAAAATCGTTTTATTTTTATTTAAATTTTATGTTATTTTTATTTCAAATATGTATGCGAACCGTCAAACAATAATGTAAAATCAGTAATCTGGTGATGGCGTCACGCCGAAACCTAGTAGTTACCTAATAAACATAATATTCCTTCTTTAAGTCTTGGTTTAAAATTATTTTAACAATTTTCTATTATAATCGAGTAAATTAATTTTTAATTTCATAAACTTTTAGTGTGTCGTCGACATAATAATTATTATTATTATTGCTTGAATGATTCTACAAAGCGGTTCGACCGGGTTTGTACATCTGTAGTGTTTCCTAATCGGTACAATTTTATCTTTGAATTTACTAAATCTCAAAATGTACTGAAAACTATATTATAATACCATCAGCTGTAGATATTATACAACGAATTATGTACAGGCGAACTCGTATTTAGAATGTTTAAATCAATATAACGTTCCAGCATACTCGTATTTGTTCAAAATACACGTTTTTATAGACCCCTCCAGAATCGTAAACAATTATTATCTCAGTTGATATTCTTCAAAATTTTAGCTACTGTCGTTCGAATTGATTTCGCGTAAGTATTATGGCAGTATTATTACTGATTAAGAATATAATACGACTGTTAATTGTGATTCAGTGAAAAAGTGACGAGTTAACGCTATTCGTGATATCCGTCGCTAATTCGCCGATTAACTACAAATAGATATACAATATAACATTACTAAACGCTCACTCGGCTGCACTTATCGCCTTCCGTAAACGCACGATCACTTCAAATACACACGGCTAAAAATATTTCACTACCTATATGTACAACATATAAGTTCCAAACTTCGAGTCGGATCCAATGGACCAATAACCTGCAATAACTGAAGTTTACTGCCGATATGCCTTTCAAATAAACATCATTTAAATAGAATTTGCATACTGTTATGACGTAGGCGTTAATGGTTTATCTATATTATATATTACAATAAAAAAGTAATAATTGTTATTTAAAATAATACATGAACCGGTTTATAGGTAAAGATAGGTAACGATATTCTCACCTAATAACTGTTTTATGTATCGAAAATCATTATTACTTTTTATTATTATAAAAGTAAGTACCGATCTTGGGGAAAAGACATTAGACAGTACTTATGTGAAAGTAATTGACAATTGTCAATAACAAATAATAGTAGGAATATATTTGTTTTTCTTATATCTTATTATATTCATTAGAATATATACATATATATTTCTTATTATGAGAGTACTTGTCACGAAAATTTTTTTTTATAGAATTATCATTTATACACTCGTCCCCGTAACTATGTATCATTTTTATCACTCTATATATATTATATATTTCTTTTAACTATTTTTTATAATTAAGTTATTATTATTATTACCAACATTTTAACATTAAATAATTGTGTTGCACAATGGTTGATACTGAATAGTTGTCCTATGTGTTTTTAGAAAAAAAAAACTTATAATTATATGTATTTTTCTAATATTTGTCTAATTTATTCTAATACAACAAACTCCCTCGCTGCAAAGTGAATTCATTCATTTTAATATATAAAATGTAAATTTAAATAGAAATTTGTTCAGATACCTACTACTCCATTATCAATACCAACTATTATAATACATAATACGCATATGTATATAAATTATTTGGTGATTATGAATTTTAATCCTGATCTTAATGGACAGCTAATGGATTTTATCTAACTATTCAATTTATTCATGTGTATGGTAATACATAAGTGACATTATTGATACATATATATTAAAATATTCCCACTGATCTCACTTTTCTAAAAAAACAACCTAACAAATAATAGATACCTATAAATTCTTGTTAAATTTGTTTTTCTCATTTCTTTATAGTATATGTACGTGTATTGTGTATAAATATATAAATGAGTAAGTAAGTCCTTACTATATAATATATATACGAAATATAGTACAATATATTAGGTAACAATTGGTTATTATTTATTTCATTGCTCCGTTATTAAACCACTGTTATTTTAGCTACTTCTAAGCAAGTATATACAAAATTAACAGGTTCCTACATATAATATAGTTATATAAAAAATTTGAAGTCTTACAACTGTATGTAGGTATATACTGATATCTAGACATTCACAAAGTCCTTTCATAAAAAAATGTTAACATTAATTTATTGCGTTGCATAATAATATCTCTAATTATTCAATTTATTTATGTGTTTAATGTTCATATAGATATATTATAATAAAAAGTACTGAAATATGTCAAATATGTTATTAATTACATTAAATTACATTAAATACACTATTCTATGCCTACAACTATTAGATATTAAACACAAAATACTGACATCTAGACATTTTTAATGCTCTGTTTCTATACTCCTCCCCCCACAGGATGGCGTCGATAGAAATATTTATGATTTATTTTTATAAATTTTTCTATTTTGAATAGAAACATATTTTGATATTTTTAAAACATTTAAAACTATTTTGGTTAATGAAAATATGTTTATATTAGAATATTTTACATTATCAATTTTAAGTGCATGGTGATAGAAGTAAACGGAACGTTTTGAATTCATCGAATTTCGTACTAATGCATATTCGATTTAGTGACGGTATCATATTGATAGCACGAAAACCCCGAATGCGGGAACATTGATGCAATAACTTTTCTAAACGTTTTTTTAATGTATATGAACACAAAACATTGACATCAAGACAATGTCCGAATCCCTTCATATATCAATTTCACCTGTATTCTATCAGGTATATTGGCTGTACCCGCTTCCGAGCATACTAATATCAAGACATTGTTCGAATTTCTCTGTATTGCCATTCTTATAACTCAATTTCCTCTGTATCAAACACGTTATAATGCATCCAATCCGCCGTAGGCGGACTACCCACCCGCCGACTGTATCTGCTTCAGAAAATATTGGCATCTAGACATTTTCTTATATCTTAATAAATATTTCGACCAGCAGCTAGACTTTTTCCGTTTTACTTTTACAATTCGATCGCCCGTTCTCCAACAACCGTTATTGGTCTTGAAGTATACGATCTCCGTCGCCGAGCGTACCTATCTCGGCTGTATCCACTTCCAAAAAACTACGGCTAACAAAATACTGATATTTAGACATTTCCCGATTTTCTTTATTTCTCAATTTTTCCTGTAATCTTCATGTTAAACTGAGCCCACCGCCTGTATACGCTTCCGAGAATAGTGACATCTAGACAAGCTGTACTTCCGGTATGTATATAAATACATATTATACATATAGAAGTTATACTGCATTTAGTCATAGTGAATTCAATCCCTTCTTACATCAATTTCCGCCGTACTACTGTAGAGCATGTGTAGAGTACTAACTGTATCCACTACATCACCAGTATCCTGGAATATTGACGTCTAGACATTCCTCGAATCCTTCTGTATTACCACTTCTATATCTTAATTTTCACTGTATCCTATTCGTTATACTGCACTCACAAATCGAATATATACGTCCTGTAAAAACTAATTTCTTGACATTTTTATCTTTTGCCGTATCTCGACCAACTTCTTCGTTTCCTCATCCCTCAGTATCCTATCTACTATAGTAGATATCGTTCTAACGGTTTTAGCAGTAGTGCCAACATTCGAAGCTTTACTCTCGACTCCTGTATCTTGGCCGACTATATGTGTTTCCGAAATTATTGGCGTCTAGACGTTTTAAAAAGGTTTTTGCTGGTTTCGTCGCCACTGAATATTATTATCTAATTATTCCGTAATGCGATCCAATCGGTTCGTATATTATCACACCCATCAGCCCTTATATAATATAAATACCCTTTTTATTGGTCTAGAAATTAGTATTCTGTAGTTATTTTCACCGCGCATTATCGATACGTACCTATATCAATATGTATATTATAAACTATATTTACAACATTATAAATTGTATAGGTATGACTGGATTTGACGTCTTCAAAACAAAGAATATGAGTGTACTTAAAATATACTTAACATTTTTGATTACACTCATATTTCATATCCGTGGAAAATAAATGGTTAATATTTCCGTAAAATATTAGTAAACATTATACTTTTCAAGCTATATATGTAAGTTCCTATATATCTACGAAAATTATAAAATGTATATATAAATAAAATATGATGACGTTTGTTTTTGATTATCCGTTATAATTCAATTGTATCAAAATATTTATTTTATTTTTTGGGTACGGGACGGATACATATATACAGAGTGTCCCACCCATTGCAATATCTCCTTAGATAATAAAGATAATCAAATTTTGTTTTGTTTTTTTTTTTTTGTATGTAATACTCGCAGGGATAAGGACTAAAATATTTGTATTTGAATTTAATTTTTATGTTTTAGTAAAAAATCTAAAAAAAATTACTTTTTAGTTCATTATTTTCTAAAAAACTGAAGGCTATTTTATAGAGTTTATATTCTTCCGAAAATATTGACTTTCAACTTTTTATTTTAATTAAATTTATGATTTGTAATAATTTTTTAAAGTTCAGAGAAAAGTACCTATAATATAATTATGCAGCAGGCTGTAATCGTTTTTGCTAATTATTTATTATTATTATTATTATGGCTAATTGACTGTAACATAATTTTTTTACTAAGAACTTTAAAAAATAATTAAAAATCACGAAGTTAATGAAAATAAAAATTTTCAGAAGAATATAAACTATATAAAATTACTGTTCAAATTTTTCAAAAGTAATAAAATCATTTTTTAAGTTATTTTTACCAAAACATGAAAATTAATATTTTATTCCTTACTCATGTGAGTAATATACATAAAAAAAAAAAAAAAAAAAAAAAAAAAAACAGAATTTGATTATCTTTATTATGTTTGGAGATAATACAATGGGTATATTTTCATAGGACACCTGTATACTATTAGATAATGATATAAAATATAACACAATAATAAAACTATGTTCGTAATCATTTTTTTTTTACTAATAAATCGCTTAATCGTTGTAATATCATTACAAACTCTATATGTGGCAATTATCATATAAATTCATATAAATTCTATCATTCAGAAGTAAATGCATTCATATTATTTGTGCATTAGGTAGATACCTATATATATATATAAACAAATACAATTTAATATATAAATTAATGTCGTTAGGCACGTCTGACGCCGAACAATTTATATTTTATAGGCGGTTTGTTTTTATTCGTATAAAACTTTAAGCTGTATATTATATACCTATTTATTATAGTTTGAAGTTGGTAATTTCCTCATCATAATATTACGTACTGTATAATATACTATACACGCACGTCCATCTTCAATTTGTCTTAATCAGTAAATATTCGAGTTTATTACACATGACGTTTCAAAAATAAGTTAAAATTGACTTGATAACTTTTAGGGATAATTGTATTTATATTACGACGTGAATTAATATTCATTCACTCGCATGTCGACAAGTACCTATTAATAAAATATATTAATAGGTATATAAATACAAAATAATAATATAATAATATATAATATTGTTCGTGTTTATGGGATATGATATTAAAAAAGGATCGGTCGTTTGTATAATAATTACGTGTTTTCGCGCATATTATCGACGAATTAAGGAATTTCGAATTCGATTATTTTCGGTGGGGGGGGGGGGGGGAAGGGGGGGGTTATTATTACTTCCTTCGCTACGGCGCCATACGGTCTACTAAAATATAATAATCTATAAAATATGCACGTAATTCCGATTGCGTATAAATTGCGTGAGGGACTAATATTATGTCTGTTTTGAATGCTGTGAGAGGGCGAGGAGGAAACCGAACAAATTGGTCTAGGATGAACGATAAAACGGAAATATATAAGTAAAGTGTACGTTATAAGTGCGTTCGTTCTAGTAATAAGTAGTGTGTAAATTCGGGTCAAGCTAGGGTAGGTTAGGAAATGTTAACGTAGGTACAATATTATAATACACCCGTACACATACGTACCTATATAAATAGTTCAAACGAATACCAGCGATAACGATGAATGAGTAACACGCGTGCATATGTACGAGTATGCATAGGACGGACGTGTGACGGATGTTTGCGACGACGGTACTCCACCGAGTTCTCAACAGAAATTGTTCGTATAATAGTATAACCATTAGGCCACGATGCGACACGAGGAACACTTGTTAACGATGTGATGGATAGGTGCGGAACGGCGTTGGGTGGATGTGTGTGTGTGGGGGGGGAGGGGTTGGGGTGGAAGTTAGGGAGGATGGACATGAAATTAATGATCGTATCGCGTGGTACACGGGGTAAGTTATAGGGTTATATACTAGATTAGGTTAGGTTAAGTCATCGTGAGCGATAACGGCGGAAGGAAATGACGGTTAGGAAAAAAAAAAAAAAAAGAAAAATAGAAACGCGAGAATAAAATAAATGGAGGAAAAAAATCGAAGAAACGATGAGATACAGGTAATAGGCAACTAAGGTAAAAAGAAGTGGGCACTTAATGCGGCCATTCAAAAATGATTAGGTCAGGTCAAGTTAACGAGCGGTACACAAAACGAAAAGATACGGATAGACCCATGCGTGTGAAATGCGAATCAAAACTTGGTAGATTTTCAGATGGACGCGTGATACTCGCTGTCCGCCGTGCCGTTTCCATCTTACGAACACATACCACGTAGATCAAAGGTAAGAACATTATCGACGGTAGAAGACATAAGCGCCAAAATGAGATAAGAAAATGAAAATCGCGAAAGTTCCAAAATCCTAGGTACCTGTGTGCCACGGTTAATAGATATATAATATAATAGGTGTATTTATTAACCGTGTCTGTGCGATAATAAATTTAGAACTATATTGTTTAAAAACTCCGAACGTTTAATCTCAATCGATTATTGCCAATTTTAAATATTATTTAAAATCGAAAAAATCAATCAATTTATTAAAATTATATTAATTTTGGCGCAAATGATATGCAATTTTTTCAACGTTGGCGCTTATGTCACTTAGCCCATCGCTGTGTTTGCGCGTCGGTTCGTTTTTGGTATTTTAATTTTTGTACCAGATACGAGTTTGTGAATAATCGCAATCAGATAGAATCAAAATAATTGAAATATTGGAAAAAAAAAAAAAAAACCGATGCACAAAGATAATGTTTTCAGCATTAAGTTCGAATAGTTCGATAATAGGTCAATACAATTTTATATTAAAACTTACAGCATAAAGTTGTCCCTAGTGAACACAAATTCGCTATACGATGTCGTGCGTTTGTTTAAGACAAAGATAGCTCATGCGGGTATCACGTTCTCTTATTATGTAAGTAAGTAGGTAAAAAACTTTCTTTTGGATACTTATCTACCTAGTAGGTATCAAAAAGAAAGTTTTTCCTGAACAATGTTTTGAAGATTTAATAATTGATTATACGGAAAACTTAAAATAAAATATCAGTTCCAAATATCTATAGAGTTGGAAAGAAATTAAAAACTCACAATTCTGTAAAAAAAAAAAATACTTGAAATAATAGTTAAAATACGCACTGGTTAAAAAATTCACAACAAAAAATATATTAGATAGGTACGCACCATTGAATATAGTTCAAAGGAAATCAACGGAAAGTGTAAGTTTAAAATAGTTTGTAACTAATTAAACTAATGCGTGTTAAATTAATTGATCTAAAGATATATACGAAAGAGGAAGAACTTTGTGAGTACACATATAAAAGGATTGATGTTTTACACATTACAAAAAAAAAAAAATAAATAAAAAACATAGGATTATAAAAAATATTGTTGGATGCTAAAAAAAATATTATCAAAAACGTAGAGTGATGTAAGTTTTACAAATGTTAATAAAACATAAAAAGGATAGTACAATAAAAAAAAAAAACCATTCAAGATTCTATATAAATCACACTGTAGTGCACCTATATAATATAATATGCAAATTACAACATTTTTTTTTTTTTATAAACAAGTGCTACCGTTAGATAACAAAACTAGTATATATTTTATATTCACAATGAATATAGGAATATATAAGAAAAAAGCAAATTATTTATCGTTATACAACTTAACACGAAAATTGCACACATTTTATATTTTGTGACTATATCTGTAATGTACGTTTTATTTAAGCAAGTCTATAGATAAATTAATTGAACCTGTCTTAAGTAATAAAAATCACGAAAACTAATCAGTGCATGTATTGATAATTATTAATACCTACAAATAACCGAAAAGAAATATCGCATAAAAAATAACTAAAAAAAAAAAAAACAAAAAAAACCATTCCAAAAATATAACTATATTTTGTATAATTTATACTTAGGTTAGAAGCTGCACTCCATATTATAATATTATTATGGTAGTGTTTTCTCCCGCATTCTATTGCTATACAGGTATACTAGGAAATTTGAAATCTGTCATAATCGGGATCAAACTATGGTAGATATTAACACAAATCTAAAACGAATGGGATACAACTAGGACTAAAATATTTATTTCATTTTTTATAAAGATTTATTTAGTATTTGTATTAAGTAGCAGATAAATATATAAAAAGATAGGATACAGATGGGAATTTAATCTATATCTGTAAGCAACAATTAACCATTACTAACGAAAAACCGATTCTGAACGGAGTTCAGGTGATAGTGTTGCTTTGTCAACAATATGTCATACATTTTTTTTTTGTAGGGGTTGCAGTTTATTTTTAAATCCTATTAGCATAACATTTTTCCGAACAAATGTGTGTCGTTGATCCGTAGATTTTCTGTCCAAGTTTGAATGAGTTGAGTTGGTTTTAATTGTTTTTGAGATGGGCTACAATTTTTGGTAATACGTATCAGACTCTCCTCGAAATTTTTCCCACTTAAACTATTGCGATATTTCAAAATGAACCATTGGAGTAAACAATTTTGTCAGTTTAATTTTACCTCTATATTTATTATAATAAGTAAAACGGCTTATATAATATTTCCATATAATAAACGTATGTATTTTGTATAATGTATACCTACTAAAATATTATGTTCTAAAAAATGAACGTTTGAACTTTGGAACAATATAATATGTGCCGTTCGTATTCTATGTGTGTGAATTATTAGTTTTATATAAGAAAATAACTGATATATTTATATTATGTTGTATAAATCATCGTTACGAGAACCGAGGGAGTATTCATTATTATTTATTACATTTATTATCTATACATGTTCGACAGACAATATATTTCTTGTGGTTCAATTTTAAGTGGTTACTATTGAATTTGGGTGTTGTCGATTTAAAAAAAACCATACAAACGATAATCGCTTAAAATAAAGCTTCTGATGGGTGTGCCATTCTTTTAGAAGAAAAGTTGGAATTAGTTTAATTTATATCTTTACGCAACGATACACCATTGCTAACGTAAACGGTAAAACGATTCTGAGCATAGTCAACAAAAATATATCAGAAACTTCCAGTGTCAGTTTTTCGATTTATTTAGAAACTCAAAAAAAAAAAATGATCTTTTCAATGCATCAATTAGATCGAAAATAGTACATGAAAATTCCTGTACAATTTTTCATTAGAGCATGATTTATAATAGAACGATTGTTTATAAACACATTAACAAACAAAACAAACAAATATAACATCTCGTAGTAAAACATTGTACACTTCATTCAGAATGAGGTGGAGGGTACTAAAAAACCCAAAAAGCACTGAAAATTCCAAAAACCACTATAATTACTTATTGCGAGAAACGAATTATTTGGCGAACTGCAAATTTTATTTTATTAATTTCATTTATCATATGTATATCTGACAATATGTGAACTGATAATATGACGTTATACAGTTGGTCAACAATTATTTATGTTATAAATATTTGTTTGAATATTACAAATTATAATAAAATATGATCAAAAACCTATATTATAAATGAACAAATATATTTATACATACATATATAATATACGAGTTATGACTTTTAAATACTTCAAATGTCTACGTATAATCAATAGAACATTATTAATTATGAAAAAAATCGTCAAAAAAATATTATATTATACATTTATATATTATTATGGCTACATAGCCACAGTCGATTATTGACATTTAATCGATAATACAATACGAAAACAAAATCTTATTACCCGGACTCAATTATAGTTATCAGTTATCAAATAATTCATAATATATTAACCTATATTTATTATTATGTATCAATATCTACTAATACTTTATAATTTATATTAAATTAGCCGTGGATACTTTCGGGGCGAGTGGGGTAGGTTTCAAGAAGTTGTGACTGTTAGAATACCCGAAGTTCATTGTTGCTGGTGGGTAGCTGAGAAGGTATGAGATGGTATAGTTTATATATTGGATGCATTGATAAATCATTGCTAATGAAAATCTATTCGGAGCGAAGTTCTATTATACATGTTTCAAAAGGCCGTAATTTTTACGATTTTCGTCAAAATTTGATACTAAAATATATATACGAGTATGATACATAATATTTAACTTTTTTATTTTAACCACTAATTATAGCTTATAATGAACCGTCTGTAAAATTGTCAAGCATTTCTGTTTAGTCTAACAATTAACCAAATAAAATTTACGTATAAAACTCACGAAATTAAATTGTCTATAAATAGCTTAAAAATGGCTTAAATATTTTGAAAATGTTTAACATGTTTAAAAAAAAGTAAACATATGTTCTGTCTAAATTTTAAGTTTCTATGAATATCTAAAGTGAATTATTATAACAAAAAAATTAAAATTAAAAACAATAAAAGCCATATTTTTGTAAATTTGCCTGTTCTTTCTATGTTTTTTTGATTTTGCTCAATTATTAAAAAAAACTATACGGAAAATCAAAAAACAACTTCTTTCACAATTAGATTAAAAATTTAACAACAATGATCATTTTTCGTTTTTTTATCAGAATAATATTTCTGGTAGAAAACTGAAAGCGTACAAATTTAAAATGATGAAATCGTAACGTCGTAAAATTAAAAAGTACTTTTTTTTCAAGAGCATTTAGATCAAAATTTAACACAAAAGGTCTCTTGACATTTTTTATTAAAGTAATATTTCTAATAGGAAATATAGTTTACAAAAAGACGGGCATACTTCGCTCGTGGGACACTGTTGTAGGTAGGAAGTTGGGAAGGTAGGATACAGACGGAGATCGAATGTAAGCAACGATTAAACATTGTTAACGAAAAAACCATTGTAAGCGGAGTTCAGTTGATAGTATTGTTTTGTCAACAATACCGGGTGATCCATTTAAGTGAGTACAGTCATTATCTCGGAAACTATTCACTTTTTCCGGAATTTGTTTTCTAGTATATTTAAGAAACAAGCTGCTCTACAATTTTATATTTATGCTATTTTTTGTCATCTTTATACTTTTCTATCCGGTTTTTTACAAGTATTTTGAAAACCTTTTGGAAAATCAAAAAATAACCTTGCTAAGTTCCGAATCTAAAATGTATAGGGAGTAAACTGATAAATACTGAAATAAAGTACTACCGGGCAGTAGTTCCGCATTCAGTCTTTCTTTCAGGCTTTTTATTATAGGAGGGAGGGAGGATTTCGAAATGTTAGTGGTGGGTTAAGAAGTAGAAAAAAAACAAATTTTACCTTGATTCGTGTTTGGTAAAAGGTAGTAAATAAACGTACAAAAAATAATTATAAGTTTTTAAATATAAGAAAAGTTTTGAAAATGTTTATTTGGTATATTTGTAGGTATATTACAAGTGTACGTATTAATTGGAGTACTAACAATTTTTATTTATATATAAATATAATTAAATAATATTAATTTTAAATCATAAGCGTTCAATTAAAAGGCACTAATTAATATTTTATTTTTAATATAACCTACCGTAAAAGTTTTTTAAAAATTAAAATGATATATTTTCCAAAATGTTTCATTGTCATTCAAGTTTTATTTATGTACTGCTCTGAAATGTATAAAATGTAATTTAGTGCCTCTCAATTACTCAAAGTTAGTATACTTATTTTATGTTAATAATATAAAATAAGAATAGTAAATACATACTAGGATATTCACGAAACGTTGAATACTAATAAATGTTCAATGATAAATGACGATAAAATGAGCAATAAGTCGAGCGATTCGACTAAATATGGGAGTGAACACATTTGGTAACATTCGAGGACGTGGTTTTTCAAAAATATTAAATTGATAGGCATCTACGAATAGATACAAAAATTGTATACCTGGTGGCGTAATAGTTCACCTAATTCGAAATGTTCGAATGCGTAACTAATTAAACAGAGAGTTTACATCATAGTCATAAAGCGTTATTCACGTAGGAGAAAAAACTTAAATAACCATATTTCGTAATCTAAGTTACGGTTAAACGAGCTGGTAATACATACATTTTCTTTTATTTTATCTGGGAGGACGGTGGATTTTGCCTGGAGGGGGAGAGGTACAGCCCCTCTGGAAATATACCTGAAAGAAAAACTGTCCTCTTCTGTTGAGGTACCCTACCTACTGTGTGGAAAAATTGAAACATTCGCTTAACCAAAAAAAAAAAAAAAAAAAAAGAAAATAATTGTTATTTTTTCAATATTGTTTTAAATTGTTTAGATCATTCGTATAAAAATTTACAAAAATGTTTAGTACCTAGCAAAAACAAAATACCGTAAAGCGAAAAATGTACATATTATAACGTGTACTATGAAATATAAGTACCAATCTTTTTATAATTACCTAATAATGACTGAAACACATCAATGAGAAAAAAAAAAAATGAAAGGTAAACATGGTATATAAAAATATTTCTATTTCGGTACAGTTTATCGGCAAACATTATCATTTTTGGCGCCAAGGAGAAAAATGCTAGAGTCGATTATTTTGGGAAAATTGTGTCAATAAAATCGATTTAATATTATGCAATCGTCTGTAGAAGACGGCTAAATCACCTGGCTAGAACGATCAAAAGGGTTTAAAGTGAATAATTTTTTTTTAACGTACAATCAGCACCCGTTCGGGTGACATCGCAGAATCGTCAATAAATTAAAAAAAATATATTATTGTATTGAAAATAATTTCAGAAAACTGACGGTACACCGAGTAGAAATCTGAATTTTTTTCGGGGTGTGGGGGGCGGGGGTGGGTAGTGAAGAATATTATTGAAATTGAAAATTGAAAACTTTCGATTTTTCTATCAAATAAATATACATACATATATATATAATATTATAAAGATTATTATTATCAGTAGTTATTTGGATATTGAACGGGTTACTAACTTGATTGTTGACGATTTATGCTGAACACAGCGCGTTACAGGTGTAGCAGGTAGGTGTATATCTCATTTTGATTCGACCATTATTACGTAATGCAGACGATAAAAATAAAAATAACAATAATAACGAAAACGTTTGTAATTTGTATACGCCTATGAAATGTAGTTGTTGAACTAAACGTTTCGCATATAACTGTGTAATAATTCGGCCGATCACTGAGTTAGAAAAAAAAAAACAAAAAAAATGGAAAAAAAAATCACTGTAACGGAGCGGTAAAAACAGGCGCGGGACCACGTCGTGTGACTCGTGCGCGACGACTGACTAAACTGTAACAAAAATGATATACCGGTACTTCACCTCCACATAGGCTTATCGCCACTATGCGTGGTCGGATCGGATCGGAACGGGACGAAATTTCGATTGTCGACGTCGTCTATAATGTTATCGGATTATTTTAATAATCTCGTTTTGAAAAATAAGCGACCGCAGCGGCGCGATTGCCAAAGTAGATGATCGCATTAGCATTACGCTGCGGCTGTAGCCGAAGAAAAAAAAAAAAATACGTTCTAGGATAATGGCGACGGGTGCACGCACTGTATTAGGCAATTTAATGTATACCTGTAAGCGACGATAAAACCATCGCTAACGAAAAAACGATTCTGAGAGGAGTTCAGTTGATAGTGATGCTGTGTCAACAATTATTATATATTATGGTAAAATAATTAAATAGGCATTATATATTTTCTTAAATAATATTTGTTTCATGTATCGATTTTCCCGTTTTCCCCATGTTTTTTTCCCGGGTTTTCACATTTGCAAGGGAAACTCTTGGAAAAATCGAAAAATAATCTTCCTAAAGTATTTTCCCATTCAACATTTTTTTCTTTTCGTTCGGTGTATCGGACGGACACCGGATTCTCCGCAAAAGACTGCGGATTCGTCAAACGAATAGACTATTGGTAGTTGAAATAGCACGTTTGTAAACAATTTTTAGTAAGTTGTATTTTTGAAACCGAGATCACGAGTAAAAATTGTTTAGGACTGTATTCGTCGGTAAATACGTTTCGGTTCAAGTTTGCAGTTAGGACTTCAGCTTCCTCAAATCTCAAACCCTATTTATCCCCATGCACATAACATCATGTTATAATCAGGGCTCGGATTTTATAATATCTGCTAATTATTATTGTAGGATACAGATAAAAAAAAGTGGAGTGAACTTAACTTTTTTTTTTATTTTTACGTACCGATGACTCTAAATATGAAATTTTATATTGCTAGTCTTTGTGCATTCAAAGTATTTTAGATTTTTATTGCTATTTTTAAATTCTCGGCGCTATCTTTTGCTAATACACATAACACAGGTAAAATGATTTATTTCGTATCTTTCCTAAATAGTGTACGAAAATCTGTCATTTATATGTGAATTCACAAGAAAAATACCTATACATTTTCGGTTCGTGTTATAATCTATTTTTATTCAGCGTGCCGTTTTCATTTGCGAAATATATTTATGAATTTTTACGGAATATTTTAGCTAACTTAAAGATTTGTCAGGTTCATCATATAGCACGTTTTTTGAGGTTATATTTAGTGCTATAAAATCCCGGCCCTGTTTAAAATAAATTTACAATTTTCTACGACGGGTCTGCAGTATAGTACGCGATTTGTGCGAGCGTAAAAAACTTCGCGGAATCGGGTAAACGGCGGCTGCGGTTTCCGAACGATAATCGGTCCGTTCCGTTCCGTTCGGATCGTTCGCGACCGTTCGGATCCCGTTCGGACTGACGAGCGGAATCCCGTTTTTTCCCCTCCAAAAGTTCCGTTTCGATCCAACACAGCGCATGGGGTAAGTTATAATATAATAACGTTCGCTATAATATTACGCGCATATTATGAAGACGCACCGATTATTTCCGTGGTCAAACGGTTTCGTGACGATTTCCGAATGATCGTCGGGATCGGATTTTTCGGGGGAACTAAAATATAACTGGTATAGAAAATCCAAGCACCGTCCGATTTTTCGCCTAAAAGCAGGCGCGTGACCAAAGAGTGGCCTGGGGTGGCTCGGCCACCCGAAATATTTACAAACTGCCCCATCGCCATCCCAGTATATTGTCAAAATAACATCATCGCTCAACCCAGAATTTGAAATTATATTACAAACAATGTCAACAATGTTTAATTGTTATATATACGTAGACACGTATACGCGATCTCGTAAATTTCGTATAACCATCGGGGTGCGGACCGAAAATCCGAGAAAATCGATATCGCCAAAATTATATTAGCCGCGTAACGCAGAATATTGCGCGAAAAAAAAAATCTGACCATTTATCGACGTTTTGTGAATTTTCGCAGCTTATAATAACACTAGGTCAATATCCGTTTGTCCTTATCGATTATTATTGGACCTCAATCGTTCTTTATTATTGGCTTCCGACGATTTCATGCCATTTTTCGGTCGAATTCTAACCGCAAACGAAAAAAAAAAAAACAAATAATACAATTTATGCGAATTGCGTTTTTTCATCTAAAAATCGCTGCTTGCAAACTAGGAATTTGTATGTAATTTTTTTCTCGGGAAAAGAAGATTCGACGGTATTTTTACAGCTGAACAAATAAAATATAAAGATGCGCCAGCGAAAAAAAAAATTGTTTTCCTATGCACCCGTGTATAATATACACGGAATCTCTTCATTCCGAGCGTTTTATGTCGTCGATTTAAATTCAATTTTTGTAAAATTGACATTCAATTCCCATTATAACAGTTTTTACGCTATAACGTAGATATAAATTACCCCGTGCTAGACATCGAAAGGTATCTAGTATACTTAAAAAAAAAAAAAATAAATAAAATGACGGAACAACACTACTGATGACTGACCTTTGAAGTGAACGCGTACCTATAAATTTATACTTGTATTGACGCTTATTTTCCACGACGACTGTTTTTCTATAGGTATACGTGTATACTCGGGATTTGGGTTTAACGATTTCTTTCTATCGCGTTGCATACACCGACGTTTTATTACATTAGTGTGTTTTATATTGTATATACAGCGAACAGCGGATAATGACCGAAGAATCGGTAAAAACGTGTACTGAAAAAAAAAAAAAAAAAATCGTGTCATCGCGATACGTTATAAGTTATAATATTACTCTGTATAGGTATTATATACAGTGTTGTCCGTATGCTGATGATTGTGTCAATATTAATTTTTTTCAACAATCGGGTTTTGTGTCAGTGGAACGAAAACACGGAGAAAAATTCAATTTTTACTTTCATCCCTTAATCGCTGAAAACATTTTTTTTTTTTTCACTTTAAAATGTTCAAAATAGCCAATTTGTAAAATATATTATTCTAAACATTTTAATGTACCACACATGTTTTTTAGTAACCGTTTTGATATCTAGAGAAACGTGCGGAAAACTACCACGTCACGCAATAGCGAATCATATATAGTCATCGTAATACGAGTACAAGATACGAACTAATGTTAAAACGTTGAAATTAAAACGGCTACTATTACTCAAAAACTGTAGATCGAATATGAATGTATGATGGATTAAAATGTTTAGGATAATATATTTTACAAACCGGTTATTTTGAAAATTTTAAAACGTAACAAAATAAAGTTTTTTTTTTTTTCAGTGATTAAGTTAAGTGATTCAGATAATTAAAAATAAAAATTTGATTTTTTCTACTTTTGTGTCCCCGTTACAAAACCCGTTTGAAAAAAAAAAATGATACATAAAATATTGACGGTTATTAGCATATTATGTGTAACACTGTTGGACATCCTGTATATTAACAAATTCACTATATTATTTTACCCACGGGATGGATAATCGTTTTTTTTTTCTCATCGTATAGAACATATTATTTGTTTGTTATTTTAATTTATTAGGACCGATAATGTGTTATAAGTTTTTATAACTTAATATACAAGTAGGTACTTATTAAATACTTGAAAATTTTAAATACTCATTAGTATTGTGTATTGTTCGTCTCCGTATAGGTACTCATATACGTATAATACTAGTGCAAATCATACACTGTACACGCCGTACAAATTATAGATAATCAACTACCGTTTCGAACAAATTCTGTTTACTTTTCTCCGTAAATACGTATAAAACTGCGCGGTATACCATAGTATAATATTATAATACAGTCTCGTTTTTATCGATTTGAAAATACTATGTACTTGTATTTTATACTAATAAGTTATTGTTCTCTTTATTGGGCGTATAACCATCAAGACGTTGTAAAACGTTGTAGAAATTTTAATTGTTATTATTATTATTATTATTATTATTATTATTATAGTATTCTGCTTGTGCGAATAATGTCATAAACAGCGATTGTTGAAAAACGTGACAGAAACGCACTCGTATAACAATAATGGTGTTATTTAATACATTACTGTGTAGCAACAACCAAAAATATAAACACTACTGTATACGCCTCAGCTGGCCAATATGACTGCGTTACGGTCGCGACAACTGGTAAAAATAATTATCGAAACGCGTATATAATATTATTAATCATCATTTATCTATAATATAGATTTATAGATTAATATAGATTTACTTTATTGTAGTAAAACAACATTGCGATTCGTTGGTTATAATAGTTTTAGTAGTAATAGTAGAATAGTTTTCTACACTTTTAGCGGTTTCTTTCCGGACCAGATTAGTTCAAATTCGAGAATTGAAGTTTTCTCTATGCGGACGAAATGGTAACATTTCGGTTGAATTTCAATATGAATTTCACTTGCATGTTGCATTAGATATTAGGAGGATGTTTTTTAGCTTTGTACACTCTTAATCACCTTCAAATAGGGTAATAAAATCTTTTACATGCACGGTGTCAGTGTCAATAATGTGCCTTTTGGGGGACATTTTTCTCAGTGGCCTTATTTTTTTTTTTTACTGTATTATTAAAATTTATATTCTCGCCCTCTCAATTCTGGATCGATATTGTTATTATTATTATTATTATTATTATTTTTTTTTTTATTATCTAGAATGTATTAGAGATCGCCAAAGCGTTCAAGTATGACGATGTCATAAATGAGTTTAGTCAATTAAAAGCACGAAAAAAAAAAAATGTAATTAATTTTTTTAGTTATTTTGTGAGTAATTAAACTTCAACTATTAAAGTAACTGTCATCAGTTCTTACAGCTCATTAAATTACATTATTAAATAAATAGCTAAAAACTGATATTTATTGGGGTGGGGGGAAAGCACCCAGGCGCCAAAAACCTAAATTAGTTTTTTCTAGAGATGGTAAAATTTTCAATAAAAAATCTGGTTTGAAATTTTATGTGGATAAAATATTGTTATGGCCGAATAGAAATTTTT